TACGAAAAATAAAACTCAATAGACAACTTGAATATGTTATAACGTTAAATATTTTTTTCTGTTTTTGTTTAAATATTATACAAGTCAAAAGGGATCACAATTGGCGACAATACAAAAGACCTTATAAAACATTTAAAAAAAGAAGAATACAATTATTATTAATTACATTTCTAAAGGTTTACTGCGAGGAAATTAATTAATGTATAAAACCTATTATGTTTCGAAGAGTTTTGTGACTAATGAGTTTTACATCACACCAACACTTGACTTGTTTTTTTTTCTTTTTTTTATATATATAACATGCCGCTGACGCTGTACTATTCATATTAAATTATTTAAATAGAATCTGTAAGACTGAAATAACATACATTTACATAAATATAGCAAAGAAAAACTAATAGCCAAAAGGAAAAAAAATCTACCCAATATCTAACATAAGGAACGTGCTGAACACATACATTGTGTTTAACCTTCTTGACTTTTTTCCATTCGTCGGTTGATGCATCCGTTTTTTCTTCAAGTTACCTTGAACTGGCTAGGCTAGTTAAATTGAATTAGCATTACACAAATAGACATAATAATATACATTATTATGAGATTCCGTCATGAGTCCGTCCTAAACGTATACGATTTTTTTATAATACCAAACCAGGTGGTTTTATTAATCATCTCAAAACTAGTTAACTTTGAAACAACATCTTTTTACTCGATCGAGACTGGCAAAAGGTCAAACGAGTTTATAAATACACAATAATCACGATCATTCCATAGGTCTGTGTGTTTTATTAAAACACAATTAGTTTACATGATTATTTAAATAAAATTCATGTCGAATCCCGAACAGATATAGTCTCTGATGACTATCCAATTAGAAATCTTTCCTAATTTCTTTTTTACGCCGTTTCTGTTTACTACATTTACAAAGACACATTATCACTGACAATATCTGTATACTGTATTAATACCAGTATTATATTGGTCGACATGTGTCCCAACTGGAGTAGGGACATATTTTTTTATGAGCTGTAAAAAATGATTTGAGGTTTTTTTCTCCGGGAAGCGAACGCCGCAAAGATAAGTAAAAAACAATAAAAACAATATTGTACACTGTTATTCATTAGTTTAAGGAAAACATTATTAGTGGCGGGCACGCTGCACTACATAAAAATAGGCACGTATTCGATTTGTGAACATTAGGTAGGTGTATAACGATAAGTAAAAAAGCTAAATAAAAATAATATAATATACTGTGAACTACTTTGTAGCTTTCCATTTTGAAAATATTTCTGTTTATGTTATTTTACAATGCTATAAAACTACTAAATCTTTCCCTTTTCTCAGAGTATTTTCCAGAGCTCATGTTTAACTGGTAATTTTATTTAAAAATAATTTGCTGAAATGTTTAGCTACCTAGTCGATAACCAGTTATTATAGTTTAAAAAAATATAAGAGGGGCTTAACCTGCCGTTATAGATTTTGAACTTCAATAACTTCATAAGTAATTATTATCCAATACTGGTAAACTCAGATGACTCCAAATGAAAAACTACAAAATTGCAAAATTTTATTATAAAACCATATTTAATATTGTTTTATAATAAAACGAGTGCCTTATCCTTCTTAATGAACAGCGTCGGCATTGACTTGCCCCTACCCAAAAATCGTCTACTGTCTATCAATCTCTTCATATAACAGCACAAAGCCGATGGTGTAACTACACTGTATTAAATTAATGTCGTTTCCAAGCTCATTTGAATTATTGCAATTGTTATATGCGTTATTGTGTTTTACACACACACACACACACACACACATACATACATACATACATACAAACACCAAAAAAAAAACCCACTGTGACCTTTTTTTATTTCTCTCACGGCCTTTGGATTGTGTATAATATGTGTGGTGCACGTGTGCGTATGTACGGTAATGGCGAACGCTCCATTGTACGTGTGTAATTAATCCGGTCTGGAAAATTCTTTCGGAAACGCTCTATCGTCGACGTCGATTAATAATATTACACTGAAAACGGCTACGGTGTACCCCTAACACGGGGTAAGGTCAAATGAAAACCACCAACGTATCGACATATAATAATATACATAGACCATAGTATAGGCAATAATAGAACGACGAGAAGGAGGATCTTGGTAGAATCGATTAGACTCTTTAGATTTCTTGCAATAGCATAACATTATGAAATATATTATACAACACACTGTCAACGCTAGACAATGTGGACTGTTTGTAACATACCTAGTTTTTCGTGTGGCGGTTACCCAGACAGGAAGTAAAAAAACGTTGGAAATTAAATTTGACCTTTGGCTCGAAATGTGTAACGGCCTACTCGAGTGAACCTTCAGTTATATTATACACGGCAACTTAACCGTTTTTTACGGCCGTGTGTTTTTTTTTGCCCAAAAGTATATAAATCTTAAGAGCAGATTCACTCTTTGACGCGGGTAAGAAAGAAAAAAAACAACAGCCAAGAAAATAAATCAAAAGTTTTCCCGTATACCCTACCATCGTTTTTAACGATGAACGATCATCGCCGGGAGTGTTTTGTTTGGAATTATTATTTTCAACGTGTAGCCGTGTGTAGTGTGTACATTGGTAAACCGGTGGGCGGGTTCTAAAAAAATCAAGTTTATTTAGAGAAAAATCAAAATATTATCCAGAGTTCACCCAAGACAAACACACAGGAATTCATACCACCCGCTGTGTTGTGTTTAATCTTCGTATAGTAGTCCCGTCGTGTCTTGCTCGACGAAAACGGGATGATTATTATTTTCCCAATTTCTTGTACTTGCCAGCAGTTCCGTCTTTACCCCAAGGGCAAGCCTAAGACGGCCCAGTTTTCGAGTTACATAATATTATGTTATTACGATTGTTGTCATTTCACATTATATACAATAATAATTATTGTCTGTAATTTTATAATCATTTTCAATTAACCTAACGCGACGGTGCGACGTTGACGTTGTTATTCTTCACGTTAAGGGCGAATATTATCTAAAATATTATTATTATTATTACTAGACTCGGTGGTTATAGACTCGGTTAAATAAAAGCTTATTGCGTTATTTTTCATAAAATACTATTAGTATACCATATGGGCTATAGCGGCGAGACGATGCTCTACCAGATTTTCTTCAAAACTTCTTCCGCGAATGTTTAGTATATGTTTTTTTTATTATTCCAAACCCATAACACCACTCGTAAAACTCGAGTTAATATATATATGACGATAAACGATGATAATAATATTATGTACCTATATATATATATATATATATATATATATATATATTGGGCAAACGTAAAACGATCAATGTTGTTTTTACTGCGCTGGCAAACGGCCGTTGCGACTTGGTAAGTAAAGCGGTAATACACACACATATCCGCAGATCTTTGCAGTAGTTTTTTTTTTTTTGAGAGAAATCAACGGTATTCATTTTAAAAAAAAATACTAAGATATACTAAATAGAAGGGCGAGCTAGGTTTTTAAACCCGCCCCTAATGTGGGGTAGTTGTTGGGTTTTCTTGATGTTCGCGTTTAAAAGTTGTGTATACATTGCACAGGTCTCGAAAAGTGATAACACTGAAATGATGTTTTCGAGTCATAGATATATTATTGTTTATGTTTTTCAAACTAATGACGAAATTAGGATATACTTTATTTTTGGAGTTATCACTATTTGACCCGCGAGCTGGGAAAAAAATAACAAATTAAACTATGGCTTTCTAGTTGTAATTTCAACTCAAACGGTAATCGCAAATGGGTACAAAGTAACGAGAAATTATTGCTTTGACGAAATGTTTTCATTTTCTCTTTGTTTATTTCACTTTTATTAATATACCTATTTATTATTATCTACTCGTATAACGACTGTTAACAACGTCATTGCGGTGTAACTAAAAAAAAAATAATTGAAAATATTTTATTTCGCTAAAACGCGATTAGTTAACAATCTAAAATATAATATACAATGTTTTTTTTATTAAATTAATATTAAACGCGATCAATAATTGATACGGTTAATTAAAAATATTTTACAGGTAAATGTACGCTATATACCGCGTTGATCTGATACGGATGTTTTTCGCGATAAGGTCAATTGCTTTATCATACTCAGAAGTAATTGGCATTTTTTTTTTTTTTTTTTTAGTAACTTTTGTCTGCATACGAAAATCGAGTGCCGTTAATAAAAAAAACACCATTAAAACCGGATAACACCTTTTGAACACAATATAATTATATTATGTAGACGGTTAATGATTATTAAATGATTAATGATTATTATTAAAGGTTTATACATATGTTGTTAACCCGACAGATCGAATGAATAATAATATTATATTATTTTTAATGCGGTTCGTCGACAACTGCGCATCGAATATGATCCGGTTCGTCCACCGTGACCCTCGGCCACCGTCTTGGATTCAGAAATCGAGATTCTGGTCAAAATATCAGTCTATAATGTCTTAAACTTGTTGCAGCGGTGACATTAACCAATTAAACGCTATCGTGTGGCAGTAACACGTTTGAGCAACATACTGTGTTTTTTTTTTTTTTAATTAACCGGGTTAAATAATAATTAATTATCGAATCAGTTTAATCGTTTATATAACATTACAATTTATTTGCCGCGTTCGATTGACGATTATTTTTTTTATTAAACGTGTCTTTAGATGCAAAATAAATAATAATATATTATTACACGTTGCTGACAATTTATATATTATAAATTCTAAACTAGAGTTATTACACGTGATCTTCTAGTTTCTGCGGTTCTCTCGTTAACAACAGCATCGTTACTGAAGGTTCACTGTCAATTAATGTATTTTTTATTTTTAAATTATAAATATATACATATATATTTGAATATTGTGAGGCCAGTTAATTAGGCATTGACACTGGGCAAGGCCGGTTGAATTCGTTTAAAACGTTTATTGTATCGGACAATAATAATATTATGTGTCGAACTTGGCTTTACCTGTGACGGGTGAGCAATGCGTTCTCTTCACGGTGGCACCGCCGTCCATGGTGTCCGGCAACGGTCGTTTCCTGTTCTCGACGACGCCGTGATGGTGATGAAGATGAGGAGGATCGTGAAGAGCCTGCGGCGGAGATGCCGGCGGACAGGCGTCCATCATTTTCGCGTCGCCCGCGGCTGCGACGGTGGCGGGTGCCGTTGTCAAGAAACGGCCGACCGAAGACGGCGACGGCGACGATGCGGACGAGAAAGACGACGAAGACGACGAGGACGACGACGGCGAAGACGACAAAGGCGACGCAAACGTCAACGACGACGACGGCGGCTGCGGCGACGACCACGAGAGCGACGACGACGACGGCAACAGCGGCGAACACATACCGGCGCCGGCCGCGGCCACCGAATCGAACTGCATCGCGTACAACATTCGCTGACAAAAGTAATGGTCAGGCGCCGACGCCGTGGCCGCGTACAGCTCCGCGCCATCGGCGCCGCCGAACATACCGCCGCCGGCACTTGTTTGCGACGTGCCGGTCAAAAACTGCATCGCGGTTCGAGCACAAGTTAACTTAATTAAAAAAAAAAAACAAAACAAACAAAATGTAAAACTTTACTATTTGTCGACGAACAATAACCGTGTTAAATTTTCTTCGCAATTAGTCAACGGTCGGTCGGGGAGAGGGGGAGTCGGACGATTATGGGTTACACGCCGTGTAATATTTGAATATCGGTTTGACGCGCCCGATTGTTTACCTCTGGCTCGGTTTACTGTACTGCGGCGTCCGCGGGCTTGAGCGCTCGTATACTCTGACTGCTTGACGAGACGACGACAGCCGCTGCCTAAAACGTAGTAATAGTAGTAATGATGGTATTGGCCACTGGGCAATCGGGTACATGTGCCGTGGCGTTTAACGATTAGCACGCGCGGCCGGTGTGGAGTGCGAGCCGGCTTCGGAGCTCGGACGGCCGCGGGTCCGCGTGCCCTTGCGTTGCCGCCAAAAAGACCTTGCTCCCCCACCAGAAGCGCCACTCCACACCGCCGCCTCATGCCATCTCCTCCTGTCGTACAACCTACCGCCACCGGCCGTTAAGTAACCGACCGGCCGGTGGTGGTGTACAGCCACAGGACCAACGTTCAACTCCGCGGTTTACGGAATAACATTGATATAGTACACAAATAATGAATACATAACAGTACATCTTGTATACTTTAATTATTATCGTTAATACCTTTCACGCGATTTTTTAAAGGAAAAAAGCAAACGTCTGAAGAAACCAAAATCCTCCAATATTTTTTAACCTTATAGTATTGCAGTTCACGTCAGATAAAAAAGTTGAAAGTTAAAATTTCAAATGGCTGAAATATAGTAAGGGGATGCTTATAAATTCGGCATAGTTTAACGGATCAAATTAATTAACTGCGCAAAAACTATTACAGCATAAACTTTATCAACTGATACAACTATCAATATGAGAGATTGAGCGATTATCCAAATAGTAAACGTTGCAGTTTGAACTTGCTAAACTGTTGTACGCACATAATTAAAGAAGCGATAAATCGTTTTTCGACAAAACATACGAAATAGAAATGTATGTACAAATAAATGGACACCTCTCTCAATCCCTCTCTTATCCTCACCTTTACTCTACTTTGGCTGCTGAAATTCAGTTCTTGTCTTTACAGACTTGCGTGATTGTATCATATTTTAATAGCCGATATATGTACGTTTTGATTGAGCTGAATTCGGTTCATTCCTGTCTGTAAATTTTAATGTCTATGTCATCCGAACACGTGTTTTGACCTTCACTACATACCAATTTTAATGCTCGTCGACACCGTCATTCGTATTAAAAAAAAAAGTATAAAGTCCCCGATAAATACCGGACAACGCGATTTTCAACTTCTACATATTATTATGATTTTCCTGTTTGACGGCAAAATCGAGAGCAAGCTAAACGTTTGGTCTATGCGGCCATCAAGGTCGAATAGTGTCGAGATAAGGCAAGTAAGAATATTATTGGCAATGTGATACTTATTATACTTTTGTCCGATCGATGGACGACTGACCAATGACCGTCATATATTAATAATAATTATTGTTTTTTTTTTTGCGGCAAATATTGTCTCTGTCTATGCTTCATCATCATGGATTTAAGCTGAATAAGTTGGTCGGAGACAATAGTGGTCTCCCATCCGAGAACAAGCATGTGTCAACTTAATACCCAATGTGATACTGTACTATTCTCAATTTCTTTTGACCGTCATTGAAAACCTGCGACTATCGAAGTGGTTGTAATTTTTTAGACAAATATTACTATACAGCCATTTATAATAATACAAACACGTCAATCGGTTAACGTGTTTACTATTAATTTAGAAAAAATCGACGACATTTAGACTTTAGAGTATATTATGATGATTTTCTTTTTTTAATAGGCATCTATTATTTAATATAATGGTTCTAATGTCTGAGAATAATTATATTTACATTTAAATAACAAACGTAATATAGGTAATAAAATAACAATTTTTTTTCAGTCTCACGACCTATGAATCAGATACGCCGTTATAAAAACAAAATTACAATACTATAATGTATAATTTACACACGCGAAGAAGGTGATTAACGTTATCCGAGTCGCGCTTATGAGTTACTGTGTATATTGGTTTTATAAGAGTTGATCTCAAACATAATAATTGTTTATTCGTTAATTTTTTATTTTTAGAATGACACGCACGAAACAGTTGATGAGCGTACCAGAGTTGTCTATCTTAAATTAATTCTATGTATAAAACGCTCTCAGACTTCTCTGTACTGAACTTACAGTACACAATAATAAGTTTATATAGTAATAAACGATTTAACGGTTCATTAAAACCAGTGTACTTGTACAGTTTCTTATATTATGTTGTTCTTTAGTAAAATGCATCGCCGTAAAGTTCTAACGGATACGCCACTAATATAGTTTAACCAGATTACAGTCATACTGTATTGTATTGCATACCCATATGCTTTTGACCGTGTACAAGTAATTGGTGTTTTTTTTTATTCTATATAGTTTGCAAACAACTTGGCCAGAAGTCTTTCAATCAAAACGTTTACTTAAGCTCTATTTTCCAAAGTGCACCGGTGAAACGCAATCGATTTGTGCAAAACTCTATGCTTTGTCCGGTTGTCAAATGAATGCCCGGAAAAAGAGCCTTGTAAATCGCGCGTAGCTTTTAACCCAAGTTGTCGGTTTCGAAAGTGCACTTGGGCTTTCCACACCGTAGACTTTTATACATCCTTCTGCGGTCGACGTGAAAACACACCGTGAGACCATAAATGCGCTGTATTATGTAATACAAAGTAATGCGTTCAAACGTTATCGGCTTGATGCGCAGTAACTACACGTGTAACGACATAAGAAAAAAAAAGGGCCTATGCTTGTGTTATAAAACACTATATCGCGGAAACGCATGTTTACAAAATTCAAGTGCCCGTTTCCGGGGTTCACTAACCCGCCTCGCCAAGCAAGAGACAAATTTATTGTTTTACAACAGTTTGAGACGTTATAACGTTATCGTATACATAAAAGCGAATTATTAATTTTATTTATAAATTCAGTATGGATTGTCTTGTGAAGCTAAAGCTTTCGTTTAATAACTACGTGGTAATGTTTATTTAGACAATCGATGAAAGAAATACAAACAAAAAATAATAATAAATTTTTTATTAAAGAAAAAAAAATTAAATACAGTTATCTTAAATAGTAAGGTTTTTTAAACATTTGACGGGTCGACAATAAGTTTCAAAGTGAAGATACACTTAAAAATTCAAAATATATTTTATTGCACCACATCTCCCCTCATCTTATATTATCTGCACTTAACAACGTTTATAAATGCACAATTTGTTATCGCTCGTAGCCATCATAAAAAGAAGGAAGAACTTTAGAAATAAAAAAGATTTATTTTTAAATTTATCATATTTTGTTATAGGTAAATTCTTACATTTTTGTAATTATCATTAACAAATAATTATTACCTACCTATTTCGTGCCAACTTGTCGCACGCCCAAATTATGACACACTGACATTTTTATATTTACTCTTAAGAACGGGCAACGATAGGTTAGGTTAAGCTATTTGTGGCACTTGGATGTCGTGGTATCCAGTTTTTAAATATTCTAGAAGATTAATATTTAACTCTTAAGACCTCCAATTCAAGTAAATGTAATCTATGTTTACAACTAAATATACATATTGCACAAATAAAAGTCTTTAACATCCAAAATTATTATAAATATATTATCACAACTAATAGTTTTATGTATATTAACAGTGTTTCTACTTTCGATGTAAACGTTTTTATTTGTATTATTATTCAAATCAATGAAGTAGCTAAATTATTTCGTATAAATAATACAATTCTTTGGAATACTACACTTTTATATAAAAAATTATTGTTTTGTTTTAAAACTGTTAAAAAGGCGTGAATGTATTTTGTAACTATGTTTAATAATAATTAATAAACATAGTCAATCACTTTCAACAGTAAAAATATGGACCCCGACATTAAACAAACGCTTTTTTACAAACTGAGCATTTGTATGAAATAAACGCAGTAAAAGCATTTTTTATTTTAACCGACAAACGTGACTATCGTGGCTTTTTTTATAATCCATTATTTTAATATCATTACAGCTTGACAGTTATATCAATTTGCATAATTTATATTTTAATTGTCTCCGAGAAAGAAGCGGTGACTAGACTAAAGCGTAGAGACAAAAAAGAAAAATGAAGGAAATATAATTACAACAGGAAAGCGGAAATTAGGTTTAAATTTATTCAGAATGGCTGCTAAAACTCTTAATTCTGCGTGTGAATATAAACTGTTTAACTGTTTTTCATTTTCTAATGTCACCAGATGATATGCTAGTAATTATTCATTAATTTATTTCGCTTAATATTTTATTTTAATATTCGGTATAACCACAGCCAGTTACTTTTATAATCTACTTATGTATGTTACATGTATTATACTGTAATATAAATACTATATTATGATGATTATTCCATAACAATAAATATTGTATATTACACGAATATATTATGTTTTTTTAACATAATCAGTTGATTCATACTGCGAAATTATCTTAAAATTGATAATAATATTACATTCATAAATAGGTATATTATTATTAGTTACAATCACAGATTGTCAGCATCCCGCTGTGCTACCTTCGAACTGTTCATAGATTCGCAACGGAACAACATGACATCTTGAATGGGATTTGATCACTAATATTATTACTCGACGAGTACAGAGTAAATCTTATGTAAAAAAAAAAACAACGTTTTTTAAATGTAATCTTATGTAAATTAACTTACATTTATCGGTATTAAGGCAACAACATTAAATGTTCTCTTTAAAATACAACTTTTGTAACTAGCATCAATTATTTTACATTGTTTGAATCAATTCGTTTTTTTCGAATAAAATAAACCTAAAAGCACTAAGCTTTCAAACGATATAGCGCAGAACACTATTTTAACTATTTTAAGACTGTATTACAGTGCATTTTATTAAAAAACTAAAAATAAAAATACAGTATCAATCGGTAAGGTAACAACCAAGTGGACTCTTTCAAAACGTTTAACCCATAAAGTGACGATTGCATACGATTGTGTGGATGAGATGCTGAGAGGCCTGAGACACCTTCTCAGCTAACTAATTAATCAATTTCAAAACTATTACTACCTCTGTACTAGTATTGAACTCCTGAAAACCTATACCTATTAGTTTTGCACATGTTGTCTTTATAGACTTTACGAATACATGTATGATCAATGATGTATACATACATAAACATTATTTGATCATTGAACAATGGTGTAATAAAATAATCTCATAAGCGGGACAAATTTTAAAGGTTTTTCTTACTCGCACGGCAATAACAACACGGATAGGTACCTATTTTATTACCACAGCAAATGATATGAAATTATTATAGAAAAATTGTAATTAGCTCTAATGGGGTACAATAATCAATAAAGCGAATACGTCCATACGTCGCGCCGCAACCACATTATTTACGGTTTAATAAAGTTAATCTTTTCCAATCGACGTTGAACGCCATTAATTTCCTCCCTCCAAACTTATTAGGTTCAATGTGATAACAAAATATATATATATATATATAGATTCGTACTTTGGTTGGCGTTACAAATGTCTTATGTCGTCTTCAAACGTAAAAACATCACTTTCTGTCATTGTCGAAAAAAGAAACCCTTTGTACGGTGTTCATAATACATGTTGCCCCTGCGGTCTCATCAACCGAACGGTTTTTTTTTTTTGGATATAGAAACTTACATACACACTATGCCGGTGGTAATATCCTTAAACTATGGCGCATACATTTTCAATGTGTTTTCACGTGTGTTTTTTTATTTATAGTTTATTCAAACGTCGTCTATATATATATATATATAGTAAGTAGTATTTTTTACATTATACAAGAGTCATTCTTTCGCACTACGGGCGTAATTTATTTCTTTTCCATATTAGAATTTTCAAACACTATTGTGTTGTACAGCCGTACACTTTGCGTTCTTTATAAGAAATATAAAAAAAAAAATGCCCGTCTAAAATCGAATATTTATTTTTGGGGCCGGTGTGTCAGTTACCCGTTTGTACATCAATCATGGCCACACATACACACACAAACCCAAGTGACGTTTAAGTATAAACATTTCAACTCGAATAGCGTTAGTTAGTTTCCGGTGCCTGCAAAATAATAGCAACCTATAAGTGTTCTTTTTCTCAAGACATACTTTTTGTCACCGACGAAATTTGTAATTTCTCATTCTCTGATAAAGGGATAAAACAGAGTTGTCTCCCTGACAAGTAATTTACCTGTCAACACCGGCTGACCCGCCACCGGTTGATATTCCTGGTACGAACTATAATGATAAAAAGCAATGCCAGTGTGTGCTCGGTTTTGATAACGAGGTCCTACATCTTTTTCGACTTGTACTTGTCGCAATATATAAATTATTACTGTCGCTTAACGTCGAAAATCTGTGAAAATCTGTCAGAGGCGATTGCACTTAGTGAGACTTATCTTCTTGAACCGGTATAATAGACTATGGGATTATAGTATGGTGACTTGTATTTTTTTATTCAATATTTCACGGTATTCAAACGTGTAAATAAATCGGCCAAAAATAAGGAATTTTGTATCAATAGTAGGTTAATTAAAATCATTTTTCATTTAATCACCAATCATACTCTCAATCCATCTATTAAGCCTATAAGTAACCATAAATATTAAAAACTACAATAGCGCGTCCCTATTAATATTACGATGAAATATAATTTATTATCACTTAATGGTTTTTGTTTTTTTTTTTTACAGGAATTAATATTAAACGAACATATATTACTAGATAATGTAAAAATATGTACATAAAGCGCTACCGTTCTATTTAGAATATTCATTATCATCTCTGTCGTTTGAAGATTATTTCAACGATTAATTAATAATTAAAATATGTGTTTTATTCGCTCGATGGTCGATAACAACGAAGGTATAATAGGTACGTTTAGTACTCTGGCTGTAATTAATTACATTCAAATTGCCAGAGTTATTTGCAAGAACAATTATTATTAAATATACAGGATGATTCACGTAACACGAACAGGCCATTATTTAAGTAAGTAATAGATTTTAGGTTAGATCCCTACACTGCTCAAACAGAGGTAGTCACCCCACAAACAAGCTCTTCTGACCTTAGAAATACGTTGTACTCAATACAAAATATATAAACACAGTCAAACGTTTATTAATGAAGCTGTCCGCATATATTCGGATGTATAATATTTATAACATTATAATATAATACATTTGTATTAAAAAAATAATTTTGCAAAAATGATTACTATCATCTGATGTGAAAAGTATTTCACAACAACAACATCAGGTGACGATGTTGTCTATGCGACCACAACGCTCGCACAAAATTATTGTTTAGTCTTATAAACAATCGTATCTGTTTTGTGTTATACAGCTGTAACAACTGTATAAAAACTATTTCAATAACATCAGTTTTTTGGCTATGGTGTCTAAGGTGATATTCTTTGATGGCAACGAAACCAAAGACACATTTGTCTAAAAAAGAAACCCCCTGCTCGCTTACACCCACAAGTATAAACCTACACAATGAACCTGTGGAGAACGGACGTGCTCGTGGTCGGAGTCGGGGTAAGTATATCATCTCCGTATAAGTCTGTATCTCGGGTCTAAAAGGGACAAATCTGCGATTTAACGACCATTGACAAGTGACCACCGTTTTTATTTCCCACAAAGACCAGTGAAGTGATGTGGTGATACACACATAGGAAAATATACCTAACTATAAAGTGTGGGTCAAAAGTGTTTATAATAGTGTGTATTAGTGATGGGACTGAAATCTATAATCTTAATCTATAATGTACTTTAATCCAGGTTAAACAACACATCTTCTGTTACAAATGTTGCTTTTTCTTTTTTAATTTGGTCAAGAAAACCACCTATTTAGTTGTTGTTATAAACTAGATAAATTTTATCTAGCGACCCACGCTTTGCTTAAAACTCAAGATTAGCCATTTTAGTCCCAAAGTACAGTGAAATAGTATCAATCAGGAAAATCGCGCAAAGTTTTATACTAAACCATTGCGGCCACCGAAAACGTTTCAGTTGATTTTAGCCGTCGTCCGGTGGGCACCACCAGCGACCAACGGCAGACCTGCGTTGGCTGTGGATCAGTTGACGTACATATTGAGCGGCTCGCACCTTAAGTGGTTCGAGCCCGGCGAACGCACTCAGGCCACCGACAGTGGCGAGTACGCGGCCCGGAACGTGGTGCCGTCCAGGTTCGCCATGCGGTACGACGGCCTGATATTCGTGGCCATGCCCAAGCTCAAGCCCGGCGTGATGTTCACACTGGGCGTCGTCGAGTACGAACCGTGCCTGAGCACCATCGAGCCCCCTATAGCGCCGTACCCGTGCGCGGCCGCCCACCGCAAGCAGGGCACCGGCAACGGCTGGACCATGGTCAATGTAGTGGACGTTTACATGGACGAGGCCGGTCGCCTGTGGGCCCTCGATGTGGGCAAAATTAATCTTTTAGGAAAAACGTCGGTCGTCCGCCCGCCCATGGTGTTCGCCATCGACACCGGAGTGGACGAGGTGAGTCCTCAAAACTAATTTGCATAACATATAAATAGTGGACAAAAATAGTGCATTTATTTCTGATTGTAAAAAAAAATGAAGGTTTTCACACTTCAAAAAAGGGTTGAACATTAGACATTTTTGGTATTAATTTTGTGTTATTCGTAGAAACCACTTACAAATTCAACAGTCTTCCTCTTTCAAAAAATAATAATAGCTACCAAGCGAGCTCAAAACAATTATCAAAATCCTATCACTGGTTTAAAAAGTCGTTTTTTCACCAATAGAATGGCTGCATTATAAATCATTGGAAATAAGTTGACATAATCAAAATCTATATGGCTATTTTTTCAATTACTTTCAACATTTTACCTCATCATAAATAGCAACGTGCACGAGTTATACACACGAATTGAGAGGGTTTTTAAAAGAAAAATTCCAATTCACTGTCTGTCGTCCTCCGATTGGACATGTATTTCGAAAATGTAAATTAAAGGTGCACGCTGCGACAAAAATAAATCCAACAGTCGAGGAATACAAAATTATACAAAGAACGGTGAACAGGAGGAGGGGAGGGGATTTCACCTCTCTACTGTAAACGTTTTTTTTCCAAATCATTCAAATACGGTCGACATTAAAATGTACATTTTTTATTTATTCAACTTATTGAATAATATACATACATAGATATGCGATAAACGCGTGACTCGAATAATGCATTTTTCTTTTATAAATATTATTTACAATACAAGTAATTTAAATATCGGTTAAAAAAAAACAATTATATTAATTTTGGCGGGTAGCCGTAAAAAAAAAAAATTGTTAATATAAACAAAACGCCGGATGGCAATAACGAGGATTCGCCGTCGAAACGCTTTTTTGGAATAAATTCAACCCTTCGGCTTGCCGAGGAGGTTTTTCATAAATATAATAATATGTACACTGTAATATATGATGTATAACGTTGAAAATGAATGATCGACCGGTATATGACGACGGACAATACTTAAATAGAAACGCGCCATTGCGCTAAAAGGACGTGTGATTTATAGCCGTTTTCTGGTAAAATCGCGCACAATGCCTGCACGCATTATCTATACATAATATACATGCATACACACACCCTTAAAACCGTTTTTCCATATAACAAACATTGTGTATTTGGCACACACAAAAGGTGCATCGAGTCGTTGTCAACGTCAGACAACCTAATTACGTTTGGACACACTTTAAATTCTTTCTCTCTCTTATATATTATATTTTTATAAGAATATATACACTTATATGTGGGTATGTGTGTGTGTACATCATTATAACGTTGTGGCACAAAATGCACACGGGGCGCGTTGTGACCGGAATAAACGAACAGACCTGAACACACAAAGACGGCGTTCCGTATAGGCAAAAAATAGTGCACCGACGTGCTTCGGGCCCGGCCGTTAGTGTTTGTCGAACGCTCGGAGCGTCCGCAATTACCGTGGCAGTCCCACGACAATAATACAAATAAAAACCTTGCAAATCACCTCAAATCGAATGCTGGGCCTGTAACGATATTCAAACATCCGACAAAACCGCCACGTTCACACATTATATCCATAGGAGCAGTTAGGGAGGTGCTACGGGGACTTAAGCAAGCACCCACCAAAAATTTTAACCCCAATCCTCGATTTGTACGCATACAGATGGTGAAAGGTTAAGAAACGAGCTAGTGATACACAATTTTCTTTGCTAATACCAACTTATTAGTGTCGTTTATTATATTTTATAAAGATAAACGTGCGTTAGAAAATTGTAACTACTATTGTAGTTAAAAATCCTGACAATATTTAGCGGTCGCTGCTTGCATTTTGTTTGTAAGTAGTCCAACCCGTTTCAGGGTTAATCACACGGCAAAACAATAAAATAATGACGTACTTGTCGCACAACGACTGATATACATTTAACCGGTTAGTGTTTTTTTTTATTATATGACACAACTTTTGCTTAGATAATAAATTTACATAATATTATATGGATAGTGTTGAATAATTAGCCCAAGCCCATTAAAACGTCCCTTTAATTCCGGATTAGACCTAACCGATACGGGATGTCTTTACCGGCCTTGCTTACTTTTCTATTGGCTTTTCTATGTTTCGACCCCGACCAGACCACCGCGGACGATATTGAATTTAAAAACAACTACCGACGTTAAACACTTCTAAAAACCAGTCGAAACATTGCAATTACAAGGCGAACGGCCGAGCCCCACTCCCTATTATATTATTGAAAACCGCCGTCCGGTACACTCTAAATACGTTTGTTATTATTTTACTCGCTGTATAAAAGAGTGAATAAACGAGAACAGTATATATTTACCCGAAAACGCTGACTATAGAAAATCAAACTTGTTTTGATTAATCGTGCCCGAGTGTTGGCCCGACTGTTGTTAATTAAACACATTCAAAAACGACGCCTTATTCTCGAAATGCGCAAAATATTTTTAACGACAATAATTATAGTGCATTTGCATCTGTGTGTAACCGAGTAGAAAAATCTACCATCATAATAAATCTGTTAAGAAACCAATTACTATGCGTGTTAAACGTATTGAATCATATAACTTAAAGCAAAAAAAAAACCTGGATTCACCGTTTAAACAATATTGACTTATAAAAATTTGTTATTTTAACTACACGTTTTTTTTTGTAAATAAATTATTGATAAAAAAAAAACGTGACAACGTTAAAATTTTAAAAATCTGCTAAATTTAAGTTTTTTCCTTATTTTGTCTTTGTCGAGTATGTTATGTCATTTCCGGTTAGTAAAATTTACTTCACACGACAAAAATAAAAACAAAATTAGCGTAAAAACCAAAGTTTTCGTAGCTCCGCGTAGAATTTCCATTAGTTGTAACGTGTAAATCTATTATAAAATACAAATATTATATTATATCATATCATATGTATTACAAAATATTTTAAATATTTTTCTGCATTGTTGTAGTTCATTCATGCCATCGATCTGTCCCGTGCCACCACGGAGGCCAGCTGTCTGCAGTCGATCATCGTCGACTCCAGTACTAGCGGCGAAACGTTTCTGTACATAGCGGACGCCGGCCAAGCCGCCGTGATCGTGTACAACGTGCATTGCGACCGGTCATTTAAGGTGCACGTGCCGGTGGGCCCGTGCGGCCGCCAGGACATCTTGTACATGGCACTGACGTCGGTCAACGAGTACATCCTGAACGGCGGCCACGATCCTTACGGGCTGGGCACCGGTCGGGACGATAACGATTTTCAGCGACGGCTGTACGTGACGTACCTGTCGTCGTGCCAAATGCTATACGTGCCAGTATACGAATTGGACGAAATTGACGTGACGTACAGTCTGTCGGCCGTGGGCATTGGGCGGAAACCGTGCAAAATGATCTTGTTGGGCACCGACCGCTCGTCCGTCATATACTTCCGGCCCGGCGAAACCAACGACATCTGGAGTTGGGACACGAGTACGCCGTTCCACGAGGACAACTTCAAGTAAATCGCTTAAATCCCATTTATATTGATATTACGTAGTACACTTAAGGGGATTGCATGCGGTGTTTTTTAAGGAGTTCTGTATAGGCAATATTTAAGAAAATAGTGGTTTTAATAAGTTTCGATCATGTCAACTAACTTACCAGTTAATTTTTAATTGTATAAGCTTCATGGTGTTATTTTTAATTTAAATTATTTTGTTTATGAGTAAAAACCATTTTAGTTAATATAACATACATTTTTTGTTCCATCGCACAAGCTGAACCAGTGATCCGATAAGTTATCTGAAAACAGATTGGAATTCTTTATGAAGTTTACTTATGATCGGTCAGGGTACTTTTTTGATATCTTATTCCTACTATGTATCAAATACGTTTGAACATTATATAAAATGTCAAATTTTAAAATCAAATTAGGGAAGGGTTAAAAAAAAATTGAAAAAAGTACCCTGACCGATCATAAGTAAACTTCATGGCGAATTTAAATCTGTTTTTAGATTGCTTATCGGATCACTGGTTCGGTCTGTGCAAGGGAATAAAAATGATGTGTTTTGACTGAAAAAACCGACCGCATGCAATCCCCTTAAATTACTTTATTTAATCTAGAAGCATTTTGGCTCAAAACGATAAAAAATAGATATAAATGTGAAATGTTACATTAGGTTTTGACCAAAAGTTGTTTTTGATAAGCCGTGATAATTGTTTAGTTTTATTTTATTTTACAAATCGAACTTGATTGATTTCATTATCATATTATTTTACTTAAAAAGATCTATATAGTTTTTAATACTACATAGACAAAGTTTAATGCATTGAAAGTGCATACATAGGTACAAACATTGATTATTATCAATGCTATTATTTAAATGCCTTATGCCCTTATATGTACATAAGTCGTTCGATTATTCAATCAGCTAAGTCCCTCTTTTTCTTTTTGATAAAACACAAAAATCCAAATCCGGATATTACCGCGGCCATCACTAATTTATAATTAGAAAAAATATTCTTACAGAAAAATATCTCGCAACCGGAAATTATAAAATTATAGTAGAGCTGTTAATCGTTAATGTGCCGTGTCTCCCTGGCACAATTAAACGTTTATAAATTGTATAACAAGTTTATCTGACAATTATAAACCTCCAAAATTAGTATAAATTAATATAATTTTAAAAAAATGTATTGCAGTAAAATATTCACATTGATAAAGTAATGATGATCGACATGAATATCAAGGTGTAATAAGGTAATTAGATTAAGTCATTATGTTATGCTTTGAGGCCTTCAGCCTTGTAATAAGAAGTGAAAACCCACATCAATCACAATAATAATAATATGGTTTTTACTTTTAAGTCAATATGCATGTTGATAATTATTTTTTACTAATAGGATTTTTGTGAATATTTTACTTCAATAATAACAATAAAAAATAAGAGGGAAATAAAAATCTCTCGCTAAAAATATAACAACTATAAATGAAGGTATTTTTAACAGCACTAACTTCAAGCTGTAAGGTTAATTGTACCATCCAAAGGGACTTTTTTCCACCTAATTCCAAAAGGAGTTTCTGCCAATAGCTTTTGAAACGTATCAAATTTTCGGTTAAAGTAATACATTTACTTTCCAATTAAGATCAGCTTATTATTAGCAATATTTCAAGTGTTCTCAGGTCACTATAATGTGATAGGTAACTAATAAGTAATAACTATAGTAGTAGATACGTGTTTTTGTGTGCAGAATTAATATTATTAATAACTGCAACAAAGGACATACGTCATTATTACCTATTATATTGTTAATGGCATATATATAAAATATAAATGTATGTAAATGAATCATACAATTAGAAGTCCTCATCATTATTTTTTTTATTTTTGAAATTACGTTTATTACATTATTTTTAATATATTGTTATATTTATTTTTTAATCGAGATTAAAATATAATAGTAATATTTCAACAAAACGACAAAAGAAGTGGAAAAAGAATAAAACGTACTAAACCTGTCTTGTAATCTTTATAATACTAATTCGGGTTTTAACCTGCATGTGTGTGTGTGTCTAACTGACCTTAACTTTAGATAAAATATACATATTTATGTTTTCATTTAATTTCATTTATAATACGTGTGATAACATCAGTAGGTATATATGATGCGTTAGTGAGCATGCTACATTTTATAATGTCATTCGAGACACAAGAATACCGATTTAACAAAATAACTTAATTAGGTTACAGTGTACAGATCTCAATGACACAATTCGATAGCCAGTCTAGTCATAATTTCAATGTAAACCAAACGTGCCTAGGTCATACAATTTTTTTTTTATTTACAAAATTACAATTTTTTAAATTTTGTATTTGTCTTTACCTTGAAACGATATTTAGTAAATCCTTGAAATAATAGTGTATTTTTAAAAAATGTTATTTAATAATTATTGGTTTGTTAACAATAATACAATGAAATAAAACCGTTTGTCTAATAGGTACAACTTGAGGATCTTAAAATCGCTTAATCAAACGAGTTAATTGAGTAAATCAATTAAATACTAATAAAGTTTATTCTAAACACTCTAATGACTACCAACAGGCTATTTAGTGAAAATAATGTTAACGGTTAGGTACATTTTTTTAAAGACCGGAACCAAATGTCATATTTTTAACGAGATGCTAAAATGTATGATGAACTATTTGAAGGTTTTATTAAAAAATAATATTATAGTTTTTTTTTCTTTAAGGGGATTGCATGCGGTTGGTTTTTAAGGAGTTTTGTATAGGCAATATTTAAGAAAAAAGTGGTTTTAATAAGTTTCGAACATGTCAATTAATTTACCGGCTAATTTGTATAAGCTTCATGGTGTTATTTTTAATTTAAATTATTTTGTTTATGAGTAAAAACCATTTTAGTTAATATAACATATATTTTTTGTTCCATCGCACAAGCTGAATCAGTGATCCGATAAGTAATCTGAAAACAGATTGGATTTTTTTATGAAGTTTACTTATGATCGGTCAGGGTACTTTTTTGATATCTTATTTCTACTATGTATCAAACACGTTTGAACATTATATAAAATGTCAAATTTTAAAATCAAATTAGGGAAGGGTTAAAAAAAAATTGAAAAAAGTACCCTGACCGATCATAAGTAAACTTCATGGCGAATTCAAATCTGTTTTTAGATTGCTTATCGGATCACCGGTTCGAAAATTGCTTAACGAAATACTATAAAAAGAACAATGGCGCAGTAAAAGCAAATTTATTTATCAATAAATTTCATATTTTTGGCATGAATTTAATTAAACGTTAAACAATAAACGAGTCATAATCGCTTTTGTATGTTACAAATTATAACGCCACTGCTTTTATGGGTATTATTTTCTTTGTATACAAATGTATAATAGGTGTGATAACTTCCGTTTATAAATAATTCATTTTTTCCCTCGTTCTAGATACGTGCTAGAGTGGCCTATTCTATTTTTATGGGAACTGATGGTAACGATGTTTATAGGTTCGTGCAATACGGACGAACGACCAGAGTACCGTTAATGGTGAACATTGGCTTCCGAGGTTATCAATGGTACATGGAGAGCAACTTCATCGACTTCCTATTGGACGATATCGGATGTCTGGGCGTCAGCACCAAGATCCAGCCGCTGCAGATAGTGAGCGACGAACTGGAGTGCAGACCTGCTTTGCCATTAGACAATGGACCGAACTGTAGTACCGACGATGCTTTTGTTTGCTTGAAAAATCTCATTCCGTTTGAACATGCAATTTTGTATTAGCAAATTACGGTACATTAAGTCGACGAATCGATCATTACGTTGTAATTAGTATTTTCTAAGTTATTGTCTTATTTATTACGTCAGCAGCTGATGTCGTGAAGGTCATTTCAACCGCGTACGTATTCTTTATAAAATACAATTTTCACCTATCTATACTTAATTATTAATCAATTACATCTCTAAGGACTCTTACATTAAAAAATTTGTATTAATTAAAAAAAAATTGTAATTAATTAATAAAACATTTGTATAAAATATTACCTTACCGCTTCTCAGCTTAGCTTTGCTTCTGATAGGCCAAACTTTATTTTTATCTTTTGGACCGTTGTTTAATAATTTGTATAGGATTTATTTCTTTTGTCTGTATACCTTGCCAAATATCTGCCTTGTATAACTACGATTTAGATCTGCGCATTTTTATGGATACAAACGTCAAATGTAATAGTGTAGTACTACTAAAAGTATAGTATCTACAGCGCTTCTATTCGTTTTATTATGTATAAATTAAGATGTAAAATACATTATTATAATATTATATTATATTATTATTATAATTATTGAAAAATGTTTATGTCTCAAGTTATACAAAATATGTTCCTTGGTCAATAGCATTCTAAATAATTAAAACATATTTTCATCGAAGGAAATTAATTTTGATTATTTATATAAATTTGATTGAGTGATTTTTAGCACTATCAGTTATGATAATACTCAAGGACCAGAAACTCTCCCCACCCCACTACGTTGGATTTTTTTATTTTACTTTATATTACCAAGTTTAAAATTAATACTTATGTAGAACACTAAAGATCTAAATAAATTTAGTCTAAAATACATTTTAAAAAGCCAGCCTAGTGGAAGCAGAACATATTAGGGACGGAGAGGCCACAGTATTGATCATAACTGAAAGTAATAAAATTGATGCACACTGAAGGAGTTAAAAACTATAAAAAAGTTTTTCAGCCGAGTCTGCAACCACGAAAGAGCATTTTCATGTCTCTTTGAAGTACCAAATAAATTTAGAGTAATGGTGGAATTATAGATAAAATGATATAGTATATAAACAAGCAGTAACAAGCTAGTATCTAAGGTGACTATTATACAAAAACATCAAGTTTCTGGCTAATATTGTAGTATTTAATTTCTGGCTTAAAACAATTCATAGAGAATTTAGGCCCTTAAACTATTTGAATTTATCATTTAGTTATAATTTGAACTTTGAACGTACAACATATCTCTTATCTCCTATCTCCTACCCCTATATTCCACCTCCAACCTCACCTTCATCCCCATCAACGTGTGATAATGCTTTTTTGACATTTTCATGTCTTAGCTCTGGCACATAACCCTGGCAAATATCCGAAAAAAGCGTTACCATAAAAGCGTTACCAAAAAGGCGTAACGAAAAAAGCGAAAGGGTTGGGGACGGGAGATAGGGTGGAATAGGGGGTAGGAGATAATGGTGAGATTAAGCCGGTAAATAACCGAAAAAAAGTGTTACCAAAAGAGCGTTACGCTGTTACGCGCCGCAATGTAACAAAAACTACGAAGCGACGTCGAAAGACAATTATCGGAATGACCATTTCGGATCTATTTCGAATGTTAATCTGTTACGCTGTTATCTGATTTGAGATAAGAGATATGTTGTACGTTCAACGTTCAAATTAGAACTAAATAATAAATTCAAAACAGTTTAAGAGCCCAATTTCTCTATGAATTGTTTTAAGCCAGCAATAAACACTACAATTTTAGCCAGAAACTTGACGTTTTATTATACTAGCTTGTTACCGCTCGTTAATTTACTATATCATTATCTATAATTCCACCACTACTCTAAATTTATTCGGTACTTCAACGAGACATGAAAATGATCTTTCGTGGTTGCAGACTCGGCTGAAAAACTGTCTTTTTTGGTAACACTTTTTTCGGTTATGTGCCAGAGCTAAGACATGAAAATGTCAATATAATATAAACTTTTTTATAGACAATCAAGTATATGTTTATAACCGTAAACCAAACGTGTTATTTGATTTTTATTTATTTGGTTTAATGTTTGAAGTGTATTGAGTCATCACACAGATCTATCTTCTATTTTTAGACCTTGTCTAAAACCTACAGCCAAAAAAAACAAATTAAGTTAAAATTACAATTCTTTATGGGGGAAAGGGTAAACAATATTTGTTTAGTTTTCCACTGTAAATTGGAAGTGACTACTGTTTTTTTAATATCATAATTTTAAGTAGAAAATGTTCAACATTTATGGTATTTTCTCGATTTTTTAAGTGGAAAGGTAAATTTAGAATAATATGAAACTTTCTCAAAAATCTGTAGACATTTATTTTTTTTATTATATGATATTAAATAAATATTTAATGTATGCTGCCCTTTAGAAAAGTCTTGTCTTTTAAACAACGGACGATGTATTATTTACATTTTTAATTGTACTTTAAGACATTTTAAGATTTTGGGCTTAATAATTAAATCAGTATACAAAACACATATAATTACAATTTTAAAGCTCCAAAAAATGAAGTTGTCATCAAGTACATGGTTATTTAATTTTAGCATAATTAGGTAATATATATCGTGATGGCAGCGTTCAGCCTTCCAGGTCCATTAAGCTTACATGATAATGATGATGACATTCCAACTATTACTGTTGCTGTTTAAGTATCATCAAAGTGTTTAAAAAAATAATTGTACCAATAGACATACTATATTATATGTATTTTTTTTATTTTCATATTAAATACAAGCTCATCAACACTATACATAATTGTTTATATATTTGATTTGCATTGACACAAGTATTTATTCAAAAAATGTATAAATATATATATCATAATATAAGGCCTAACTGCCTGTGACGAACTTAATTTTTTTTTTAAATATATAATATAATTATACTTTAAATTCCTCAATAAACATAATTTTTGTTTCACATAAATATCTATACTCAACTGTACAACATAAATATTATAACATTTTTTATAAGTGTTTAAACAATAATTCATCCCTGTTAACGGGTCTACCCATAAAACGAGTATACAAGTAAATATAATGATCAACATTTTGTAATTAAATAAACAATAAAAGAAAAACTTAAAACTTTAGTTGAAACACAAATTAGTCAATTAAATTTTCATTTGAATAAAAATGTATATCAATATGTACATATATATTATTATTCAAATACATGTATACATAAATAAAAATTTGGTACTTCATATATATTGTGTTCTCAATTTTAAATAATATATTTTTCCTATTTTTTAAGGAATCATCTGGTATTTTCTTTTTAAGCTATAAGTAATAATAATATAGTTAATATACTAACTAAAACATTTCATACCTATTTATCTAAAAGCTATTCACCTTAAAAGTGTAGCAATTATTGGAGTGTTTTTTAACATTATTGTATATGTATAAAATATGTTTTATTATATCTGTGTTAAAAAAATATCAAGTAAAAAAGAATAATAATATAAAACCAACAAGATGAACAAAACAAAAATAATCCCTGAATTGATTTTACTGAATGAAATCTCACTTAAATTTTATGTAATCTGTCGTAAAACATTAAAAAAACTTATTTCCAAAGAATGGTAGTTAATATTAAATAAACATATATTGTGATAAAATAAATAAAAATATAAATGACACAATTTTTTTTTTTATTTTAAAAATAAATAACACAACCAAAGAGGCATATGGGTGCGTTGACTTTGCTAATCTTTCTTCATTTTATAATTCAAGTATGGAAAGGACATGGTGGTTGATACTTCTAATAACAAGTTAATCCTAACAATGATAAACTTAACATTTATATATTATGACCCCTAATGAGATGAATAACCATTAAAATTTGTTTTTTTTTAGTAATTCCTGTAAAAAAAAGTATAAACATGTTTGTATTATTGTTATGAATTAATTATGTAGGCATTTTATCAGAAAATATTTTAAATTATGATTATTTGTGGAAACATAATATGTTTTTTGAAAACACAATAATTATAGAATTTACCTTAATCTGTAGGGCTATATGTGTATAGAAATAACATGAATCCAATAATTCATGTCATCAAAATTGAAACATTTGGCTAGCACTTGTTAACATCAGGTGGCGTCACAAGATATTCATCAGCTCTCTTGTGGTCATTCAATGCTCTCACTGTGTACGTATCATGTGGTAGCTCGGATTTGCGTCTCAGCAACGGCTTTTCTTTTCGATTTTTTCGGTTCTACAAGTTATTTAAAAAAATATATAAATATTTATGTACAAATAAAAACCATGTTATTGTATTGCATATCAATGTAAGTTTATTACATCTGTATCAATATGGTATTTGGTGTCCTCTTCTAAACTCTTTAAGTCAATAGTCGGATCCAAATCATTGATTGGTGATCTAGCCAAATCACCATAACACGAAAATTCACTGTCAATTGAACCGGTGAAACTGGGATTTTTTTTTGCTAGCTCTTCAACTTTATGCCATTTTTCATCTCGTTTTTTTAATTTATCCATTTCCCTGTTCATTATTTTTCTCAGATAAGTACGAGTTGGAAAAAATAAGTTAAATATTTTCAAAATAAATTAAGTAACAATACTAACGTTTTTCTGTCTTCTTTATACTGTTGTGTACACGTATGAAAGAGTACAGGATTTGTTTCTGTGAATATTTTCAATGCATTGTACATAAGACCATGTATGTTTCTGAAAAAAAAAAAATTAATAACAATAGGTGTAATAATAAGTGAAATAATTTTGTAATTTATACAAATTATAATAAATAATAAATGGAGTAAATGATAGATTGAGATTGATCGAGCACAAAGAGAACCGTGTGATGAATAAGAACAGATGGAATATCATAGTAGTTACAGTAATGGGTCACTTAATGGGTCTATATGATCGAAATCTAGATGTCAAGTTGGATTATCTAGTAAAATTCAGAAGGCTTATTGTAGAGTGAGATAGAAATTATTTGTAGTTGGCAAGCAAGAAATATATTGATTGTTATGTTAGCCGTTTAGAAACGATTACATTAAAATGTAATATACATTTTTAATCGATAGAGTATTGAGTCAAGAGGAGGGCAAGAGGACCAGTGGATAAGATATCAGTGTTTGGCGCTCACTATCATACGTTTGACATTCGGTTACGGGCGCTCTGTTTGCCAGGCAAGAAATTGCTGGCAAAATGGAGCTCTATCATCCTCCTTTCCAGCGGTACTGACGACTTGTCACGTTTGTGAACTTGTCAAAATACCATCTCAATATAATAAAATAATTTCTATTGTAAGACATACTTGTTCCAGTGAGTTTTTGAATTTTTGTACAGTACAGGAAACATAATTGGCAAAATTTCATCTACGTTTTCAGACATTAGAGACATAATGTATTCATTATTCCAAAAGTAAAGAGCTCTTTCAGCAACCTGAAAAAAAGTACAACAGTATACATTTTAATGTTTTAATTAATCATAATTAACTATTCATTTTATAATAGGTTAAATTTTTCCATTTTTTTTTTTACAGGTCTCAAACAAAAACTTTAGAAATAAAGATAGTTACTTGAAAATGTTGACTTGAAACGCATCTAGCTATTTGGTGAATTAACGGCTTCAGTACTTTTTTGAACTCCATTGGTTCAATAATGTCCAAGATTTCTTCAAGCTCATTGAGAAACATGACCTAAGTAACATGATCGGTTAACATAATTTAACATATTTAAAAATATTAACGTTCTCACTTCTTTTGGGGAATGTGTTTTTGGCCAATATTTTAATAGACTTTTAATAACAGGTTCCGTAAGTGCAGGGTCTTTCTCAAGGAACTGAACTATACAGTATGCAAGTTGAGGATGATACACCGAAAGCGACTTCACTTTATGCAAGGGCAGTAAGACTTTTAACAAGAATACCTTGTGTTCCTCTTTTAATGGTAGAGCAAATCCATTGACAATGCTAATGTAAATTTGAATTTCAATAAAATATTAATAAAATTGTAAAAAATTAAAAACAATAAAATTAATCTGTCATACCTTCCTAAAATTTCTAAAAGTTCAGCAATGCCATTATGATGTTCAGTTTCATAAATAAAACTATACAAAAAAACACATATAATTAAATAAACTCAAACTAAACCAAATAAAATAAAAGTATATGTATACCTATAGAATATGTTGTTAATCTGTTTCCGTATGTATGCACGCAAACTTAAAAATTTACCATAAATCCGATGCAATATGGTTTTTAGAAAGTCTCTTTCTCGTGGATCTTCCGAATCAAAAAGCTCCAACAACTAAAGATAAGAACATCATAATTTAATAAGACAAATGTTATTAAGTTTTAAATTATATTACCTGGAGAACAAATTTTTGATCAATATAATTTTTAGCTATTGATGGTTGGAAGTCCTGAGATTCCAAAAACCTTAGGAAAAACTCATATACTAATTGAAGATGTGGCCAAGCAGCTTCTAAAAGAGGTTCATCCTCTTCTGGATCAAATTCTGCACCATTAGGATTACTCGAAGGAGGTAGACTACGAAATAAATTTACTGCAAACTAAGAAGCGAAATTCTCTCAACGCTGATTTACAAATAGTTATTACAAAATTTTATTTGACTATTTACCATTCTCACAGCTTCAGGATAAATAGCCTCGGTAAGCACATTACCGTGGTTAGACGATAAATAATCAACCATTTCGTGTAGGGTTTCTCGTTTTATTTCTTTCCATTTCAGATCAGACTGTGGATCCGAAATAAAATCAAACAACACACAACACTGTTGCATTTTTTGGATGAGCAACTGTTCCCGTTCAGACACATTGACCTCTGTAAATAAAAAATATAATTGATTAGTACAAGACTACATTAATATTTATCAAATTTTATTCAATATTAATTTAAGATCACGTTAAACAGTGACATAAGTCCAGTTAGACTCATTAGGGGGCCAAAAATTGTCTTACGCTCTTTAGGCATATAATATGTAAGAGTATACTGTAAAAATGTGCATTAAACATTACATACGCTTGGTGTACCTTTACGGAAACTAAAATGTCGTAAAAATACTTAAAAATAAAATGCTTAATAAAAAATATACTTCTAACCTAGAAATCCAAAATTATCTCTATTGGATTCTAAAACCGTTTGTTTTAATTTTTATATTTTGTTAATTATTTTTTAAGACCTTAAGTAAATAGTCATTAACTTAATTACTTTCCCAGTGATTAGGGAAAAAAAGGTTTCCCAACTGAAAAAGTGTAGTGTCTATATTATTGTTAAGACATTAATTTATAGAAATGTTTAGTTTATTAATTACATTAAAAAGTTTTAAAAAATATGATATAAACATACCAAATAGCCTCGTTATTTTAATTATTTTTTTGTAGTACAGTTTATACATGGGTACAAATACCAAAAGGCAAAATCCAATATTGTTGTCTATGTTAAAAACCATATTTAATTCTAGATAAGGAATCTCATAAAGACAATGTCATTATTAAGTATATCATAAACGTTTATCAGATTTATTTAGTAACATTGGTATAAAGTTAAATTATTTTTATTGTACATATTATATTATTTGCTGCATCTGAACAAATAATTTAATTCATAATATTATGTCTATTTTTATAAAAACATTTTGAAAACTATACATTGAACCGTAGTTAAAATGTATAGACCATTATAATTCTATACAACCGTTAATTACACGCACAGATATGATGTGCTTAATTATTTTAGCCATATTAATTGACTTACGTTAATTCACCGGGACCTCGTGAAAATGTAACAACACTATATATCAATAATCGATTGTAATTAAAATTAATTTCACTTAAATTATTATTAATAATACAAATGCGCGGACTGAAAGAAAAACGAACGAACGCGATATAATAATATAATATAGATACAAAGAATTAAAATATCAAACACATACTATGGACCAAAATAATATAAGTACATCAATATCCATCGATAAACGTATTAACGGCTGTCTTCATGAAAATTATGAGTTTAAAATAGTATAACGTCAAATGAAAAAATATAAGTTAAAGCGCATGATATCAGATTTAAAAATAATATACTAACAATGACTCGTTTAGTTTTACAAATAAACGTTCAAACGTGTAAACGTAGGATACTTTTATCACAATGGACGATAGTTCGTCAAATAACGCTGATTCAAGGTATGGTTGAATGTGGTTAAATAATTTCACACAAGGGTCACTGTCGGAAGTCCAATGTGACAGTATAAATATTAAAACTATTTTCGTCTCGCTGCTGGCAAAATATTGAAGAGCATTAAAAATAGACGAGCAGTGTTTCTATTTAAAAATTTTAACACCAACTAAACTGTAAACCAAGAAAAGAATAAAGTCGTACCCAACAACACATTGGCCCGTGACAAATAGTTTAAATTTGCATATTCCGACACAACTTGTCTAGATGTGGGTTTTTACTTTTTACTTTTAAATAGTGTAAAACAGATGCAAATCAAATGCAATAATTTTTCTCATTTTGCATTAGTTTTAATTATTTAAAACACAAATATTTTAATAACGAAAAAGAATAACGTTACAAAATGACTATTAATAAAACATGTAATTTATTCAAAAAATATTGTATTTAATAATTGTTATGGTGTCAATAGGAAGGACATTGGCCATATGTGACATCAATAAATAGCACACTAAATATACGCATTACACTCCAAACTAAATACACAGGCTTTGCAACAATATAACAATTTTACATATTCAATACAACCTTACTGACAGTCGTGTAAAAATCATGTGTGTACATAAAAGTTTTCAAATAGTATTTAATAGTTCATATTGTGTTTTATAACAATATATAACTAAACATAGCCTTTACCCAACCCCCAAAAAAGAATATGTTAGTTATTAATGAATAAAATATAAGTAATTGATTTATAATGAGTTTTACTTGTTTTTAGATGTACAGCTATTTTTTTAAAATATCTACTTTTAAAAAATATTTAATTAATACTGATTATAATCTAAAAAAAACTTAAGCACTCATGGTTATATGTAGTAAAATAATAATAAAAACCCTAAATTAATAGGTAAGAGGGAGATGTTTGCCCGTAATCGGTCTCAGTCTGTCGTGAGCGTTGAAGATGACAACGTTGTTGCCGAAATACGACGTATTCGCGGAGAGTATATAATTTTTATGGTTAAGGGTTTTTATTATTATTTTATTACTGATTATAAATCTTCTTATAAATTATCAGATTGAAATTTAAAATTTTACATTATAAATAATGAGTATGTAAGATTTTATAGTAAATTTTTAATTTATGATAGACATAATAATAATGTTTGTGTTTACACAATTGAAACTTATTTAAAAAAATATGTTTATTTTAATAGGGAAAATGTATACATTTTATTAACAAAACATGGTTAAAATGTTCATTGTATGCAAACATAAAATAAGGTTAAAGCGTGCCTCACTCATTGCATCAAGTATTGATTTTTATTTCAGTTTTTCGCATATATTGCGTGTAGAGGTAGTTATATAGTTTGCTGTGTGTATTATATAATATTGTAGTAGATACGCTAGTACTATACACAGCATGCTGTGTATAATTTTATACTGTATGGTGTTATAAACATGTCAAGAATCTTTTGAAAAAAATGTTCAAGTTATTTAATAGGTTCTCTAGATAATTATAAATTCACTTGATAACTTATTAGACACTGGTATTTATAAAACATACTAATGTGCTGTGCCAAACTCAATGTTACTTACAACACATAATAATATTATAAACAGAATCTAGTAGAAAGGGAAATATAAACATTTTCTAAGTACACAAATAATAATAGTTTTCTCTGATAAAAGAGCCGAAAAGACGGTAACGGATTGATAAATTTTGTTGAGCCCAAATATATTATTAAAACGGTACGCACGAGCAAATAGTAGTCGCATAGTCATGTATTTAGTTTGATAGGGGCTCACGCTGAAGTAGGCAAGGAATTTAAAATGAAGGACATAACGCAATTTAAATAACAGGCAATAGAGATACAATGTAAGGCATTATAAAAGTTATAATACCATAAAAACGTTTCTTTAAAAATATTCTGACAATGCGGTCTTCATCATACTCTATAAACGACTTATATATTAATAAAAAAATACAAATGACATTACACATTACAAATAGCAACTTATCAATGTTTGTGTTTAACGATTTATGTAAAAAGGTACATACTAACAGGAAAACAATAAATAGGTAGTAAATAATGACTCCTTCACTTGGCATTTGTTACTTTAACGCAAGCTAAAATATGTACTGCAGTTTTATTTACTTTATCTAGGTCCAGACTTTTTGATATTATACTTTATCGACCATGTCCTATGGTATCTAGTTGGTGACATCGGGGTGTCCAAAGACTCGAAAGTACTATCTTTCCACCCGCTTCAAATCAATAAAAAGCCTTTAAACAAAATGTTTGTTCAATTTAAAATAACGCTGTAATTTCCTGAACAATTATCGAAAATTATGAAATAATATGTCCTGTTAAACAAATAATTATCACTAGTGGAATCTAGTTCAACTTAAAATACTTCAAATGAATTCATTTAAATTCGTAACAGGAAATATGAAAGGGCTTTTTACACTACAATAACGTCACGTGCAATAAAAAAACTACAATAATAATAAAATATTAATTTAAACTATACATGACTATTTCAAAAACAAAATTAACGTGTTACATACATCAACTCAGTTACTATTTAGCATAAAAAATGTGTACGTAGATAACAAAAATGAACTGCCGCTGACCAAGGGATTATGTTAGCATAAATAAAATATATGATGTAATATCAGTTGTATTTTACTTAATACAATGTAGATATATTGGCATACACAGAAGCACTCATTATGGTTTCTCAACAAATTGATATTTAGTATACACATTTAAAAATTGACTTCTGTTTAGTGTTCACGATTCGTGTTGAATTTAGTTAACCAACAAATAAAACATGGCTAATTATTGATAAGATAATATATTCTTTGAATATTATTAACTTAAACCTAAGTAGGTATTTAGAGTCGGTGCACCAATTTAGGTTTTTTTTAAATAAATTAACTCTGCGAGGCAAATGCAACATAAAACTATGTCACTAGGGTGACAATATACGCGTTTTGAATAACATAAAATCAACGTACACAACAAAACCATAAACTTGTATTTACTTCAGTAAAAATAATTTAATTTTTACGAGCTATAACAACAGTAGGTACAGATGTTTCAACGAAATAAATTGTTTTATTTTTATATTTATTAACATCAGCTGTTGCCCTGTTCAACGACGTTTGAAACACGCATGCCTAAATGTTCCACATTGCAGTTGGTACTACACTCGTAACTGCTGCCAAACTAATTAGTATTTAGTAATCAGGCACTATTTTGCATTGTCATGAAACTCTCGGAGGACAAGTAAATAATTACTCACGGCACGTAAATCAACTAGTTTTAATTTGAGACGCTATCGGTTGTTTAGCATTGTTTATAAACATTACAGTGTTTTTGTAAGAGGCTTAATATTGCGGTTGTTAAGCGCATTTCACGTTTATGTCCTATCGGCGTTAACAACAGCTGTGTTATCCGTGAATTTTTTTTTTTTTGGCTTTTGTCCACACAACCCGATTACTATACGAACGAATGTGATGGTCGTGAAGATAAAATTGCACGGAATAAAAGTGCTGCTAACACTGATAGCGCAAGGAATATAAAAAAATATATATATTTTGGATACATTGCAAAGCTGTGGCTCTATTGTTTGAAGACATAATAAAATATTGTTTTTATTTTTATACATTGTGTGGGAGGCAAATACCGGAACGCGCAGTATTACCACGAACGTGGAACAGTTAATAGGGAGTTTTATTTGGAAGTTGAAACCATCATTCATATTTGGCATTCAAATTAGAGATAAAAATAGAGCAACAAGAAAATTAAATTGCTTACAAATCTAATACAATTAAAATATTTTATAGCAACAAAATAAATCACTTAAATTATTTTATTTTAACATTATTTCTCCAAACAATAATATTTAGGTCAATTTGTGTTGCGAAACCACAAATAGAGTAAAATAATTTACAGTCAGTCAAATAAAATAAAAAATATTGATAAATAAATTTAAAATATAGTAAGATCAAATATATTATTATTTTTATAAGTGTCGTATTTCAATTTTTAAACTGGTTAATAATTTTACGATTTTGTTCGATAAAAATAATTGGAAAACAGAAATAGAAAACTATTATTTATATTTTCTTTTAGAAAGGAAGGGTTATTTTTTACTGTCGTTAAAGTAGCTCTACATAGATGCTAAAAAGCTGTTTGTCTGATGGGCAAAAAGAGATTCTAGTATCTTTTCAAGAAATTAATAACAACAAACATAAAACAATCATAGTAAATGCAAAACATTCTCACACCTACTCTCACTATGAAAGCCAATACATTGCAGAAAATAAAATCAATTTTTTTACTTTAATAAATCCAGAGTGGAACGAGTTGTAAATAATATTTAATTTTAACCGTTGTTATACGCTCGACGTCATCGTACAGTAATACGCCTTAAAAGGAAATTTGATTATACATTATTTTTACGGTAGCACAACCGAGAGGTCTTTTTAGATTTCTAAGACATGTATAAACTTTAATTAGGTTAACTCCGCCTATGATTGAGAATGCGATAGTTGATAAGTGAACGGAGGGTTGTTTTTCTGAGAACGACAAATAAGTTGCTAATGTAATTGTTTTGGCATTTTTCGGCTTCAAGTCCAATACGTTGTACATGTTATTATACTGGCCAACATAAAATAAAATACATTCTACGAATATTTTATTATTCATAGTACCCTCGAATAATTCACGAGAACAATTGAGTAACAATGCCAAAATAAACGTATTTCGTCCATAAAAAAGTATAGGTACCGTCAATCTTATAGTGTAAATAAAATATTTATTTATAATAGAAATATAGTTGTTGTCCGACAGCGTAAGTATTACTACATTGTTCTCATGAGTCCTTGAGCTATATTATATCATTGGAATATATTTTACTATTAGCATAATTATAAAAGAATACAATGCATAATTCCATACATATACCTATTCCTACATGATGTAGGCTACATCATATAGGTTAATTTGTCTAGTTGTAGCCAATTGAGAACGGTTAACGTATACAAATATTATTGACAATGTAAATTGTATAATAATACCAATAATTTATTGATCTAAAACCCAGTCTACTTTTATTATATTAACGTCTAGTTACAATTATTTTACAATACACTTAAATTATAAAAATTATTTATAATCAATGGTACTAATAACACAACGTTATTGGAAAAAAGGTGTAAGCTAACAAGTGGCAACGAACTACAAACAACGAACATTTTTATGTTTAACATTGTCATAAAAAAAAAGACTTTCAATAATTACTTTTTTACTACAAACTTTATGTCAAAATCTTTATGAACATATTACATAAGTGAATGGAGTATACCCCCTGTCAGATAATTAGTACTGTTCAGGTTTTCTCAGTACAATAGAACAGAAAAAATGTATTATGTTGGAAATTAAAAAAACACCTACTACAATGACAATTAATTTTCATCATAAAAAGAGTACCTAACACTTTTTTGTCATCCTTACAATGACTTTTAGGAAAAGTAATTTGGGCCGTTATATTAAAGTGTAAATTATAAATTAAACTGAACCAGAATACGATCGTTGACGTCATTAAATATCGGGTGCCTTATAGTTTTCGAGTCGTCTTATCCAAACACATGGCGAAGACGTTACACGCACTTGCAAGTCGCAGAACATAAAAAAACTGAGTAAACTCAGTTAAGACTTCATCCACACTTCATGCAGATACATTAATGGATATGCCCTGATAATTATATGATTATTTCCTATCTATAATCTCCTTGCGATATATGATGATAGTATAGTCTTAATATTATATTTTCTGGCCAAACGTCTTTAAGTAGTTTTATAATACCTGGCCTTTATCGACTTACTGGCAACATTTATCAATATTTAACTTTTCTCATAAATCAATTTCCGTGGTTCGCCAGTCAGTAAGTGCCTACCTAACAAATTAATTTGACTATCCTTATATACATCTTTATATCCTTATATAACCTGCAAATTGATGTATCTGCATGAAGTGTAGATACTCTTAACTTTATTTTCATAACATAATCCCTCCATAATGACGTTAGCACTGTGACACTTACCATGTCGCTCAAAACGTAACGGACAAATTTTCAGAATGACCCCTAGCCATAAGACATATCCATGTCAATTAGTCACGGCATAAACCAGAATGAAAAAAAAAATCGTAATTATAGTTTCATAAATTACAAGAACGCCCATAAATATATCGAAAAGAATGCGCAAAGATTATAATAATTATTATAATATATTAGTAGTTACCCAAAGCTTTGAAAACTGACTGAGACTATACGCCCCCTCTCCGCCGCCAATATTATATGCATGTTACTACAGTATACAGTATATACTACTGTGTTATCACGTGAATTAGGTAACATTATTATTGTCGCACTCACCGTGAAGTCTAGGCAAGTGTTTTGCCGGGTCGCAGTACATAATGAAAGGAGACTTGTCTCGGTCGGCCAGCAGGTCTAGACCGCTCTGAAAGCTAGGGCTCTTGGGTAGAAACGACGCGTTAACCGCCGCCGCAGCCGCAGTACCACCGGTAGCAGACGTCGTGTTTAGCGATCGCGGACGACCGCCCGCAGACTTGTTCACTACCATTATTATAGCTCTTCCCGCGCCACGGGCTTTTAACCGTGCCACCATCCATTAAAGATCATCGAAGTACTAGAACTGTACACGACCGCCGGAGTGTAAGGGGCACGATGTTCGAAAAAATATCCTTCGCTGAACCGATTCGGGCATCACCAACGCGCACTAACGCATTTGCGACATTGTGTATTGCTTACGGTAAATTTGTTTTTTTTTTGTACTTCGCGTGTTGTCTCTAAATGTTTATTCTGCAGGCAGCGAGTACCCTAAACAAATCAACGATATCTTACGAGTTAGATTAAAAAATTATCATGTACTCTGATTAATCTTAAGTATCATATCATCCGCTCTAAACTTATTCATCGCTCAAACCGTTATCTTCGACATCATCCAACCGTTGGCGCAACTAGGATCTCGGGGCTAGGGAAGCTCAAAGCCTTTAGTCTCTCATAAAATGTCAGGAGCCAATCAGGGATACCCCTAAATAACGTTTATAATTTTTACCGAAAACTACCCCAGACCCCCCCCCCCCATTTAGTTACGCCAACGCATCCTTGGTGCTGCGATTCTCTTTTACGAACTAAACCTTTTTAGCCTTATTACCTATTACTACCACAGTTACTGCTCTGCCTCAATTTCAATTTTTATTAATGTGTCACTCTGCGTATCTTCTCTAGTCGAAAATGTTCCGATCCCGCTATACTACGTATCGACTTCAAAATCAATAACTTCATTTAACGCACAAATACTATAAGTGTGACCTTCCTCCTATTAGCTTCTCTACGTGGTTTTTAAAAACTCGCTTCATCTATCTCCATTTCCTTGTTCACACGCTATAAAGTCAAACTATAAACATTTATTCTAAGCATAAAATGTTATACACGTGCACAGCCGATTGCTACAGGTTAATTTCAATTATTGTTAGACGATTTAAGACAAGATTTTAAAGAAATCAAATAGTCGAATTTTCAGCGTGTTTATAATGAGTTTTGTTCATAATAATAATAAAGCCAGCTGCTTTGTTTGTAACTAGTACACAACGCCGCCCCAGTCGTTACAAAAACAGGATTGAGGTTAAGCCTTTCGTTAAAAAAAGGGTGTCCGTCTAATAAATTGCCGTAAATCGGTTGTCCACGCAGTAGACAGATCGGTTAGGTTATTTATTTACATTTTAATTAAAATGCCTCTCAGGGCGCCCGTTGGCCCCACCCTCGGGCGACCTTTTGGCATTTTACTAAAATAGTAAAACTAACACGACTGCGTCACTCCTACGTCAACAACCCGTCGCAATCAAATTATTATAGGTTTTATAGTATTTTTATTATACATTATATTATGTTGCTCGTTTCCACTGAATTTCACGTTGTCCTATCCACGAGGGTTGTAGGACCTATTAAAGAACCCCCCCACCCCCACCACCGCCGCAATCGACTGTGCGCGTTATCGGTCAAGTTTTTACATTGTTCCTTGTTGTACATCCAGTTTTGACGCACCACCGAGTACTTGCGCCGATCGCGCGTTTTTTACTTCTTACTAACGTTGGAGATGAACTTAAAACATTTCACAAAACTTGGATTTACTGAAATCTTTCTAATCAGCACGAACGCGCAACCGAATTCGACGGCCACGGTCACAAATTGCAACGAAGGAAATAAAGGAGCCGACTTTCGATTAGCACGTGCGTAACGCGACCCGTCATCGGCGGTATCTTGCGAGTGGCGAACTGCCGCGGCGCGTCCGAGTGCGCTTCCAACTCTCGCGGCGGCAGCCGATCGATGTTCATGTGCTGGCGGATACGCGGTTGCCGAAGGGTGGGCGGCTGGACAAGGGTATCCAAGGAAACGGCGGCGGTCGCCTCCCCCCTCCCACTAATAGAAAAACGTAAAGCGGCGCCCACGCACCCTGGCACAATACGGTCACCGAGCTGGCGAACCAGATGTCGCTACTATCGAAACCAAAACACGTGTGTAAGCCACGCACGGGGGGCGACGTAACAAGTGTGTCAGCCGCGCGCTCGTTGCCGGGCACTGGGCAGGCGGCAGGCAACGGCCGCATGGGCCCCCAAGTCGGTTCTCGCGAACAGGAACAGGGCCAATGCCACGGGCGTAATAAAACACTGTCATAATTATTACAAATCCCAACGACGAAAATAGAATCACGCCAAATATTTACGTACCGTAGGACTTCGGAACCGCTTGCAACGAGCAGCGGGCTACCGCGAGGAAGCGGACACAAACGCCAAAGAATGTATGGACGTACGTTATCATTGTTATGGCGCCAATTTGTTTCGTGTACATCCAACAAGTACCGCGAAATCGCTAACACAGGCCACTAAACGGTTAATGAGTTTTTCGAGAATAAAGAAGATGCATTTTATAAATAACGTTAACAAATCGGCCGATTAAACAGAAGCGCAGTCGATTAGTAAACGCTAACGCGTGCATCAATAATAATAAATAACCTCTCAATTATGTTGCAGATAATATAAAATCCACAATATAAAGAACAGTCGCGACTACACAATAATGGTTATCAATGACTTATCATGTTATGACTACTTAATTTTTTTTCTGAACTAATAATATTAATAATTATCATAACGCGATACATTTTGAAAAACGATTACACAAAACAAACAAATGTTGAATTACACAATAATTGGTCGCGTCAGATGTGCAATAACATTTATTACACAATACGATAAATAAATATAGTATATACCCTTACCGATATAAGTACGTTATTAATCAATTAAAAAGTAATATTATTGACAATACATTTGATTATAAATATGTATTATATAAAACGCGTAGAATTAGGTAGTTGATTGAATATAATGACATATTATCATGTTACTATTTTTTTATTGCTTCTGAACACGATAAGATAACACTTCGCAAAAATCAAGAAATAATATTTCATAATATTATTGTACAAAGGAACCATATTACAGTTTTGAGAGAGGGGGGATTAAAATACGATGCTAATCTGATATGATTAATGATTACTTAACTTAGGTAACTACCACTCATATCAATACAATACAGTTTAAAAATTAATCTGTTGTTCAAGAATTGGAATCGGATTATTCCAACCCAAACGGTAGTATTTTTTTTTTTCAAATAGAGGTTTTTATCAATGAAAACTTTTCGAAATATTTATACACATTTTTATACTTCAGAAAATGAACTTTTCCAACATTTGATCATTCGATATCATAACTGTTCGCTATATAAAGCTAGACGAACAAGATTAAAATGTTCTTATTAGCAAAATTAAAACAAATATCCTTAAATTTGATAGTTTTTCTATTCTTTATGATCTTATCAGTTACCACACATCAGTTAAAATAATACAAATATTTTTTTAACCCTTCCTCAAATAGGTTAGAATTATTTTTATCCTTTTTTTTGGGGTAATTTTAGATTTTAGACATGGTAATAAGCGTGCTTAAAACAAATATATTACCTATAAATAAAAATCTACTTAGTCAAAATAATAAACCGTTAAAAATACAATTTACTGGCAACGTTGATTGAAGCGAATACCTGCTATTGTTTCTTTGAAATTCATTTTATCAGTCTTATGCATACAAATACTATACAATCGACACTTTCTGCTTTTTTGTTCTGATTTTATTAGTTTAAATATTCTCTACGCGCCCAACGATTTTGATTGTATAAATATTAATTAATTCTTCGTTTTATATTTTATTATTTTTTAGTATTTTGAATAAATTAAAAGTTAATTTCTAAAATTTAGTTTTTCAAGGTCGTATTTGATGGAGGTGGGCAATACCTCGACGGCAAATATGGTTGTAAGAGAACGAGGGAAAGGGCGCGCTATAAAATTGTTACCCCGAGGTGTAAAATATCCAAAAACGGACGGTTCTGTTAAATCATTAATCTAATTAATAAATATTAATATTTGGCAAAACAATTAATATAATTGAAACGACTAGCCGCAGATAAGAAACAACTTCTATTACTACAAAACTAAATTATTATATTTATCATAAACTAATAATAATTTATACAGACCATTGAGCGATTGGAGAACTTGGAGTTCGCGATTCGTAGCCACAATGTTGAATCTCGAGGAATTTTGTCTTTTTTCTCTTTTAATTGTTATTGGTCCCAGTTTGAGTTTGTTTATTTGTGTCGGCGGAGGACTGGGGGCGGCATTTGAATGTCCTGTAGATGTACCATCTTGTGCCTATTAAACACCAGAAAAATATAAAATACAAAAAAATACTCAGAACCCATAAAATAGAAATTGCAAGCAAGCTTAGCGACGAGGAAGTGCCACGATAGTACTGTAAACGTCAAACGTTTCAGAGAAGTGAAAACTATAGTGTAGTACACATACACGTCACGTCGATTTACTTTCGAAGTGACATTTTGTAAATCCGTCTCTTTTAATAATATAACGTATGTTTAACCAATTAATAAGTATTTGAACAGTCCTAAATTAATCGAATCAATGCATAATATTTATATACCATTTATCTTTCTTTCGATTCATTAAGGGCCGATCATGGTCAGTTTTTTGGCTCGAAAACATGCCTTACAGCAAAAACTTTCCCGCCTAGTGTCAGATTGTGTCAAATGGTCAGATTTCGATAATTATTATTATTTTTTATTTTTAAAGACTGTGTTGCGGGGGGATCAGACTTTATTTAATTAAAAATTAAATTTCTAAACGCTGTAATACGAGTTTGACTATAATCAATCTTTACTTATTTTCAACCCATATGACTGGTTTTAATAATGTGATCAAAAATTGAGATCCAATACGGGGTATTCAAAACAAATGAATTATTGAAATAAAATCATCACTCAACGATCCAGTCATCGCTTATCCCGTCATTTGTCACCATTAAAATCGATGTTACTTATAGAACCAACTTTATAAAACTGTTGAAAATAATACCTTGAAGCTTATACGAAAAAATTGACATGTTGGAAATTTATTATAAGTTTTTATCTCAACTATTGTCTATATTTGCGTCTTAATAAACAGACACTAACACGCCCCACTTCTGGGTTTCTTTTAAATAATTCAGTGGCTATTTTGCGTTCCTAATCGAAACAAGAAAATACCTTATATTAAATGCCTTTATCAAACAAAATGTTCTTAACTTACTACTCGATGGGTATAATCATACAATGTTGTACAAGCTGAAATTAACCCGTTACCGTTCGATTATTTCCTCAGTGCCTGCTCCAGTTTTTTTTTATTTATAACATATTTTTTGTGTTTTAATACAAGTATTAATCAGTAATGTAAACAAGACATTGTTGTTTTTTTTTTTTATAATATCTGGCCCTATCTTTCAGATCGTAAAAAGATGAACTTCAAATTCAAATATCTTATTTTTCCCTCAATACATGAAAAATACGAAAAATGTCACAACAAATATAGTTTAAGTATAACAATTGATATGTTGCCAGTAAACACACAAAACAAGCACCTAAATGTGTATATTCCACGAATTTCACTGAACAGAAATATTTGCAAATATTTTCCCGCCAATTCGCAAATTAGTTATACTTCGTCTTATTAGGATATTTATATCAAATTAAATATGTGGTGCGTGTAATCAATAACGGTAGAACAGAGTTTGATAACAAATATTAGTAATAATTTTAAATATTAATGTATGTAATTTTTAAAAATGCATGTAAAATAATAATGTTTCTACAAAAGGATATTGTTGCCTTTTCTAACTGAAAATTTAAGAACAAAATGTCTAAAAATTTTAGATCGTAAAAAAACATACTGTACACAATATAAAACGTAAAACAAAATTATTTTTAAAAATTAGAGAACACAAAAACTGTTTTAAATCACACGAAATATATTTTATGAGGATTTTTTTGAAATTTTGTACTATTCTAATAAAAATTATGCAGTTTAAACAAAAAATTGTTTTTTTAAATTAATTTTAACACAAGTCACTTTTTATTAAATTTATTGTCATCATCTCTTTCCCACAGGCACGATCAGTTTATATATTCGTGCACTTACTCAATTATACTTCTCTCAAATATACCACTGCATTCCCAATACGCTATTTTTTAGTATTAGAAATAAACTCTTGCACAAAAATTAAATTGTACATTGCTTATATTCTCTTTAGTTTGTGTAATATAATAAAAGTATAATTTTATTTTAGATTTTTGCATTTGTCAGTTTGTTTAAGCAACCCCATCACAGCTTATGCTGAGCTTATAAAACTTTTGTTTTAATCCTTGTAAATTATAGTTCTTATATTTAAACATTGTATAAATGAGTACACCAATATTGGACTAATGACCTATTAGCGAATCCACTTAGAAACGATCTCTTGGGGAAAAAAGCAACAACCTTTGTTATAACATTATATATATGTTATGTCTTAATAAATGGATACCTAAGTACTAACAACATTTATGACGACCTAATGACAATTTTTTAGTGTTGTTTGAAATAGGAGGACAAGTTGACCAAGTAGGTAATGCAGCAATGTAGCGCTAACTAAATGTAGTGCTGGTCGGACAGCTATCTCTCTTTCCAGCAACACACTGACGATTCGTCCTGTGTATTAAATTTGTCAGGAACACTTCTTTATATGAATGTGTTGAAACTTTCATAACTTGAACTATTATTTTGAAGATTTTCGGATCTATAGGATCTATAAAATATATAGATACTCTGTATAGGTTATCTATGTTGTCATTATTTGGCTGATGTTTCAAACCCATTGCAGGTCCATTTTAAAAGACAAACCCTTCCATTATCGCAACTATACTAATTACTATAGTAGTATAGCCCATTATATGTACAGTATGGTCACGACAGTAAAACTTTATAGGAGCATAGTAAGAGATACAAAAAAGAAAGGATGATAGATCAAAATAGTTTTATTTATATTATATGCTTTAGACTAGGAAAAAGCTTTCGACAGAATTAGCTAGAAACATATGATTTTTCCATTAATTTTGAAATTAATGCAAACCAAAAAACAACAATTTTGATAAATAGTGAAATTCTTGAAGAAATAGATATTGGAAACCTGACTCCATTTTATTTACTTGCCTAGCCTATTGAATACTCTGAAATATTCTGAAATTATACTGCAGACACGGAGTAAGCTAAACGGGCTAAAATTAAAGTGTTTAAATTTACAGATGATCAAGCAATAGTGGTTGTAACGGTACAAGTGTTACAAGAAATGGTAGAAAGAATGAACTACACCGCAAAAAATATAACATGACAAAACAAAAACAATGGTGATTGCAAAGGCAAGAACAAAGGCTAGAATCTCAGCAAAGAGGAGATTTGGAAAATAATTGGAATGGCAAAGATTACATTTTATGTAAATAGAAGATCTTTTTATCAAAGAAAATAAACATTTCACTGAGAAAAAGGATACTATAAAAATAGTTCTTGAATGGGCCATACCGCAAAAAAAAGAAGAGGGCGTCCAAGAATGAACATTATCTCACAGACCAGTAAGAACTGGGCCTAAAGTATGTAGATATTAAAAAGAAATTAGAAAACAGATAAAAAGAAATTAATAATGCAATTTTTTTTACTATTTTGATATTATGAATTACTTGAAATAGTGGCAAAACGGAATAAGCCAGAATCCACTACAGTTTATTTATTTTCATTGCTCATAAATCAATTTATATTGGGTGGATAGAAAAATTATAATAATTATTTGTAATTCAAAATTAATCTATAAGTATAAATACTGATCCTAGATAAAAAAAATTTGCCATTATTACTGAAATAGCTGTAAGAATATATTTTGGCTGACAAATATGCTATTTTGATCAGTACGAATTGCCAAAATAAATACCAAATTTCTAAGTAAACGATAATATATATATTTATTAAACTAGAATTTTACTATTCTAAAGATCTAGTGTTTAAATTAAACTTTTTTCACAATTTGTTTAGTAAATCATACTTATAAGATTTTTTATAATTAAAGCTAAATTAATTAAAGGCACATTTTTAAGAATAAACGCTTATTATAAGAATATTTAAGAAACACTTAAAAATTTATCTTTTTCTACTTTAATCAACTAGATGTTTATTATAATTAATAATTTGTTTAAAAAAAACTATACAATTTATTAAGTAAAATAAATAATTAAACTTACATTATCACTCGTTGTTTCAGCCGCTGGTCCATTTTTTCCTTCTACACCTTTTGACTTGGAAACATCCTGTGAATTAAAATCATTCATAATTCACTGAGTAATAATATTACATAGTCACATTCAGTATTGTTAAATTAAAACGAATTATATTTAAATATTGATTATAAGTGTTATTTAAACAACTATTAAATTAAAAAATATAAACCAATGTAGGTATTTTTCTATCCCAAAATGTTCTTATCAGTTGTAGTAGCCACTAGGTATAGGAAAGATCAATTGTTATTAAAGAGAAGCTTAATAAGCTTAGATATAAGAAAATAATATTGAAGTTTTAATTTAAATTGTATAAATGTTCAATGAATGATATAAATATCAAGTATAAAAAAAACAAAGATGTTTGAACAACGACAAAGCGTAGGCCAAAACAAATACAAAATACACGACCACCTTACCTTGTCTTTTTTCATCAATATCCTATTTGGCATTTTTAATTATAGTGTGATCACATACAATTTGAATAACAATATACAAAATTCACGTTAAGTCTTAAGGAAATTTGTCAATCAATTTTTGTAAAACTTTCCAACGAAACTCGGTGTTTTTCGTTTTTTTTATTGTCAACACAATGAACTTCGTAACAATTTGTCAAGTGGGAAAGGAACCGATTTGCATTAAAAACGAACACAACATCATTCTTTACATTTTCTTAATCCTTGGCTAATTATTATTTCAACCATGGACGTAACATACTTTAATGATAAAATAAATATTTTTATCTTTAGAGGACTGTCTCGTAGATAATTTTCAATAGTATAAAGATATTTACACAAAACAGATAAAAGTACCTTTCGAAGTGATATTAGAGACAAAATACCTATTATGAAAAAGATAGAGGACAAGATTTTCGATGGAGTTATGATGAAGTTTTTCAAAATATCAACCAGAAAAAAAGTTACAAGGATTTTAAAAATATATTATTGTTTTCATCATGATATTGACCTATGCATTAAACATAATACAAAATTAATTCGAAGTTCCCTCGGGAATTTTGTTCTCTAATCTTAACTTCTTATATGTGTTTAATCTCTAAAATTACACGGAAGGGTACCTTTTTCTGTTTTGCGTGGACATGTTTAGATAAAATAATTTTTGTTAAATGGCTGCCGAGGATTTTATGATAATCCAAAAATAAGTTAACTACCAAAAAATAGGCATAATAACTGAGCTTATAATTACACAACACAGTTTAACCTTTAAGTTAAGGTTTCGCAAAAAAATGCCTAGCCCTAACTCCATAATAAATAGGGGGGGGGGGGGTATTCTTGTTTATTAATATTTTTGTATCATACCCCCTAATTTTATTACTCAAGGGAACGCAGCATTTTTATATGATATTTTTTTAAAAATGTTTTTCAAAAAAAATGAAAATTACAAAAATGAATGTTTTTTTCTTATAACATCTTATTATTTGGTATTCCGTATTATAAAAATAATATTATATTTATTTTATAGATAAAAATCATAAGGTATATCTAGAGTACTTATTACATTCTTTGTATATTTTTCAGATTTGTTTTAATTATATTTTTGATTTATAAGTTGTTAAATAATACTTTTAAATTTATAATTCCTGTTAAGCCAGGTTCACACGAGTCGTCTATTCGCCGATTGTATAGCGAATATCGAATATTCGTGCAAGTAGACGAATATACCATTCCCACGACTCGTCTATTTGCTGAATGTAGGTATAGTAAGTACATTTGGTATCCCTTTCACGAATGCCGAATATACCGAATACGCGAATCCACCGTTCCCACGATATGGCGAATATAAACGAATACCTAATATTCGGCGAATAGACGAGTCGTGTGAACCCGGCTTTATGTTTAAGGTAATAAATGTTATAATTTTTTTATTTGAACTGTTTTTATATTATCGCCGATTTAAAAATTAAACCCCTAATCCATCCTTATTGTTTTTTTTTTCGATTCAACCACTGGGTATCCTCTTAATAAATATTGAAGAATTATAATATTAATATTTATGGATTATTATATTACATTGGTCTTAGAAGTTAGAAGGTTTATGTTTTAATATAATATTAGACGATGGTTCTCATCGTACGACATACGTTTCTCTTACTATAGTTGGTTGGAGTTCAACACGAGAATATCACAAAACGGTCCATTTGTACGCCTTCGTAGTCAGTTATTTTTACGAAGCATACGACAGACACATGCCCAAATGGATACAAAGAATTATTTTCTAAAGACCACACGCAGGTCGGAGATAGAGGAATTTCGTTGCCCACGGATTCCTAACCGAAGCGAGAAAAAACTGAGGGCAATTAATGCCTTTTACGTACAAATTGGGCGTATGGTTCTCATAGAGATTAAAGAGAATTTTCAACGTTGGTCGTATTCCCTTTAAGAAGTTGAAAACAAAGAACTACATTTACCGCTATGGCAATGCGCGGTCTCTGCGACTTACAGAGTATCGTTTACGTCACCCCGCTGATTCACGCAGAGAGAATAGTCTAAATTAGTGACTTTGGCGTGGTACGCTAAGGTAAAACAAGGCAAAAAGACGGACGCCATACACATCATAATAATCACTTTAATTATTATGGTAAAACAAATAAAGTTTTGCTACAATTCATATTTCATCACTCTTTAACTTGAAGCATTAGCTTTCATGAATACGCAAACATGTAAAATACTTAGAATACTTAGAGTTAAGCCTCTAAGGCGTTAATTTATTATAAATAACAAGTTATACAAATATATTTCACTAAATTTACCCATTATTATGCATTTAAAATTTGAATTCATAGTTATAACTGTCCTTCCGCACTATTACACTTAAGATTTTAGTTATAATTTTATTTAACTATTGATATAAAAGAATACAGAAATTGTACAAATATAGAATTGTAAAACTTTTAATATTATAATACTAATAATAGTTTATATAGTAAACGAGTTTCCAGATCCCCTTGAATCTGATAAAGCAATCGCCCTATCTTCCAATTTTTGTATAATATTTGAAGTGGGATAAGGCAATGTTGCATTAAATACATTAAAATCTAAGCTTAAAAATAAGTCTTTTAATTTTTTAGGAAAAGTTAAAGGAAATTCGACTGCAATATTAACATTATTGAATCTAATTCGTGGAGCTTTATTAACTTCCAGAAATTCATGTGAATCCGTTTTGATTATTGATAACAGTATTTGGGTTCCATCACGAACATCCGCTGATCCTGAAATTATTCTTCGTCCACATATTTTATCTTTTTCAACAGCTATAAATGGAAGGTATAACGATGACGGTCGTTGTGAAATATTATTTTCTTCACTACTTGTATATAACGCATTGTTTAACATGTATCCAGATCGAGTTAAAATACCAGAACCAAAAATTGAACCAAGACCACTATATACACACATTATACATAAATATTAAATAAAAATAAAAATTAATTTTTTTTCACATTATTACCTTACAACTGTTACATAAAGATCAAATACATCAGTAGTGGCAATATGTAATCCAGTATTCTCTAACCAATTATCTCCTAAATCTAGACAAAAAAATTATCAAACCATATTATAAATAAATACATATTTGTGGATTGTTCTAGTGAAATTATATAGTTTTGGTTTAGTAGTTTCTAAAACTTGTTCAACCAGGGCCATATTTAGACTTTTGTCACCCCCGTTCATCACAATGTTGCCGCCTTGCGCTTTCCTCAAAAAAAAAAACACATATTGTTTCAAATTTCTTGGAAAGATAACTTTTCAAAATAAAAAATATAAATATATATTTCAATAATACCTACATCATAAGCTGTTTTTTTTAATTCACACAATAATGACTATATGAGTATTAGATCAAATTTGCTGGTCCAGTAAAAATTTGCCACTAGGGGCAACACGGGACCGCTACCAACCCCTAAATTCGGCTCTGTGTTCAACATTTAAATTTAAGTAATCATAATTCATAACCAATGCTTTCATTTATTATTAAAGATAAAAATATATATATATATATATATATATTTACGTTAATATTCTATAGCTATGGTTTGTCATTTGTCATTTGACATTTTAATTTTGAAAGTGAACTCTGAATATTACCTTTGAAACTACTTGGTAATGAAGAAAACATACTATCATCATCATTTTTAGTAACATTTAATTTGCTTAATACTTCAAATAAAATTGGACCCCCTGTATCTTTATTTGAAGTTATAATACTATAGTTCATAAAATCCTGTTTTATTATTGATAAATCTTGTACTTCATAGTTATTAATATCTTCTGATCTCAATAAGCCAGATAATTCTTTTGTCATTTTTTCATAAAAAACTAAAAATATAAATTGTTATAATAATATATTAATATACAATAATCATTATTTTGTAATTTAGTTTTTAAATAATACCGTCAAGTTGATTTGAAGATATTAAATTGAGAGTATTTATAAGTCCATCGGGTACTTTAACTACTTGTCCAGGTGAATATGTCGATACTATTGTAAGCCAATCTTTAAGAGCCTTATTTTGAAACGACTCTAATGATTTTTGATTAATGGCTTCAAGTAAACTTTCTGTTACAATTACACCTCGTCTTAAATAAATTAATAATTATAAAATTAAAATATTACAATATACTGGCAATTTAATAAATAAAAGTCAAATACTTGGCAAGTTTTATAGAAGGTTCTACAAGAGTTTTCCAAGGAAGTATACCATACTTTGAATTGGCATAATATAATCCTGCTAAGAATCCAGGTATCCCAACCAATTGGTGAGAACTTCGTGTAGCTCTAAAGTCAATCACATTTCCTGTCCCAGACCGGTGATCATAAACCAACATAACACCATTTCTAGAGGAAAAATTAAGTCAAGACACAAATAAATAATAATTACATATAAAATGTAAGAGGGCTTGGAAGTTGATGGATTTTGCATTTTTTTTAAACTGAAGTAGACATTGATCTATTAAACTAAAAATTCATATTAGGTGGTCTACAAACATAATTCTAAGTTTTATTTCACTTACAGAAGATCATTAATTATGTTTCCAACATCATTTTCTAAAACAACAATATTTTCCAATATCAACCAAATGTATTACATTCCATCATTACTGCACAACAAATTAAAATATCTGCAGGCTACTAAGAGTTGATAAAAATAAAATTATGGTACTCACGGATTTAAAAAATAACAGAAATTAAATTAAAATTAATCATATTTTTACATTCCTTGTTAATTAAAGTAATTTTATTTCATTAGTTGAAAAATATTTAGGAAATTTTTTGCAGGTTTTTCTAACTTTTTAAGACCATTTTTTCATATTTCTTGAACTCATTTTTAAAGAGTTTTTTAGATTATTGACTTTTAAGCCTTTTAAGGAATAACTATTTTAGTCTTACCCTCCTAGTCCAGAAAGATGAGGAAGTGCAATGGAATTACATAAAGCAGATGTGATAGCAGCATCTACAGCATTTCCTCCAATTTTTAGTATTTCAATACCATATTGAGAACATTCGACATCATCACTAGCCACACTTCCATGTGGCACTAACTACATCATAAATAAATAAAAGAGATATTAACATTCTCAATATTAAAAAATAGTATACTTAATTTTTAATAACTGTACGTAAAGTTATAATGATACCTGATGTGTACCATAAATATGAATATGAACCAATAAAACTACTAATATTCCAACACAGAATACAGTGCAGAAAGCTACAATTAAATTAAGTGTAGTTTTCTCATTGTCATTTTTACAATACAGAGGCGTCTTTTCACTTCCGTCATATACAGCTAAAACAATTAAAATTAGAAATATTTAACTTGGTAACAAATATTTTCTTAAACTATAATATTTATAAAGAAAATAATATTTGCAGGCTATATTCTCAATAACTGTTCATTTTAGAAGAAGTATTATTATGACTATGCTTAGTTACATACTATCCATTACTCTAGTCTTTCTACTATATTTTGACGCGGTACCCTTGATATGGTATACATGTGGGGGGTCACCTTATATTTTCTCATCACTCATCGCCCTACTTAGACATCACCTAATTGTATAATTGTACTTTTTCATGTTATAAGAGAAAATACTCAAGTTTTCTTGGACTGGATTTATCTCAACAAAAAAAAAAGTATCTAACTAATATTTAATTTAGTTGTAACATATTATTAATGAGTGAAATCGGATTGTATTATAGTCATTGAAAATGTTACTGAAGCAAAAATATAATATCATGTAACGCCTACAATTGCCTGTAAATCTGTCAATCGTATCGTCATCCATCATTGACCATTTTCTTGCATCAAAAAAATACTTGACGAACCATAATATATTACAAATTATGTTATTTTATTTTAAATTAAAATCTTAATCATTATTTCATTCTTAGTAGTCGTTAAAAATTGATAATTACAAATTACGAGAACTATTAATACGGAACAAGGCAACACTTAGTCACAGCTAAATAAATTTGTTTATTTTTTGCTTGTGTATTGTGATAATAGATTGTAATGCAGCTTGAAAAATATGCCATGTGGCAACAGGTATATTAGTACCGGACAACTGGTATATTACATTTTTCCTGGTAAGAACACAAAATACAATCACTACAGAAAGTGTATTTAATGATAAGTATGTCATAATCACAGATATATTTTGATGTTTATTATTTTATTATTGATAACAACAAGACTGGGAAGTACTTTACTCTCTAGTAATAATAGAGTTCATGACTTTTTGTTATTTTTTCATGGATCTATAATTTCCCATTAAAATGACTCCGTTCAACTTAGCTATATTTTTAAAATCATATTATAAAACAGAAAAAGGCTTAAGACTAGACACTAATAAAAGAGACTAGTGTTTTTTGGGTTAGGTAAGCTGGGAGATCTTGGAATTTTAGAAAACTGTCAAGTCTAGTTGAGAATTTACTAAATTTACATGGAAATAAATTTAAGTATTGCACTACGAAGTATACTACCAAAGATCCAATTAACCGGTCTCACACGACTGGTCTATTTGGCCGACATAGCACATTGCTAGTACTACACCAGTTGTATGGATGGTTGTACTTGTAGAAAAGACACCTTCGAGTTGAAACAAAATGCTTCAACAGAATCTGGACAGCTGTATTCTTAATAAAAAAATTCAGTAACACAAATAAAGCTAAATAACAAAAAAATAAAGTCTCTTTTGACTCCATATTGAAAAGTTCTTATTGTAATGGTTTATACTGCGCTTGGTATTTAATTTTTTATTTACAAAATAGCAAATAATTTATAATTACAATTTTTGTAGTTAAAAAGAAGTCTTTTTCTGCTTTTATTTATTTTTTGTACAATTATATAGAAATATTTTTTTTAATTTACAGTTATATAACTTTTAAATGTATACAATTACAGCTTATATAGACTCAAATTTGTTTAATTTTATTTACAATATGATAATAGAAAAACAACACTTCCCTGTAAAAAAATCTAATCTATAATATTAATGATTAGAAAGTCTTTAAAAAGTTCTTTCATAAAAATTGAATTAATAAAATAATAATAAATACATATTATATTTTAAATTATACTAAAAGTATTTTAAAACAACTATAGGTGAGGAAAAATAGAGGGGAGGTATAGTGTGAAATAATCCACATAAAATCCAAGGGATGCATGATAAAAATAACAATATTCCAACAGATATTGGCTTTACAAAATAGTCGACTGAATAAAAAAAAAACAAAAAAAAAACAAAACAAAACTTTGCAAAATATTTGGAGATCACATGTAATTGTTTTAAATGAAATTAATTAATTTCTTTTAAAATTATAATTCCAGTTTTGTTTTGAAAGACTAGCAACGGTTTTTTTTTAAACATGATAATTCATTACAGAAATCCTGTATTAAGTCTTGTCTGGTGGACCAGCAATATTTTTGTCTTCCAAGTTAGTTGATGGATCTTCATGTTTTGAATTAGTAATGGCATCTATAAATTCAGTAGTAATAGATTCAATTTGACGTAACCATGACACCCGTTCGTCATCATGATCAATATCTTCCAATTCATCCATATCAGTTTCATCTGTCAAAATATTAGGAATTAAATTATAATTAAGAAGACATTTAAAATAAACTAATTATGCAAAATAAAGTTTTATGCATTATTATTATAAGTGTGGTAAAGATTTTATATTTACTCTGAATAATTATTTTAATGATATAATTTTACACTGTATATTTTAAATATAAAAAGATATGATTTTAAATTTAAAAAAAACATCATTAATATTGTGTTGCTGTATACAATAAGTAATTAGTAATATTGTAAACAAATAAGATAACAACTCTTTGCAATTTTTAAAAATCCACGACACAAAATGTTAAGAAATAACTTTATATTTAAATGATTTTGAAGCAAATAATGTGTAATATCATAGCACAAAATATTTGTATTAAACAATAGAATATATTTATATAGTATAAAAATAAATAAATAGTTAAAAGGTTAATTACCTGGTGTCAAGTGAGCAAATTTGTTAATCATATTTTTTGTAGATATTCTTGTATTGTTCAAAACGGCTTTTAGTTCGTGCACAGGAGGTTTAACAAGGGAACATACTCGAAGTGCTCGTAAATTCGACAACATTCTTTTTTCAGTTTCTAGCTCTCCTAGCTTTTCCAAATCATTAGGTAGATTAAATATAACGCTCTCCAATAGTTCAAATGTATGGTGTGATAAGACACTAGCAGCCATCTAATAAACAATATTGATATAAGTTATAATAAAATGTGTTACAAAAGATATAAATAAAAAAAAAGTGAATCAATAAAACAACATTTATTACTCACCTCAGGAAAAAACGTTCTCACAAAATCATAAATTATATCATTATTTAAGCTAAGACGTTCTTCAATAAGTGTTGACTCTAGATAATCCACAAAATAGTTATTTTTTGATAATAACCGTAAATATGGTAAATTAGGACTCTGTGGATATATTTTTTTTTTACAAAAACGTGTTACATAAAAATTGATTAAATTTCGTTAATTAATTATTTAATATTTATTAAGTTATTCACACTTACACTCATATTATGAACATCTAGCCAAAATTTAGGAAAGAAAGTATGATGCAATGGAATAGATTCATATCCAATCATTGCATTTAGTGCCACTAATGGTTCTGTTAAACAGTCATGGTTAACAGCAGTGCGACACATGACATCAATAAATTCATGATATGGTGCATAAAAAGCAGATAGTTCTGCATCATAATGAGGATCACAGCCCTAAAATAAAAAAAAAGAATATAATCGGAAAATGAAATAAAAATCATAATTGAAACCTAAGAGTAATATTAGTAACTTGTATTAAATTTAGTTTTAATTTTATTTTAATTTCGATGAGGAGCTGGGGAGCAGTGTTTTATAATTCCCCTTCCCTTTCAAAATTTAAAAACATCCAAAATTACACATTTTTAAATCTAAAATTATGCCACACTGTAGCCTAAATTTTTTTTTAAATATTCTAATGAGAAAATCTCTAGATACTGATGTATAAAGCAAAACAAAAAAAAAAATATCACCAACACTTGTAATACAGCGCTAGTTATTTTTCCATAACAAAGCAAAAAAACACAACATAAAATTAACATAGTTTTAAGTTAAAAGTCAATATGACATATTTTTTATGTTGAATAAGTTGTTTGATGATTAAAATATCATGTTTTGTTCCAGGTATAGAGCAATTTATGAGAAATATCTATTGACATGTTTCTCAATCAAAATCCTAATCAAGATCACTGCAGCGCGCTGATTTCAGACGGCTGGGCGTCAGCTATACAGTTATTAATCTCTTACTTTTGTCAAATCTAGTTGATTATGTGTTAAAGCCATTTGCACCATTGGTCTTATTGGCCTAGTATTTGATTTTATACTCAGCATAGGCACTTTATGTCCTCTGCGTGGAAAGTAGGGGCCTATAGGCATACCATTATTACTATCCATACATACAGCATGGCAGTGGGTCAAAATTGGTTGAAGCACATTAATTACTTCGTTTGGCATTAAAACAACTAGGATTTTTAATAAATCTGGAACAAAAATTAATATTAATATATTTATTTAAAGTTTAAGCACTATTATTACCTATTACAGATTCTCTCATTTCTTTGGGATTATAGGTATTAAGTAAGGTGACTAGTTTTCGTAACATATCTGGCCATTCTTTATATGTTAAAATTATAGTACGAGGAGTTTCTTTATCATTTAATTTATTTTGCTCGTGAGCTTTTTGTAAGCATTTAGTCACATCTACTATTAAAGCAAGCATCTCAATTAGGTCTCCAGTTACATGGCAAGCAGTTGCTTCGTGATACATATTGTGTAAGGTTTGAAAACCCTAATTAACAAAATCATTAAAAATTAATAACGAGTATTAAATGTTATAATGCATGAAATATTTACTTCAAAACACATTTCTAAACCACGATTTTGAATGAAGTATACTTTATCTTCATCGTTTTCCAGCAAAATTTTAGTTACTGGTATTAAAGTACCCCAACCAGCTTTTCCATCCAAGTGGGACACATATAATTGTATTGTTTCTCTTCTGTATTGATTAATTTCTGCTATTTCTTGTTCAGTTGCATCGGAAAACTTTTTTATAAACAATTGCAGAAGTTTAAACAGCTCATCCACAGCCTAAAAAATATATTGTATAATAATAAGTATTTTTTAACTATTTAATAAAAAAAAAAAAATTACCGCTGCATATTGAGTAGGATGAGGTGATATATTTTTAAAAGCCCAACTTATATTTTGATGGCCTGCCAGTTGACGAGTAAATGTTTTTGAATGTTGACAACATATCCTAAGTAAACCATAGTAGGCAGGTAACATAACTCTGTTAAAAATCACTACTTCCTGATCATCGTGGTCAGCTCTACAGCAGAAATACTTGGTATAAGTTATGGTTATAAGGTATAACTAACTTAAAATTACAGTGACTTACAAAATATAGTTAAAAGCAATATTTTTAACAAAATATGGGTCTTGTATAAGTATTTGGACATTTTCCGAACAGTCTAGTAAAACATTGTAGAATAACATTAATAAACTTTGCTTATTATGATGTATGGGTATGGCTGGTTCAGATAGTTTAGGATGGAACAATTGCCACAACTCTACTAAATGAGGTCCAAACTGCAAAAACATAACCACATATAATTAAAAAAATATTATATTATTATTTATTATTAAGTTTGAATGTTTTTTTTTTAATTCTCAAAATATATTCAAGAACTTAAATATTCTTTGTAGACTAAAAAGTTTAAAAAATGATGTAATTTTAATTTATAAGCCTAAATAATCCATAATTATACAATTGCTAATTGAAAAAAATACATTTATATACATACCATTAACTTTTCAGTCCTAGATATCAAGAAATAATTAAGCAAAACAAAATAGGCAGTCAATTTTGATGATCCATGTTGTGCAGTGTCCGTATATTCTTTAGCTACTTTTAAAAGTTTTAAAAGAAATTTGAAAATTTCATGTAATGTCTCTCTAGCATCGGGCGCTAACAAGAACTCTTTTGTCATACACATGCCTCGTGCTGACCTGTATGCTTGTCGGAATTGTGTGTTTGGTACTAAAGAAACTAATAAGACACTGGCACCTAAAAAGTATATTTCAAAATGATTAAACACATCTTAAAACATGAAAACAGACTTAAAAAAAACTAATATTTGATAGAGTATCGAAATAGACATGTATGGAGTAGATAAAGGAATGATAAAAAAATGCCGAGGACTTTGACTGGCGAACCTTATTATTTCCTAACCTTGCCTTGTTGCCTTTGTTGCATAGAGCACCTCAATTATTAATATATTTTTTATATAACTGGCATATATAAAAATACTCACCCGAACGAACACGGGCATTTCCATGAGCTATAAGAAAACGTTCCACCCATGTGTCCATACCATTGAGAACCCAAGCAGAAATTTGTTTATTACGGGGAACTTGAAGACTTAACCACTCTAGTGCAACTTGGGGGCCATTTTCAGTGCTTTGCCATAAATGCCTTAATATGAATTCTGTAAAAGGTGGTAATCCACCATTGCCACCAACACTTCCTTCAGATAGCAATGTTAACATCTTGAAAAATGACTGAGTGATCTTTACACATAAATGCAAACATTTAATTAATGCATAATACCTTATAATATATTTCATATTTTATGAAAACTTACTTCTGAACTATTAACATTTTTTTGAATAATATTTAAAATTTGACATATTATTTCATTAGCAAGTACAGAATTTTTTTGCGATGATTCGTTTCGGCACAATGAAAATATGAAGTTTTTTGTCATATGTAAATTTGTGTTATCTTTAATTTGTTGAATGATAAATGGAAATCCCTGAAAGTAGACAATTTAATGTAGTAAATATTTAAAATATAAAAACAAGTCCATATATTATTAAATTATTATACCTTCATTCCTTGCAAAACATATAAATCATTATCTGATAATTCTAATTGGCCATCTATGTTTCGAGATTTTTCTACTAATGACACCACAAGGGCTATTAATTTTTCAAGAGATATAGGAGGCTTGTTTCTGTCAACAGTTGACATAGGAATCATTTCCTCGTCTTCTTCTTCGCAGTCAGTCCCATTAACGGATGTATCACACTAAATAGTGTATAATAAAATTAATTTTTGTTATTTTTTATTTATAAACAAATATACTTACATGTTCATGTCCTTTCAAACCCAAATAAAAGTTAACAACTGTTGTAATACATTGTATTGATATTAAGAATTTACTTTCTTCATCCCCTAATTTACTAAACTCATGTAACAATGCAAAATATTCAGTCATATTGCGAATAAAATTTTTTATATTTTGCTGCATCTATATAAAAAAAAATATGACATTTAATGATTTATTTGATAAAAAATTACTTCTCTTAACTTACCAACGATACAACAGTACGAATAAACGAAGTAAGGCATGATACATAAGGTTTAATAGCTTCGGATTTCTCGTCAGTGATAAACACATTTTTAAGAAAACCAACATAGGGCCTAGAAATATTATGCAAATTTATTTACAAACACATTAGCATTATAAATTTTAAAAAATTATATACATTCCTGAACTTGGCACAGTATCTACCTATCTTATATGTTATTATTTTAATATTTCTTTTTTTTTTGAACAAAGTGTTTTATGACGCGCTCTATTAGGATATACTCTTTCAAAATTCTCTATGCTGGCAAGGGGAATTAAACGCAGAGAAAACGACAGAAAAAAGCGTTATATTTTTTTTGCACTAGTCATACTAGGGCATATGTTAAAACAGTTTTGAGTCTGTTCGCCACACTGTTATTATTTTTTTGTGACCATACTAAGAATGATTAGTTAAAATATTAAATAGTAAAAGATTAGTATAAAAATTGATTTTTCCAAGTGGTTTAAAAGTTATTGTGGGTCAAAAAAAAAAAAAAAAATCATATCATTAAAACTACTTTACAGCTCTGCATTGGCAATATAAAGAGCCAACTTTTCAGGACTTGGAGGGATGTTTTGAGCAATGAAAATAGAGATGGGGCAAATGCATTACAACCAACGGAGAGTATTTTGAAAGAGATAAATTTGAGTTACTTAAAATAAATAAATTATTCCATCAACTTGCGTATTTTTTTTACTTAAAGACCCCTAAATTTAATTAAAAATAAATTAGATGTAGAATATACATAGGTAGTATTTAAGTTATTTAAGTAAAAGCCAAAAATATTCATACCTTAAACATTGAATCGCATGCATACATAACTTAAGGAAAGTCTGCCGTATCATTTGATTAGGACATTTAATAAATATTTTTAATGGCCACCACCCATCATCACCCATTTGTTGAAGAAACCATTCACAACCTGATTGTGATGCAGTGAACTGTTTAGTTAGTAAATCTGTCCATTGCATTAAAGTAGACTACGAACACAGAATAATGCAAACAATTACATTTTTTTTTATAAAATAGTTATTAAAAAATTAACTAATTGAATAATATAATTATTATATACAATATAATATATAATAAAAACACATACTCGTTCTTTAGCATGAATATACGTCTCAAGGAAAAAAGCAGTTGTTAGTTTAGTGGCTAACTCTGCTAATTCTTCAGAATCTTCTAACGATTGTGGAATAAACGCACATATTTGCCACATAAACCTAAAAAAAATAAAAGATAAATTACACACACATGTATATAAACACCGATTTTAAAACACTTAACCCATCAACGACGAGAAACCATTGTAGTCAAATATATTCTCATCATTGATGGGTTAACAGGACAAATACAGCAACATAACATATATTATGCTTTTTTCCTGCTACCAAAAAAAGGGGTACCACGTAAGGACCCAGGTAATGATCTGGGTAAAATTCACATTTCACTCTTAAACTAAAAAAAAAAAAAAGGCTTTCTAAAATTAAATGTTTTTTCCAGATTTGGACAATAATTTACACATAAAAAAAGGAAGTAAAACAAATTTATTTTGACAGTTATTAATTCTAAAACAAATGAAATCTGTGTATTAAAATGATAGTCTGATTTTGGAGAAAACATATTTAAATTTAAGAAATACAATTTTTTTTATTTAGAGAGTAAAACATGTATTTGTCCTGAACTTTATCCGGACCATTGAAAAATGTATTATTGATAAATTTATATAATATAATATATATGTATGAAATTATCAAATGACATGACTTACTGAAAATAGGCACTTTCAAAGATATTCTTGTCTTGTAAAAATTGCCTATTATCCTGCCATATCCAACCTTCCAACTCACTACTTAATTTTATTGGAGGCGATATTTGTCCTTCATGAGAAGCACTGCGTTCTTCAGCCTCTGGATCAGTGGGCTTTACAAGTTCATAGAACAACATATAAGCACTATTTGTTTTTTCAAAACTAAGATCCATGTACTTATCCGTGACAGAGTCATATGTTTTACTCTATAAAAATTAATTTAATTAAAAAATTAGTTATGTTACTACATTCATAATATTCAAAATTAATTAAGAGTAAATTCGTTATTACAGTCATTTCTCCCCCAAAGCATTCAGCAGCTAACTGACTTGCATCAAATAGTTTAACTTCGGCATCATTAAATAAGTACCACTGATCGGTACTAGGGGTTTGTGATCTATTAGTACGTTCACGATTTCTAATAAAGCTGTAATAATGGCCACCATCTGCCGTGCCAGTATGGACAGTGACACCAATCAGCTCATATTGATAGTTCTCTTCAAGACCATCTACTCCAACGTTTTCATTAATTTCTTTTTCTTCGTGGTAATGTTGAGGCATTAGATGTTTTTCAACATAGCCCGACATGTCCAGTATCATGGGAAATGAAAAATGAGTGTTAACTTTTTCTTTCATCATGGTCACCATATTAAATGTATACCGCATTGTATTAAAACACAGAATTTGTGGTAATTTTTTAAAACAAGCTCTAAAAAAAAAATATGAGATTGTGTTTATTGTTTATGATTACAGTGTTCATCAAATTGAAATTATTAATTTAAACCATTAAAATTACCTTTTTTCTGCACGAACTTTCTTTTCACATTGAGAGCATGTATACATGTTATCTCCGTCTAAAGTATCCTTTAACGTAACTTCATCAAGAGACTCATATAAAGTTCTCATATCAGCCACTTGGCATCGCACAGTATAAAATTCTTCCAAAGTTCTACTGACGTGATCACAATCCTAAGTACATAATTATAAGTAAAATAAAAATAATGAATTATAAACTTAATATGATTACAAACAAATGACTAATGAAAATAGAATATTCGTTTAATACAACATAATAACTATAATATTATATCCTATATTTAAAAAAATGAATACGAAAATATCTAAAAGTCATAAAATACAAACCAACGAAACAACATTGTTGCTTATAACACCACCAAACAAAGTTTTGACTAGAGTTTTTAGTTCTGGTGTCATTTCTTCAAGTTTTGATACAAGATCAATGAAGAATTCTGCCATGTCTTTTTGTTCGCCAGTATTTAAAAGCTGATGATCCATAGTATAAACTTTACAAAAACTACGAGGATTATAGGTCTTTCTTTCACTCTCCTTTAATGAAAAAAATGATAAGAATTAAGATTATTTATTTTGATAATCCAATATATTTTTATATACCAATTCAACTTACCAATAAATATGCAAACATTCGTTTTAATTCAACAAGTATAGGAGCGTGTTTATTAGATTCATCACACTTAGCTTCTAGTATTGACCGTCTTGCTTGAGGCATCATAAATAAATGTTGCATACATGATGCCATATAACAAGTAGCACCAAGGTTTGTTAAACCTACATAACCACAACTTGATCGTCCATCATCGTGAGGCCAATAATCCCATAAATATGGAGGACGGTTTAAGTCTGAACAAAAATTAGAATTATATTTTGTATGAAATAATAATTAGACAAATATTTGACAAACCATTGCTATGTTGCTCCAATAGTTTTTCATACAAATACTCATAATTATTTGGAGTTTCTTTGACTAATTCAACTAGTAAATCATACGCCGATGATCTAGCGCTTTCAGATTTACATTTAGGTAACTGTCTATTTTGAGGATCCGGAAGAGCAAACAGAAACTCAAAAACCTAAAATCAAACAAGCAATTATAACAAAAAAAGTTTATAGTTTTTATATTATAATGTATACTTACAGTATCTAAGACTTTGTGACTTTGTTTACTAAATTTAAATGGAGGTTTATGTCCTAAAATATTAGACATTAGATTTAAAAGTCCAATCAAGCCATCATCTTGTAGTCCACTATAATGTGTTTCAATAAAACCTCTAGAAGCTATTGATTCCCAAACACATATTGCTAACGCTTCAATATTAATTATACACTCTGAAGGGTTTTTTATACTCTCTAAAAAATAATACAAACTATTGTTATTAAAAAATTATGTTAAATTTAATTTAGACAATTTTACCTTGAATGATATCATTTGGTAAACAATTGACGAGACGACACATTAACCAAAAGTAATCTCGACAAGCTGGTCCATAAAGAGGTTTATCTTCATCAGTGATCTTCAATGAATTCTAAAATTGGGCATTTTACATATTTATAATATTTTATGTCAATAAAAAAAATGATCTAATAAACTAACTTCTTGTTTTGCTTGCGGCTGCATACATTCTGCCTTATCTAGGAACTTAATTAATTGAGACAAAAGTAACGTAGCGGCAGTACGATTAGCAGGAGGAACAGCACAAAGTCTATACAAAGCAACACATATTTCATGTCGAACTAAAGGATCTGGATCTTCTAGTACAAGATTGCACAGCCACATGGAAAATTGATTAGATTCTAAGAGTGCTTCACAAATGCCATTAACACTGTGGGACCAGGACAGCACTAATGTCATCAAGAAATGAATGACTTGTGCCCTTCCCCAAAATCCAGTTTTTATATCTTTTGGATGTCGAGGAACAGATAACTCATTTAAAATGCTCATTAGTCTTGGAATAACCAAATCAATTTTCATTAATTTTAACATTTCCTTAAAAGTAAAACAAAATGTTACATAATAAGATTATTTTTTTTACTTTTACTAGTATTTTATATGTTTAAATCGCTAAACATTAACATGCTCTTGTATCATATTTGTAAAATATTAAATAATTAAATAGAAACTTGAGTAAATAATTACTTTGTTTAGTTTGGGCACAACTAAATTAGCTTGTTTTTTCATATGAGCTTTTCTAGGGCGGAAATATGGATCAAAACCTAAACCTTCGAATTGATCAAGTTGTCTTCTATCATTTGGTGATACTCCTAACTGGCACAGTAATTTTAATAAATGAGCTAAACAATCTTGGTGCCATTCGCTATTACCCTGAAGTGTACCTATTTTAAAACCATAAAAGTTATAAATAATAATAAAAAAATTACATCAAAACAAAATTAAAATAGTACAATAAATGTTTTAATTTACCAGACATAAGTATAGTAAAAAGATGTTCCAAACCACCTTTTTCAATAAAACATTCTCCCCACGAGCTAGTCAATCCATTTGTTGTAGTCTGAGGAAAAACATATATCATGTTATATTGTCAATAACTGATGAATATTAGTTATTGTTTCGTGTACATACCTCAAGTAACATGTTATCATCATCCAGACACTTATCATTATTAAGTTGTAGTAATGATTCGATAATATATAATGAATACATTAGTCTTTGTAAATTTGTTGAATCCAAATCCTTTTCCAACCAGATTTGACATTTATCTTTTGTTTCGTGTATAGGGAAATGGCTAAAACAATCTAACATGGTAGGACTAGTTGGCAGCATAGTCAATATATCCCATACATTTCTTGACAGCACTTGAGCTCTTGAATGCAATACTTCATTCTAAATTTCAATATAATATTAGTACATAATAAAAATCAAATCAAATAATTAATAATTAATTAATTACTCCTTCTTCATTGATCGTTTTCATTGATCCAAGAGTATGCATTAGACGAAAAAGTACTTCAAAATTTTTAGGTCTCAAAAGTAATAGAGTTGGGGAACTCTCTTTTGATGGAATAGACTGCATAGATCCAGGTAAGTCTTGATCACCAAGTTTCTTTTTACGAGAAGTGCTTAGAGACAAGTATATTATCTAAGAAAAAATGTATTAAAATAATTAATATTAATATTATTGTTGGTGTTTAATTTAAAACTACTAAATAAAGTAAGAAGAGCTTTTGATTTTTACTGGTAAATACCCAGGTACAAGAAAATGTTGGGCACCCAAACCAGAATGGATACTCAAAATTCTGAATTAAAAGTTCCTATTCTTAAATTATGCTTATAAAGATTTAACAAATATTAAAGTGAAGAATAATTTATTTTAGGCTCTTTGAGGTTAAATCTAGGGTCCCCTCCTTCAAAAATAGAAACTGCCAGTAAAACCTATTATGGCTTATAGATCAATTTTTCAGAAAAAAATGAAATAAAAATATGATCACACATATTTGTTTAACTGCTCTTTAGTGTTTTTAGATTTAAAATAAAAATATGCTCCTATGCCTTGATCCTCCTGCATGGGCTTTAAAAAGTATTATTTTATTAGCAATTCCTATTTTTATATGGAGGGTTTGTAAGTTTAAATATTACTATAAAAACTAAATAAATTAATTGCGAGGAAAAGGAAACAAAGTTTTTGTATGTGATATTCTTGTAGACCTATTATATACTTAAGCTAATTAATAATGCTATAAATATTTTACTTGGTTATCTTTTAATCCGGTTTCTTGTATAGTTTTTTCATCAAAATCTGATGTTATTTCTTGACCAAGTGCAATCATTCGTATATTACCATCTGTAGGTAGTTTTCGAGCAACTAAATTGTCATGCTGAGTCTCCCACCAATGAGCAATTTCAGCTCGCATATCAGCTATATAATCTGTGCTTGGCATATCGAGTGTTAACTTTTCGTCCAACATGGCAGGGTTGATATTTAGTCTGATAGTTGAAATATTTTTATCATTTTGTATTACATGGCTCATAATACCATGACCTTCTAGCATCCATCTTCTCAAATGATATGCATATTTTCTTTTAAAGGTTTCCAAGTGAGTTTTCAATAAAATTAAAGCTCTCTGTATACAAAGAAGACTAGACTCTTCTTTAACATTTAACAAATCTGCAGCTGCTGACAAATTTGATACACATTCACTAATAAACTTATCTTCTTTATCAAGTTGTAAATTCATCATATAGTAACTGTTCATGTACTGTATTGCCGCCATACTAACATCTAAAATAATACATAAAAAAAATTGTAAAATATACTTTATTGCAGGATATAATGTTATTTTTTTAAATTCAATTTATAATACCATTATTAGAAGCCCTTAAAGCAATTCTTGACAAATGTTCCATCGCGGCTGCATGGCCATTTCTAGCTAGCAATAAATTATCACTGGATACCTGTTGTTGTGCCATATTACACAATTGAGTAAACAAGCTTAGTGCTACCATTGTATAACTTTCTGGTGCCAATGACAGCAATTTTTCACAGTATAAGTGAGTTAAAGTTTCAATATTAAAGGTGTGTTGTTCTCTACAACGAACTTGACGTAATAACCAATTGAATAGTTCATCTCGACACACTTCATCGTTTACTAAACCATTCCATAATGTGTCTAATTCATCAATTGTCAGTCTTAAAAAAAAAAAAAAATGATCAAATATAATTTAATTTAAGAAATTAAGAAATTATTATACATACTTAATAGTGTCAGGAAGACCAATAGAAGAATATATATGTGTTAAAAACTGCAATCTTGCTTCTATGTGAGTTTGATGAGAATAAAAACCAGAGTCTTCAAATTGGTTTTCTGCGTGTTGTTTACAGTACTCTCGGAAGTTATTGAACACTCTATCAATCATACCATGGTGTTTTACTGCCCACAATGTCACCTGGCGAGTATCCATACCAACATTAAGATTGACTAATGAAGCTCCACGAAATTGATGAAACGATGCAAATAATTTAGGTAATAATCTTAAAGAAATCACAACAGACCTGAAAAAAAAAGATATTCATTAATATATCTTACATTAAAAAAAAAAAAATTGTATTACTAATAAAATAAAACATACTTATTTTTTTGTATATTATCCAAACAGCCCTCTATAAATTTCATTCTAATTGCACGATCAGTATTAAAGCAAACTAAATTAAAAAGTGCTTTTTCAGCTTCTAGAGCCAACGATTCACCTAAAAGAGTCTAAACAAAATAAATGTTACTTGGCATTAATACTTTTAACTGTCATAATTATTTACAATTAGTTAAATATGTGTATATTACTATGTTTTCATCTTGAAGTAAATCCCATAACAAAGTTGAACCTGGCTTGCATACATTTTCAATGTTAAACTGATTAGTAATTGTAGATGTTATACTTTGAGTACAAGGATGCATATTTTTATTTGTTTGGAAACTAGAATGAAATGCCATGTGATTTAACTGTTGAGGTGATAAATGAGTCTGTGCTCTGGCAGCTAACTGTAACAGTTCCTCATCGCAGCCAGAGTCTTCTCCATCAAAATCAGCCATATTTTTATCAGACTTATTAGACATACGAGATGACATACTATTTTCATCTCCACTATAATCCTCTAACATTTGTCTATTCAGGAGAGTAGAAGGCACTTGCTGATCTGAAGTAGGATCGACTATATTGATCCTACTTACTGGTGATATACCAATTTCCATTGCTTCCATAGATTCACTGTCTTCGTCTTCGATATCATCATCTTCTTCGTCGTCATCATCATCATCGTCGTCATCATCATCATCATCATCTTCTTCTTCATCTTCTTCATCTCTCTCTGACTCCGATTCATTTTCTGTACAACCAGTACGCACACATTTCATTTTGAGATTTTTGCATATTTTTTTATCTACAAAAAATATTTAAGTTTAAGTGAAACATAATGACGAAATAGCAAATAACAAATTAATAGATTAAAATAAAAACTAAAACGCATAAAAAAAGAGTCAATAAAAAAGTTATTTAAATAAATAAATCAAAAGTGATTAATCTTTTCCTACAAAATTAATTGAGACAACATTTTTTTATTTAGTTCATAAACTATGTGAATAAATGTTTAATTACAATTAGGTTTTCCAGTCTTTTGCAAATCTTTAATCAATTTATCAGAATCTTCGTCACTTGAGTTACATGGTTTTGTAACTCTCATTCTTGTATCTCTCATTCCTTTTTTTCTTACACAACGCATAATTTTACACACGCCGAGTGGTTTTGAAGGTCTAATAATTTCTTTTTCATCCAACTCAAAGTCATTGCCTAATTCTTCAAATATTTTTGCTTCATCTAAAATCAATGAATCTAAAAATATATATATTCATATATTGTAAAGTAATTAAAAAACGAAAGTAGATTCTTGTACATTATTAACTGGTTTTCTTACCATTATCAGAATAAACAAAAATATTTCCTTTTTTTGGTTTTTTTCTAGGAGTTGGTCCATCACTTATATCGCTTCTTTCTTCACTAGATTCTCCATCAGAGTTACTATTAAGGCTAGCACTATTTTCGGAAGTACTCATATCATTTGAACGAATAATTCTGCGACCATCTCGCATATTAACTATTTTTTGCATTTTCGGAATTGAGAATTCGTGACCTCTTGCAGTAGTAGCCATGCTCGACCAAATAAATTTTGTAAGAGCCGATGCCAAGAATAAACTCTAAGTAATTAAGAAAATACATTTTCTTTTAGGCTTATGCAAAAAACATACATGCAGGTTATACTATTTACCTTAATTACACACTTAAACTTATAATTTTTAAAGACATTTTTAATGTTAATACATTTTGACCATGTCAAATTATTTTAAAACTTATTTGTATAAGCTTTAGGGTATAATTAATAAAATACTAAATGTTTTATTTGAGTTCTAATCAGCTTGGTACTAAAATAATTAAATTGGAATTTAGCCCATAAGGGTCACCACTACTATGGATATGCTATCCAAGACCGGGTGTAATTACGAAGTTGAAAAGAAGGATAACGGCTTCTTTTCACTAGACAGTCTCACCCAACTAACAAAGGCTAACTTTGACTGATGTCAAACCAGTGACAGTAAGCACTAACACACTTCACCCTTAATCCACTCCGCCACTTGTCCTCTCAACAAAAATTTAAATAGATAATGCAATTATTTTTCTTTTTTTTTATAATGTAAATAAAATTTTAAAATATTAACTAATTTATTACAATTTATTCTTACAAAATAGTTCATCGTCGGAATTAGCATCTATTAAAAACGTAAAAACAAGTAAGCAATAAATCGTAAGAATTGACATCTAATAAAAACAAACCGTCAAAAATAGCATATTACCATACTCTTAATTGCATTACACAAAAGTTTAATAAGTTGAAATTAACAAATGTTGTTTTAAAGACTGAATACAATGCTCTGGAATTTAAAAAAAATTATGCCTACTTAATTTCGACTTACTTGTTCAGTATGTTCTTTTGGTTCCAATTTTCTCAATAAGTGATACAAGTGTAGTACAGGTCCAGGTTCTAAATGTTTAATAAAACCAGGTAGAAGGTCAAAAACTTGTTTACTGCAATGCTTCAATTGTGCGGCTTGCCAAATTATGTCTATGTGCTCATTAGTAATTTTTCCTTCTGATGCAAGGAAGTTCAAAGTAATGCTACACTGTTTAATTACCTAGAAATTAATAATATATTTAATTTTAATTACTTATTAAGCTGTATAAATTATTATAATTATAGTTGCCCTTGTACTTAACTATTTGTATTATACTTAATTGTTATTTTAAATATAGAAATATAATATGATTGATATTAATTGATACATATCCTACGTCGAGGAAAAAGTTTGACTACCTTCAAGACGAAATGTCCTAGATACCTTATGTTATTTTCTCTAATTTTGAACTATTACGGAGGGGTTCAATTCATATATTACAACTTAATTGTTTAATATATAATTTTGTTATACATAATTATCCTTATAATATTGTTAATTAAATTAACGCAACAAATCTACTTTAGCAGACACCCTTTTATTGGATTCTATAGTATTTTTCATGCTGATTACGAATATGAAAAAATGTTGCGCTGCTCGCACTTAGTTTAGAAGTTACAGACTTTTAAAGTTCGCCGATATAGACATACGCACGCGCCCGGCACTTAAAAAGTCTGTAACTTCTAAACTAAGTGCGAGCGGCGCAAAATTTTTACATATATGTAATCAATGTGAAAAATACTATCAAAAATAAAAAAAATAGGTGTCCAGGAAAGTAGATTTATACCAAATTAACATACTTCAACGTGTAAGTTTGGTCCAAACACATGCGATATGATTTTACGATGTACTAGCCATGTAGCTAAATTATGTCCAATCTGTTCAATAGTAATCATATCATTTGACTGTGAAGAAGTTGATAATGTAGCAGCAGTAACATGAACAAGTTCATTTAAAGATCCTATATGACTGTTAATTTGAGATATGCCAGCCAGTCTCATTGTGAGTGTTGGTGATGTGAAATATTTAAAAGCTAATTCAAGACCATCTTTGTCTAAACTAGATGTATGGCCATCTTTATTTGAACTCCACATAAAATCTGAAACAATTTAATGTTTTATTTCCTACTTCTAATATTTAATTAAACCAAAAATAATGTTCAAGCATATCTTGTAGTTAAATGTTATGTTGTGTTTAATATTATGGCTTAATTTTTTTAACTGTAAAATCTTACCGGCCATTGTTTTAGCTGCAGGCGTCCGTAATTCTTTATCAGTTAGATTGCACATAAATCTTAAGACTTTAGATCTTAATGGAACAAATACATGAACATTTGTGTGATAATTCAGCCAAAGTTTAACATTGCAAGCAAGTATAACAATTGGATTGGCCATTGTTAAGGGCAATGATTCGTAGTCGAAACAAGACATTATGGCTTCCATTCCACCAACCCTAAATCATGTATTAGATTTAGAACTATAAGATAAAAAAACATTTCCGTACTTCAGAGCAAAAATTTTAATTTCCAGTTTTTTTTTTTTTTTTGGTTCACCTAGATGCAAATTTCGCGCTCTATTCACTGATCTACCTTATACAACGTTTAGACTCTAAGATGAGTCCATCAAAGTTCATCTGTTTAAATTAATTATTAATTAATATTTAATAATTATTAATAAATTATTTTATTTTTCTCTCAAGTAAAATTTACATTTTGTGACATAATATACGTATGCTCTGAGATATGGATTTAGGAACTACGACAATTATAATATTGTTGTAGAAAACAACATTTATTAAAATATAAAGCGGGCTGCATCTACCAGGTTGCCTATAGTGACACAGTATACTATTTCAGACATTCATGTTACGAGTATAAATTAAAAACATAAAATTACATAATAGTTATAGTGTAAAACATATAAGAGGAGTTTGATAAATATTGCAATAAATGTAGATAAATACAAAAATATAATAAAAAGTATGGAATATAAAAAATAAAAATCACACAGAATGGAGATGTCTATGGATTATGTTTAAAGTATCCTTCATTATTTCTAGACATATTGTTCTGAAGTCTTATATATTAAAATAATTTTATAAAAATAACATTTTACTAGATACTTAATTTCACTCATTGCTACTAAACTTGCTTAATGTAATAGGCTTTTACAAGTTACTGTGACAAGAACACTCAATTTACTCCAGCGAATAAAGTTGACGCCTATCTAGTTTTCTTCCTACCTATTAGATATTTTACTCTATGCGGGTGAAATTGTTGCGTATAATAAATATGGCTAGTAAAATTATAGCATGTGAAGCTGACGAGTGAGTGAATAAGTTTTACTAGATTTAACTTGCTCAACATAATCAACACTCGATAAGATCGTTGCAACACACTTACTTGCTCCCACTTCATTTCATGAGTAGCTAGTAAAATTGTCTAGTATAATCACTAGTCAATATATTTAAGACCATAAGTAGACTTATTTTGATGTACAACAACAATAAAAAATAAGGAGGTATAAAATTCACTTTACCGGCCACCCATTTTTTGAGATTTTTTATTTGCCATTTTTAGTGTTTTTTATGCTGATTACGAATCTGAAGTCAGAATTAGGAGGACTCCTCTAGTTCAAAAGTAATAGCTCCTTAAAATTTTCATATTTTCACGTGTATAATAATAGGCGGCAGTGAACAGCGACTGATGCGGCGGTCGGAGGCCTTTGCCGATTGCCGCCGCACCATATATTGGTGATGCGAGCATAGGTTAGGTTCAGACTCGTTAGGTCGCCAACGCTTACATAACAGTAAGGACCAGTACAGACCAGTAAGTTAGGTTAGGTTGGTCTTTTAGGCAAGCTATTTTTTCCTCTGGGGGTTCAAGGGCGAGAGCACCCATTCAACGAAGAGTCCCAAAAAGACTCGGATCGGCTCCCAAAGCTGGCAGGCTTAAATTACTAACTTAAAGCTTAAAAACTTAAAAAAATTATATTGTTGTTCAATACAATATTCATATTATATCATTGATAATACTAAAATAATAATACAATAATCAACAATAATAATAAAAATAAACAATTAACTAATAATACTGTAGCAGCACACACTCGCGTCGCCCACAAATGTATGGTACGGTGGCGGCCGCTTATTGTAATACACACGGAAATATACAAATTTAAGTAGCTACAACTTTGAAACTAAAGGAGTCCGCCTAATTCTGACATAAAAATAATTTATAACATGGCAAAAAAATCTTAAAAAAAAAGGGTGTCCGGTAAAGTGAATTTGTTCCAAAAATAATTAAAAATAATCCAGTTGAAATTTAAAATTACGTTTCTTCAAAACAAATAATTGTGAAATCCGCCCTTAGGGAAATAACTGCTTTATAAATGAGTTTGTGTAAGTGTTCATATTTACCTGCAAAACATATTGACATTTCTTAATAAAAGTAATGGCATATCGATTTCTTGTACATCGCAGTAATGATTCATCGTTGATGCTTCTTGTTGAGTTACTTCCTCTGCTTTGTAATGCGGATACTGCTTGACTGCCACATATAAAGGGTAATTCATTAAGAATACCTTGGTCATTAGATGTAATGGCTTTTCTATTTCTATTAGTGTCCATTGAAACTCTAATAAAAAATTTACAAAAACAATTGTATTGGCAAATATTATTTAGTATACTAATGAGTAATGAATTTAATAATATTATTATTTGATCAAAAAACTTTAAGCAAGAATGTATTTACCTTCTTCTTTGAAATTAGTTAGTAAATTTTCCCATTTGGTATTATCCTCATCATCATTATGTTCATCTCGATTTGGGTAAATAATTTGCTCTTCTCCTTTAAAGGATTTTAATAAATTAATCATCAACAAGATAAAACATTGAGTAATCCATTGGAATTGATCATAATTCTTTCTATCTTGAAATCCACCAAGACATTGTCTACAAGTCAAAATTGGAACACACATTTTATGTAATAAATTGTTTCAAATTATGTTTTGTTATTTTATCACTTACCTTTGCATAAACGCTTGAACAAACACAATTAACTGATTGACTTCAGACTTGGGTAAAACAACACAACTCAAATCATGATTAACATTAGTATCTTTATCTAAAACAATATTTCAAGCATTAAATTAGGAAAATATTTTAACACAACTAAGAGATAACTTTTGAACACATACATGGATTCAGTAGCTTCAAAAACTCTGTACATGTTTCACATTCACACATTGTTTAAGAGTATATGCTGTTGTTCTTAGGGAACGTGTATGAAACACATAATTCGATGGTATTCAGTCATCAAAACTATGAGAAATTTTCAAAAAGTCCAGAAAAACAAAAATCGTACACATATAACTCTTGTATCTATTACTATTTTTCTTAACTTTTTAGAATAAAAATAAAGTAGGTTATGCGGCTACAACACGATATCACGAACCAGTGATACCAGTATAACATTTACAACATCTTTGATTTTTCCTTTTAAATCAACATTATGAATTAATACTTAATACAATTTCTATTAATTTTAATTACAACTTTTTTTAATATTTCTGCATAAAATGTCAAGTATTAATTCGATGTATATACATGTATAATACCGTATTATGTACGTATCGTGTCGACTGGCCATGACTGGCACTAATCACGCCCATAGATAAATTTTATCTACAGCAGACAACCGCCATGTCGTCGTCGTTGCTATAAGTGATAGACACTTATCGCATAACCACGATTAGATTGATTAGATAGTGCGATTTGTATTTTGATTTTTGTATCGAGTATCAGCCTTTTATCATTTTTGTTCAACAAACTTTGTTGCAACTTGCATAGTATACACTATAATATATAACTATCTAAGTATTAACAAACAGTTATATCATGGTGTATAAGTTTTAACACGATTTGTTTGCACAAGTCATAGTTTTAGTATGTGATTTATTATTATGTTGGTTATTATTTTATATATTATCTACTATAGACTACTGTTGCAACAGAGCATATACCTTTTTGTCTGTAATAACTCAAGAAAAAATGTTTTATGGAATAATACAATAATATGCCACGGATGAACAAACTAGTATATGATGTAATATGCAGTTGTTGTAAATCTGTCATAAATGTCGAAAGGTCAATGTTATTAGGCCCTAACTATTTTCATATAGCATTTTTAAAACAAAAAATAGATATTGACTAGTAAATTAGTTACCAGTATAGACAAGAATACTGGTTACTAGATTACTAATTACTGCTAATGTAACACTACTGAGTTATGTTTCTTGGCCATCAATCTAAACAAATCTGATATTTTGTCATTTCATCTGTTGGCTATAGACAATTTGTCTGTTTTTAACTGGGATCAGGGGTTAAAAAATAACCCAATAAAAATATTTATTAATTATTTTATTGTTTTACTCTAGCTAGTCAATGAAAGGCTAATCAAAAAAATTGTTGAAACTTGAGTGGGGTATTGTATTTACACTTTTTATACAACTTGCGGATACTCCCATTTGAGTAGCTTGATTTGTCTGCCAAACAGGCAAGTCGAGCTACTCAAGTGGGAGTATTTGCGAGTTGTGTTAAGACTTAAACTGTTTTTTTTATGTATTTAAAGTTATAAATACATGTATCCAATGTTGATGAATACATTTTTAGAATTTGTAAAATTTTAAAAAATGACATGTTATTTGAAATGTATTTAAAGTTATAGGGGGGTTGGATTAAATACCACATATGTATGAATAAAATAGCGATACTTTAAAGGCGTTTCCACAAGACTGGTATATTTAGCCACTAGTAGTAGTGCCAAGTACCTGATGTTCCTTGGCTTTAATGGTTCGCCCCGAAGGGATCCCCTACGACTGCGGACCGACTAGTAGCACTAGGTGCTAATTGCGGGCCGAAGAAGGTGTGTCTCAAGATAAAGTGACCAGTCAGAAGGCCACTTTTCGGAGGGCTCTACGTCACGTTTGTCGCCTTTTACGACAGGAGCGAGGACCTTGTTAGAATTCTTTCTCCCCTAACCACGGCCAGCAAGCTGGCCGCCCGCGCCCAGCGCACGATCGACCCCCCTGAGCGGACTCAGCGAAGGCCCTCGTGCCTGCCTCGACCCTGTCGATCGTTCGACCCCGCTGAGTGTCACCCGGTTGGGCGGGTTCTAAGAACCATCCGCTCAGATAGAGCTGCACTATCGGAGTGCTAGATTTAATGGCACCGGTGTGCTATCGCGCAGTGACCGACCGTGGGACTTCCACCACTCGGCTCGATCGCCGTTCCTGTTTTAGTCGGCTCTTCGTATTTCAACTCCCGGCAGAGTGTGATTTAAGCGCTCACGTGCATCGGCATTGTGGGCCGTTAGACTAGCGTCTATTCCGCGAGGCTCGGGCCGTTTTAGAGAGCATGATGGCTCTTTTCGGTGAGTCTAACGGAGATGCGATATCTCCGTTGATCATGCACTGTTTCGTCGGCTCGAGAGGCTCGGGCCTGTAAAGGTCGCTGTGGTGGTCTCCGTTTTGACGGTCAACTGAAGTCTCGACTCGGGGGGGTACACGGTTAGGGTGCGGCTCGTCACCAACCTAACGTTCAGTACCCCGCTCTGCTCGTTTATTCAGTTTGCTTCACCTCGTCGGTACGGCTGATTAGTGCCAAGTACCATTATTATATTATGTGGTACTAAGACAGTCGTGCGGAAGGTTATACGCTTGTATTAATAACATTTGATCAATGTATTGTACAGCTACCAAATTGCTGGTCACTGATCTGTACTGGTCGATTTTATTTTATTTTTCTGGTCAAGATCGCTGCCCCCACCAGTCTTACTAATAGCTAATAAGTAATAACAATACAGATCACAGTAATAAGTAATAGCGCTTACTAACACTACTAATGTACTGAAGTGTACAACATTGACACTTTTAAGTTACTAAAATAGTAAAATGTTCTTAGTCACTAGTCAGTACCTACATTTTTGCCAGTCGACTATAAAAGCAGGCATGATGAGAACTAAACTGACAGCATCACAACTTGTAGACAAATGTGTAGTGATCAGCATTCAGTGGTCACACGTTGTGAATGCTGTCGTAAGTAAAGCGTCTAAAATAGTCGCAAGACATTTTTTTTGTCACTAAATAGAATATCTGTTTCTATTTATTTGCACTCCCAGTTTTCCTAGTATAGTGCTGAAAAACTACACGTGTACACTTATACATGTTTACATGACCAGTTTTAGTGCAACTTGCATTGTACAAGTATATTTAGTTTGTGAAAACGGACCGTTCTATTGTTTTTTTGAAACATTACTGACTCTACTGAAAACAATACGGTCCGCCTGGTCTTTTTTACAATTATGTAGATCATTGATATCAGTAGAGTAATTTTCATAACTTCATGATCAAAACTAACTAATTAGGTACCTACCTAAATAACCATAGAATTATTAACTATTCGTTAAATGGACTTATACATAAACTCAATTTGTAGAGGGGTGTGCTCTTTACATGCCTCCGTGCTTTCTTTCCTTCAACATAACCTATTCTATGCCACTTTCTACTTTTATTTTTCTTCCCTTTGAAATACATCCAGTTCAAATCATTTCAATATATCTCTTATTTTCCCTGACATTGGCAGGCTAATCCCTTAACTACTTTAGCCATTAAATTTGCAGTACTAGTTTTATTCATCCTAATCACTCCATACATCCATTTTCATTATAAATTATAGCTGTTTACATTTTTATTTTACTTTCATCATTTATATTAATGAACTCCGTACATTGCAGCTAGTACGACTAGTTAAAAACGCTTTATAACAATAATAATTTTTGTTAAACATTTGTAAAAGTTAGTCATTATTAAAACATTACATTATAGTTAGCTCTTCAAAACTTCCTTTTCGTCTGATTCCCAATCCTACCTTTTGGCTCGCAACTAATTCCATTTTTTTTTCTTTTATCTTGTTAATTTATTCCATGTGTTATTACCTGTTTCATTTCAAAGGATTTTTCTAGTCACTCAGACTAGTTATCAAGGATGGCCAATTTTCTGACCATTGATTTTACTCTTGCCTTTTTTCTTTCATTAAAATAGCCTACATTCCTTCCTCGTATCAAATTTTCTATCTCACACACTATGCGCTTAGGGTTTTTCAGGTATAACCTACAATAAAAAGTAACTCACTTATATCCTAAATAAAATAAGTTTTCCATCCTTTTAAGTAAGGTGCTTAGAAGCAACTTCATTTGCCTTAAAAAAAATATATACTACTTTTAACCTTAGTAAAAATCTGTTTACAAATGTAAATAATTACGAAAATAAATTATTTTCATACTGCAAGTAATTCACAAAATACAAAATCAAATAATTTAAATTAAAAAAAATTGTTTTTTCATTTCTCAATATTTATGTTTGTTTCTTCCCATATGCTATTGGCAATCTGAATGTCTTTCTCCGGATCTAATGTTTCAATAAAGTTGTCTAAAATATCTAATCAAGAAATAATTTATAAAAAATTAGATCAGTAAAAAGTGAAATATATGCTTTTCAAGTTTAAAATGTAATTTACTTGTAAGATCCATAATAGTATTTCCAATATTTGTCTCATCAACATTTACTAAATTCTTTAGGTTACAAAATGTTTTGAGAGCTTTATTTTCTGGTATATTGTAGAAAGAAAACTGGATTTTATTTGCAGAAAACAAATAATCTAGGTCATCATTTTTAATGTCATAATCTTCTCTTGTTAAATTTAATGAATGTTTCGTTTTTGATAAAATATGACTAACATTATCTGGATCCATTGCTAAAATAATACATCAAATTATAACTGTTTAATTTTTGTTTAAAGTAACAATCTTTTTAACAGTATAACCATTATAATATATATATGTTACTAAAAAGAAACCTTGTTTGTCTCTTATATGCACTTGATTTTCTCCACAACCACCCACTAGTTGTTGTGTGTACATGTGGTCTAATGTGCCACTTTAATAATAAGAGAGTTTGGTTCGGGTGGATGTACAGTAAATGTAATAAATTAGTATAAAATGGATTTAGAATGTTGACTAACTAAATTTTTTTTTAAGGTTTAACACAATTAAAAAAACGGTTAATTTTTAAATGATATTAATCTAAATTAATTCTTCTGAAAACTAATGAAAATGTATTACATGATATTACAGTTTACTAGGCGCTTGATTTTTGGGTACCATTTATTTTGCATACAGGAGTGGAAAGTACCACGAGATACTTTCCAAGAATTTCTGAACAAATTACTTTAACACTATTAACATACGTACATGCATATATCTAATTTTTATATTTATGCCCATAGATCAAAATTAAATCTTTTTTATTTACATTCCTTATTATACAAATTAACAATATCTTATTAAGACGTAATGTTTACTTACCATTATTAATATTCATTAATTCACAAATAGAAAATTGAATACTTTTTAAATGCTTTATTACAATTTCACATCTTTTTAGCATTTTTTCAACAATCCCTGAGCTTTCAGCAATATTTTCCTTTTTAAAGAAAATTAAACAAGCATTGCACTCTTTTAAACCTGAAAATATTACGAACACTTAAATACTAGAAACAATTATTGGTATTTGTTTTTTTATATTAATCAAATATTTCTATAATAAAAATATACCTTGGTTTAGTTGGGTAATAACAGAAGAAAGTTTGCATTCCTTAATTGCCTTACCCATAAACACTTCATTCACATATTTCGAAAAATAATTCAAGCCATTTAAAAAATGATTAAATGATTCCATATAACTTGTAGTATTACCTTGACGGATTTCTTGAAGTATGTTTATCGAAGCCTCCAATACTGTCTAAATATTATATTTATATTTATACACGTATAAAAATTCAAAATATGTATTAATAAAATTAATAACTTATTGAATTAGTTAAGATAAATTAAATACTTGTGCGTAAGTTGATGGGTCAATTATTTTATGAAGAATTTTCTGTAAATTTAATATTTCTGATATCCAGTGATTAATAAGCAGTTTTAAAAATGATTTCTTTGTACATGAAGTTGGGTCTAAATAAAATTTGGTAATAGCCGGTACTAAGTCACTATCCAAAAGTTCTAAACTTGATAAACAGCATTTTAAAGGAGTAACATCTAATTAAAAAAAAAAAAACATTTAGGAAAATGTCAATTAATTTGTAGTTTAAATGTTTAAGTATTAATACATTAAATAACATATGATACAAGCAATAAAATTGTATTTTTCAATTATATTTACATCTACAATTTTATACTGGCAAACATAACCATTGCGGGTTTCATCTTCATTGTTTATAGCAATTCTGCTGACCATAGAATCGGCAATGATTCTGAGATGTCAGTATAAAATTGAAGGTATAAATGAATCACTTTTTGTTAAAAGGGCACATGTTTCAACAGGTGAACTTTTGGAAAATGATAAAAAATTACATAACTTTCAAAATGTAGTAACTTTGTAAATAATTTTTTTTATGTGTATTATGACATTTATACCAAATTTCGATACTGTAAAAATATTTAATTCAAGTTTATACTGGTTGAAAGTTGCAAAAAAAAATTAACAAACAATGTAACATATGCCCTTTTAACAAAAAGTGATTCAAATATTACTGGAAAAAATAAAAAATAGTACAATAATCCATGAAAGCTTTAACCAGTTCAAACTAATAACTTATAATGTATTTTGTACATTTCTTATTTTGTATTATTTAACTTACCTTCAGTATTTGAACAACAAGAAATAGCAAATATTCCAATTTGAATTAGAATATCTGTTGAGTTATCTAACTCGGATGTCATTTTCAATAAGTCGTTTGGGTTTCTTTTCGGAATATTTATTAAATCTCCACATTTTTGTAATAATTGTTTAATGACACAAAAAGGATCACTAAAAACCTGTAATATAATAAATAAAAAAATTTTGATTTATTTATCAAATAAAATTAACCTATAAAAATAAAATAGAATAATCGTTTAGTTGAATATACCTACCTTATAAATGAGATATAAAATTGACGAATTTACACGTCTTTCAAGAATAGACAACAATGAAGATATGTAATCATATTTGAAAAAACTATCATTTTCATTTATAGTTTCTTCTATATCTTGTATTGCTTTTAAAACCTTCCGGCAAAATTAAAATAACATTTAACTACATATGTTGGTTGTATGAGGCGCTCAGAAGTCAAACCGATTAACTACCCTTTTTTTTTTTTGCGAAATCCAACCATGCTATTATTTAAAAAAAAAAAAGTAGTTAATCGGTTTGGCTTATTGGCTTATATGCACCTCATATATTAAACCTGTTTAATTACCTGCTTAGATGATGATATTATATCTAAATTATGAGATTTATCTGATACTTTAGCAATAGTTATAGCTTGAAACAGTATTTTTTCAATTTGTGGTTTAACAGTTTCAATATTTCGCTTATCACTTAATTCATTTAAAACTGTATTTATTCGCTGAATGAAAATTCCCGGGATCTCATCTTCATCAATAGTTTCAACTGTATCTAAATATTCTTCCAATTTATAAAAACATTTTTGTATACGCTTTATTAAATAAGTATAGGCTGACTAAAAATTTAAAAAATGTATTAGTTTTTAATCTTTTATTTATGTACTTATAGGTACAATAATATACTTTTTCAAAAGTAGGTTCAATAATTTTTTCTGTTACAATCGATTGGTGCATAAGAAGACATTTTCTTATTTGACTTAAACATACATAGAGCACATAAATATTTTGATAATCGGCCTTTATCAAAAATTCTTGAATAGATTTAACAAATTGGAAAAGAGATCCATTGACAAAAGTCTAGAAAAAAAAAAAATGTAAATATTAAAACATAAAAGCCAAACCCCTTTAAAATGTATCTCGCTTACGGTTATCAGTACAAAGCCGAAACGTCACTTTTAAATTCATAGACGAGCATACAGGGACTCTAGAAAGGGCTCATAAAAATGTATAACCGTTTCAAAAATGAGTTAATAAGATACGAGTTATTCAAGAAGAGCCATTCTTATTTTTTGTTTAGAATTGATAATATTTTAACACGACCCTGTTTTTTATTTTGGCTACATACAAGTCAAATTATGATTGTACTACCTCTATGAGCATAAAACAATTAGATTGGAAACTATAGCTTTTTGTCTTACTTTAGTTAATGATCTGATGCTCAAAAATATTATAGAAACCACTTAAAGGATGGGACAAGCTTGGGCATTTTTTATTTAAATAATACAACAGTTAAATATATTGTTTATTATTTTTTAAATAGCCCAGAAGTGGGATAAAACATTTTTTTAGTTATTAAATAAACTTACTTTGAAAATGATTTGATAATTTATGACGTCAAATTCTTTATTTTCATAGTTAATTAAACAAGTAGCGCACTCATTTTGAAGTACATCGATTTTACAAAATAATTCATTCATGTCAACTAATTAGAAAATGTACTGAGAAAAATAGTAACTATAATGTAATATTATATTAAAAAAATATAATAAATTTATCGAAATTTTCAACAGCTATGATCGATTTAGTACATATATTTAATAAAATCACAAACAACTAAAACATATAATACAAATTAGTAGAATTAGAAACGGATTGTTAATATTCTGTACTTTGAAGGCAATATTTGAAAATAAAAATCGGAGTCGTCGCCTGTTATACTTTGTTGTCTGATCCTTATTTCTTATCATAACTGTTACAATACAGTTAGGTGGTGTGGTAAGTACACACAACAATACATTTTTCGTATTCATGTGTTATAAGTTAAATATACAACTAGGAACAACAACAAATTCATAAATCATAATTTATTATTTTAATGAATTATTTATAAATACCTAGTGTGTACATTATTATATATTTATGTAATATTAATTAAGAAATGTTCTTATACATTATATTTTAAAGGTAATTTTCTTAGTATTTAATATTTAACATTGTATAATTAAAATTAAAAATAATTTAATGTCAGCAATTTACTGAAATTAAACATCTACATAAATTTGCATGTATTAAAAAAAATCAATCAGGTAAATTGTAGATTTTAATTTATTTATTGTTTTAGTGTACCTATAGGCGATGTTAAACGACTGAATACTATTCCAATTTTTTTATTAACTATATAATTACCTAATTAACTATGGTTAATTATATAGTTAAGCAAATTCTAATAAATAATTTCCTTTTCCTAATTTAGCCTAAGTAAAAAAATTAAATGTATATTGTTATTATATTTATATTTTTTTAAATTCTTATGATATCCTAAAAATAGTATTTAATATAAATGTTACTCAATTTTTTGATAAATTCTTCTGTAATAAAATATTGATGATTATAAAACAAGTACTAGCTAGGCATAAATACTAGCTAGACAATTATATGTTACATATATTGCATATAAATCTTTAAATTGCATGATTATATTTATTTATGTATGTATAGAATTACTGTTACATAGATTTATTCACACCACGGATCCTTTTACATAAAATGAGGAATTACGGTAGAATCTCAAGAATTATGAATAATTTTTTTTTAGTCATACACATGATTTCAATAATTATCTGGATAGGTAGTGGCCCAATTTTGAGTAAGTTCAGAATAATTCTATATCACATGATTAATATTACATTGATCTTTACTTATTTCCTGAGTGAAAAAAGATACTGCATTTCTGTACCAGGTTTTCTTAAACTTACGAGTGCGACTAGTGTATCTGGGTAATAGACTTTTATAAAATTAAGGGGGAATATGCGGGATTTTTATCAAAATATATTTATACCATGAAGTTATATTTTTCTTGCTAGAATTAGACTAATCGGAATTCCACGCTTGCTATGTTCTAAGGACGGGAGTATTTTGTATGAAATTAGATCAAATTATTTGATGATTATTTATTTACTTAATTTTATACATTTATTAACTTAGATGGTAACTGGCCGATTTTTAAATACCTACATGACAATACATATTTATGATATTGCTTATTATATCTGCACTCACCAGTTTAGCTTAACATTTAAATCAAATTTAGCCTATAATGTTAGTATTGTTAAGCTACTTCAAATTTTAAGCTTAACTGCGGTGATAACGAACATAAATGTTTGCAATAGCTTAACACATAGAATTGTCTGTATCAAGCGCTGGAATTTTTGAAGTTATACTATAAATTTATATCTTTACATTAATTTCCCCTAAATTACTCGTAACAATTTTACAAGTTTCTCTTTCTTTCAATCGTCTTTATATTTAATCCTTACATATATTTATAAACCGTACATATTGTAACTTACATTTTTAATAACACATAATATATATTTGGTTTTCTCAATCTTCAACTATTGTTTTATATGAAATACAGAGTATTGGCTTAAGGTGCCCGAACAAGATCGAGTTTTTTTTTGTTACCGACCTTGTAGACCCACAGATTAGTTTTTAGATTAGGTATAGCTTTCTTTAGAGAGAAGACTATAGTACTTAAATAGTGATAGCATACATATGGGGATTTTTAAAATTATTAAATCTAAAATTATTAATTTAAATTAAAAGATCAGATAGATACTAGCCCTAAAACAACTGACTCGCAGCTGCTCGGTCGGACTTCTATAAAATAATATTTCAACAGTAGTATTGCAAGTATACTTTTTTGAGATAGATGTAAATTCAGTTATTTTACAAGGATTTATCTATTATGACATACTTTTTTAAACATTACTATTATGTTTACTTATAGTTCTGTGACATTTATATCTTATAATAAATTAGGTACACTCATATAGTTAATTAAAAATTGAAAATAATAATATAATTTGTATACAAAAACTTATAAAAAAAAAACAGCTATATTATATTATTGTATTTGATATGTATGGTGTGATTAATATTATGGTTTTAACTTTTAAGTCAACATATATATCCATATTGGGAAAGCAAAAGGTATGAATAGTATTACATTAAATGTTAATATTTGATAGTTCACATATCATTAAAATAAGGTGCCCTACTTTTTTCTTTTCTTTAAAGAAATTATAGTTATTAATTTTGGTATTTTAATTTTTTTTTATTGTTAATTAATGTACCATTATTTTTGTATAGTAGGTAATAATATACTAATGATATATCAGTCTCATGTTATCAGCTTTTATAAAATCTTAGAATTTACATCAAGTAGAATATTTAACATGTCAATTGTTTTAGTTAAAAAGTTTACATTTAAAGGTAATAGTTCATAATTAAGTTAAATTAAAATAACTATACTTATGGATCATAATTGTATAATTTTACATTGTTATTATTTTAACATAGGTACCCACAATGTTTATTAATGAGCCATGAAAATTTATAAATTTAAAGAGAATATTGCAAAACTATATTATATTATGTTTTAGAATGTCCCAAACAAGTTATGAAGGAGTTATTAATTCTATGAATAAATCGTTGGTATCAGTTAAATGGCGAGATAATGACTTAGACGATATTAAATCAGAAATTGAAGAGTAAGTGTTAAAATTAAATGTAACATATTAATCATTTATTTGATTCCTTATGTAATCTTTTTAGAGACTTGATGAATGAATTGCCCCTTTCATCGATAGGAGATGTGTGCGTTCCTTTTGCGAGCAATCGTAATCATCTAAAATCTGAAACTTCCGTAATAAATGATAACTGCCAAAATGAATTTAATTGTTATCAATCAAATCAATTTAATTTAGTTAATTACAACAAAAGTAAAAATGGAAAAACTGGGATTGAATGGAATTGTGACTCTAGCGATCTCAATTCAGGATTCGAAGAGTAAGTATTAAGACGTAATATATCAATATTTGGTTATTCATTTTATGCAATGTTTGATTTTTTAGTTTCTCACAGAGTAAACTATCCATTTCATCAATTGGAAATGTTTGTAACCTGTATGTGAGCAATCGTGTTCCTCTAAAAATTGAACCTTCAATAGTTAATGATAACTGCCAAAAAGAAATTAATTGTTATCAACTAAATCAACTAAATTTTGTTAATTATAAGGAAACCAAAAATGAGAAAATTGTAAATGAATGCAGTTTTGAATCTGACGATATTGAAGAGTAAGTACTAAAATATCATAAAATATTTAGGTGGTAATCTTATATTAAATCTTTCAGTTTCCCAGAAAATGAATTGCCTCTTTCATCAATAGGAGCTGTATGTATTCCATTTGTCAACAAACAAATAGCTGTTAAGATTAATACCTTAACTATTAATGATCATTATAAAAGTGAGATCAGTAAAAACGAAACAATCGTAAAAGAGTATAAGTGTGATGTTTGTGATAAAATTTTCAAAAGGCGATCTCGAATAATTAAGCATTTTAAAACCAGTCTGTGCTTTCCAGATAGCCCTAATTATTCTAAACTGCAAAAATCCAAGCATAATGGGATTAAACCACATATTAATACCAATTTTACTTTTAAACAAGGAAAAACTAAAAACTGTTTAACTGATAGTATTAATAGTCATATCGATGACCAAATAAAAACATACTCTCAATCAGTCAACAGCGAATCGAAGAGGAGTAGTACAGAAAATAATATTGATAATTACTGTGACAAATATATAAATAAAAATACAACATTTACAAAAGGACGTTGTACCAAAGTGAATTGTAATCCACATTGTTTAAAGGCGTGTCAAGCTAAACCATTCAAATGCAATCAATGTATGAAAACTTATTCTAATTTTAGTACTTTAAAAAAACATTTTTTAAACCACGAAAGAGGACCGTTTAATTGTAAATTTTGTGACAAACAGTTTTATTTTAACTGTAGTCTAACTAGGCACGTTGAAAGGAAACACAGGATTTCTAAAAATTACTTATGTTCTGAATGTTTAAAAGTGTTTTATAAACGTTCTGATATTAAACAACACATTTTTAAGAAACATATAAAACGCTCTGAAAATAGTTTACAATATAGTTGTAATATTTGCTCAACTACCTATGGATCATCACAAGAGTTAAGTCTACATAAGAAAAACCATTTGCAAAAAAATTATTACAAGTGTGATGTTTGCCCTAAATCATTTGTATCATCTTATCGTCTATATCAACATTATCAATGGCATCTTGGTATAAATAGCTTTAAATGTCAATATTGTGTTAAAACTTTTTCAATATTTTCATCATATGTATCTCATGAGCGAATTCATACAGAAGTAAAACCATATAAATGTAACATTTGCAATAAGCGCTTTACAGTATTGTCAAACTTGAGTACTCATTCAAGAACTCATAGTGGATTAAAGCCATTTGAATGTGATATATGTAAAGAAAAATTTACTCAAATGTCAACACTAGTGGCTCATAAGAGAGTACACACAAAAGAAAAACCATTCAAGTGCAAAAGTTGCAACAAATCATTTTGTCAATCATACACTTTAAAAGTACATCAGAGAAGACATACTGGTGAAAAGCCATTTATATGTAATATTTGTAAAAAATCATTTATCCAACAATCAACTTTAAACGCACATTCAAGAACTCATACTGGTAATAAATCTTATAAATGTGATATGTGCAACAAAAAGTTCACTCAATTTTCATCGTTAAAAGAACATAAACGGGTACATACAGATGAAGCTCGTTTTGAGTGCAATTATTGTCATTTGACATTTTCCAACTGGAAAGTTTCAATTGCACACAAGAGATTACATAACGGTAGCACAACATTCGAATGTATAACCTGCCAAAAAATATTTAACGACCAATCTTTATTAAAGAGGCATGAAAAAGTCCATAAAGAGCGAAAGCCTTTTAAATGCAACGTTTGTAAATTAACTTATGCAAATCCTATCAATTTTCAAAATCACACCAAAATTCATTATGAAGCCAAAGAATTGCCAAGTTTAAAAAGTGAAAATAATATGAATGATACATTTCAATTGCAAGTGAATAAAGAGTTTAAATGTGATCTTTGTAATAATATTTTCTACACACAATCTCAAATTGTTACTCATATTCTATCAATTCATTATTAAATTATTCAAAAAGAAATCACAAAAGTGAATGGGATATGGTGGAATTATATGGTAACCTATATTGTAGCATACTTTATAAATTCTTGAGCTATACGAGAAAAAAGTATCTACAATCTACCTTATTCTCTAGTAGACTTGGAGAATATGAAGAATGTTTTGACAATTTGATGATTGACAAAATTATTTAGTTATTTTAGTTATGTTATACCTATTTATGAGTTTGTTATTGTTATAATTAACAATTAAAAATTAATTTATATTTATTAACTGATACCTAGTCATTCGTTAATTAACTATTTTCATAAGAAAAAATGTGTTAATATTGAAATTTGTTAAATTTAATCTGTGCAATGTTTTTATTAGGAAAATGTTTAAAATAAATTATATATCAAAAAATGTAGTCAAATGTATTAAAGATAAAGTGAATTTCAACTGTTAAATAAACGGGACAATGTTAACTAATAATTTTGTACTATATAATTTTATTTGTAATTAAAAATTGACAACCGAGTGGTTTTAAGAAAAATAATGATATGCATATTAATCACATTGGTATTGGCGCATTTTCGGAATATTAATTTAGAATAAAAATATTATTGTAATAGTTGTTAAACATTAGCACGTGGTAGTTTATACTTGAATTATAGAAAGTTGTAATTTTTCATCAAGCATAATCCAGTAGCTTGTGTAGAATTCAATTTTAGAGTGGGCCCATAGATTTAAAGAAGTAGAGAACTTAAAAATAATTTATTTATATTCTTGTTTATAACTGCCGTGTGCAATTTTTATAAAACAAAACAAAGAAATAATTACAACAAAAATGATATTTTATTCATTAAACAATTTTTTTTTTTAAATACAATGTACAATATTAGGTAATATAATTTTTCAAGTTTAAAGAATAGAATTTAATGTATGAAGTTAGAAATTTATAACGTTCATATATCAGATTAACTTTTAAAATAAGTATTTTAACGCTAACCTAAAGTAAGGTCTACACATTTCTTATGCCACAACCCGATGACATTTAAACACTTACAAATTACATAGATAACAATAAAATGAACATACTTATTCAATCAATATTTATTTTGTATACACCTATTTGTATTTCCAATGACCTGCATTGTCGCCACTTGTAGAAATTAAACAAATTATAATTATGATAAGAGTTTATTTTGACAATTGAAGCATAATACTTTTTTTTTACAAACAATAACTAAATAAAAACAAAAAACCTGTAGTCTTACTGTAAAAGTAATATTGCTACGGTGACACTATAAAAAAATAAATATCTTTATAAAGTGTAACAGGTAAAAAATTGAAATTAAGGTAAAGTTAATATTAATTAACTATTTTAATGTTTTAATAATTTAAAACAAGTTTTAATAGATATATTACTGTATATTACCAATTTAAATCTTGAAATAATTTATCAGTATCAATATCATAATTTTGACTTAATGACGGATCAGGATTTTCTCCAAACTGAGATTTTAATAGATTTAATGATAAATTCTTATTATACACAATTTCTTGTTGCTCAAATAATTCTTCACACCTAAAATTATATTTTTTACAAAATATATTTAACAATGATTACATGGTAGCCTTATAAAGTAGAATCTGAATAGAGGGGAAAGTCTCTTTATAGTGTTCAAGGGTCGCAGTCTGTTTTTTGGCTCGAATAGATGTCAAAAAGAAAATCTCGTGTCTGTTAATGTGGTCCGATTTTAATAATTTTATTTTTGACACTTACAGCAAGGAATGGTTTTTGATTTTCAAAATTCCACCATAAAAAAATTTGAATATGACCAATTTTTACTTAATTTTTCGAGTTTTTGAAAATGTGACTAAAAGTAGAAATATCATGCAGATAGATATTTCATATTTTTATTCAATGTTTTCTATTCAAATCACAACATAAAGGAAGTAAATTATCATAATACTTGATTCCCAATAAAATGTATATTATGCATAAAATATGTTATTAATATCATTAATTTCTTATATTTTGTTATATGCCTATTAATAGATCAGTAGAATCAGTATTTCAAGTACTTATTTTTATTCATTCAATTCAGATAAATGTGAGAACCCACATTGATATTGGTGTGAAGATATCAGTAAGTATCTGATTAGGAAAACAAATAAAAGTAAAAATAAGGATGAGGTACCTATCCCAATATAATATATTATATATATCTTTTATTTAAATTTCTCATACTGCTTCCCAATAAACAATACTTGTGTTCTGAAGGCGGACAACATTTTACTTACTTTAATTTATGTTGATCTAATTCTTTTGTTAATCTCGCTATTTTTATTGACAATTCCTTTATTTGTTGTCGTACTAAAATTTTATCTGAATAATCCTGTAGTTTCAATGGATTTAGAATTTCATTCAACAACATTTTAACACTGCCTACAAAACATAAAATTTAGTTACAAAACTACAGAAATGTATTTATTTTTCAACTATTTAACACTTTTTTTAATCATTTGTTTACAATAATAAAATAAAGGTACAGTTAATTATAAATAATGTAAAGCAATATAATTAAATTATTTATTAATTATTATCAATATTAAGGGTATTAACTCAAAGCCATTAAATTATGTTTTACATTTCAAAGTAAAGTCTGAACTAATTTAGTTTTTGTTTCCTTAAAACATAAATGAATAACCAGCGGTAAGCTTTAATGTCAGTGTTGTTTTGTATGTTTCATTAACAATATCACTTAGTCTAGCAGTATAATTTAATATTTATTCACAATTTTGTAAAATTTAACTTTTTAAGAAATGTTGGAAAATATAAAATGTGTTATACAATTTGTATATAAAATGACTTTAATCACCCGGAGTAAAAATATTTACCTAATTCAGATTCATTCAATTTTTCAAAATTCTTTAATACAATTTTGTGCACTGCAGTATTAAATAATGAAATAATACTTTCGTCAATACTATTATTTGAAATCGCACTATCTGAAATAAATAGAAACCACAAACACAAATTATTTTATAAGTATTTAAGTTATAAATATAAATAGACACTATGTACAATTTGATAACCTACTGAAATTAGTTTTATAAAGTACAAATTGTTATGATTAATTTTTGAACTTACCAATCAATTTCAGTACTTCATATTTTCGGTTTAAGTTTTTTTTTTCTGCGTTTAACTTTTGTTTTGTTTTTAAATCATCATTTAGTATAGATACATTTTTTTCAATAGACATAATTTCTTCTTGGAATATTTTTTCTTGATTGTTGATATTTTGTAAGACTTTATTTGCATGTTTTTGGGCTGTGTGTCGGGCAACCAAACTACATAAATATCCACCATATGCTAGGCGCAACATGGTGGGTTTGTCCGCACGCACTCTACTACCAGATGTAGATAAATTTTGCATGCTTCTATTAAAAGTTACGTTTGAATTACGGTTTAAGAAAGAGCTAGGTTCATTACTTAAATTGCTTTTAGATCTATGAGATAAATTATTACTCTTAACGTCTGTTCGATCACTGCTTTTGGACCGAAACATTTTTGGTCCACTTGTGTTAGGTCGACTCATAATTAAGATTTAACAATAATAAACATATAATAGTAAACTGTAAAATGCAATGTAAATTACTTAGTACAACAGTAAACTGTAATAGACTGACGCGGAGAGAAGATCAGAAAGGACATTATTATTATTAAGCCATGGGACAAACCATTAAAATAATTGATTATTCATATTCATTTTAAAGGTATTGTTTGCATTGAAATGCGCGGGAATTGAATGACGATAAGCACGAATTCATATCACACAGCTGATGGATAGGGGGAATATTAATATTATAATCTGTGGCCACTGAGCACTGTCCGTAGATTTAAGGAGCTGGTGGGCGATTTCATAAGGACTTGCCTGGAACCACTGTCCACTAACCTACTCATCCTTAGGTCATATTTAGTGTCCCGATGAGTTTAATTATTTTTTTAATTGAGTGTTGACTGTTGAGTATAAAAAAAAAAATGAATTTGAACTTCTGAAATAAAATAAAACATTGTTATGCGGATGCTTGTGTGTGGTGGTTACTATTAACTATTAGGTTTGTCAAAATTAGGAATTACTAAATGATATAATATGAGAGGTATTTTGGAAGATATGTAGCTGGAAAATTAGAGAGAAAATGTTTTAAGGAATTTAAATGTTTTTTTCAAAACTTAAATCGCAGTATTTTAGGAACGTACGTTTAAAGTAGAATGAGTTGTTTTTTTACCAAAAATACGCAGGTGTAGAGGCCCCTTAAATACATTAAAAATAATAATTATAAATTCCTGAAATTCAGAATTGTACTTCTGAATCTGAAATTCTGAATAATTGATTCAGATTTTATTTATTAATTTTTATTTTTCCTCCTTTTAATAAATTACTGTATAGTGTATTGTCTATTTTAATTTTAATGAACATTTAACCATAGACAAGTATACTTAGACAAACATTCAACAATGGAAATATTTTATATAAAATATAGCCATTGGTTATAGTTAACTTCAACCGTGTTTGCAGTTTCAGAAGATAATAGATAACTAATTCTATGTATCAATTCGACCGGTGATAATAATTAATAATTAATAATACTTTGTAATACCACGGATTGTATGAAATATTTTATATAATCCGTAGTAGTATTATTTACTCTATACGAAAAATAAATGGGAATTGTGAAGCATAGAAACATAACAAATTGTTATTCTCTTTTCTGTGCTATCAACCATCGATTGGCCGTTCAGTACGAAATAAACTTGATCTTTAATGGAATTAGTAAATTGAAATGTGTTTGTAGATCATTATTACAATATTTTACTGTCATTATTATTTCAGTATTTTCGTCCACGGTTATTACTGAAAATTATCTGTAAGTATTAAATTTTAAAATATTAACCTAAAAGATTTCAATTTTAAAATTGGTAAGAGCTTATTATACAATAATCTTGCCCACCTTAAAAAAATCCCCATGCTCTTAATATTTCTATTTTCTATACAAACTTTAATTAATTTAAATTTGTTTCAGTGTTCAATATTGTAGTTATAATGTTGAGGCTTGCAAAGTCATTCTCAAAAAGACGATTAAATGCCAGAGCTTTAAGTGTGTTAGAAGCCAAGCCATTCAAAAATACTAGCTTGCAAGTTGGACAAGAAGTAGAAGGTTTTGTTGTTAAAGAAGTAAAACCAATCAGCGACTTTCAGCTTACAGCTTTACGTCTTGAGCATATCAAAACAGGAGCAGACTACTTACATATTGATCGAAACGATACAAACAATGTTTTTAGTGTAGCATTTCGTACAACTCCAAAACAATCAAATGGCCTACCACACATACTTGAACATACTACGTTGTGTGGAAGCAGAAATTTTCCATGTCGAGATCCATTTTTTAAAATGCTCAATCGTTCTATGGCTAATTTCATGAATGCAATGACTGCTCCTGACTACACATTTTATCCTTTTTCAACTGAAAATTATTCCGATTACTACAATCTTATGTCTGTGTATTTAGATGCAGTGTTGAATCCTATGTTAAGAGAATCAGATTTTCGTCAAGAAGGATGGCGCTTAGAACATACATTAGTAGATGATAAAAAATCACCAATAGAAATAAAAGGTGTCGTGTACAATGAAATGAAAGGTGTTTATTCAGATAACCAACAAATATATAATGAGAACTTCCTAAATCAAATATTACCCAGTAACACCTATGGAGTGAATTCTGGAGGAGATCCAAATGTTATACCATCTTTATCTCACTGTGACCTTGTAGATTTTCATGATAGATATTATCATCCGAGTAATGCCCGTTTTTACTCATACGGCAGCTTTTGTTTGGAAAATCATTTGCAGTTTTTAAATGAAAGATATTTGCTTGAATATACTTCAGATAAAACTATTAAACATGAGACTAAAGTACCAAATGAAGAACGATGGACAACATCTAGACGTTATCATGTTTCTTGCAGGGAAGATCCTATGATACCTAAAGATAAACAGTCATCGTTGAGTATTGGAACTTTATGGAGTGATATTACTAATGTACAAGAAACGTTTGAGTTAGCTATACTCTCAAGACTACTGTTAAATGGGCCAAACGCTAAATTTTACAAATCTTTAATAGAACCAAATATTGGAACAGATTTTAGCTCTACCACAGGATTTACAGACCAAACTAAAGACACTTTTTTTGCTGTAGGTCTTCAAGGATTAAATGAATCTAACTTTGAACTTGTAGAGTCAGTATATGAAGAAACCATTAAATCAGCAATTGAAAACGGTTTTGATGATCGAGATATAGAAAATATTCTGCATTCAGTGGAATTGTCAATGAGACATCAAACTTCAAACTTTGGGTTGAATCTCTTGTATGGTATATTGCCGGTTTGGAACCATGAAGGTAACATTATGAACACAATGAATGTTAGTGAAAAAATTGGAATTTTTAAAAAGAATATGGCTGAAAATTCTAATTATCTACAATTACTGGTAGATAAATATTTATTAAACAATAAACATAAACTCATTATAACAATGTCACCTGATGAAAACTATGAGGAATTGAGAAAAAAAACCGAAGAAAACTTATTAAAAGAAAAATTGGCTTTACTATCAGATGCAGATAAGGATAATATTTATCAGCAAGGCCTTGAATTACGTAAAGAACAAGATGCAGAACAAGATGCTTCATGCTTGCCATCTTTAAGTATTGATGATTTAAAAAAAACAACAGACTCTGTATTGTTCAAAAAAGAAAAGTTTGACAAAACGCCTGTCTTCATATTTCCTCAACCGACTAACCAAGTGACTTATTTTAATAGTCTATTAAATACATTACACGTTCCTAAAGATTTGAAACAATTAATTCCTTTGTTCTGTAACATAGCTACTAGAATGGGCACCAAGTCTAAAAACTTTAAACAATTTGATCAGTTGATAAGAAAATCAACTGGCGGTCTAGGAGTCTCTCAAACTATTGTAGATTCTCCCAGTGAAGTATTTACTATGAAAGAAGCAGTTGTTTTAAACTCTTATTGTTTAGATAAAAATGTAAAAGATATGTTTAAGCTATGGGAACAGATTTTTTCTGAGTTAATATTTGAGGATGAAAATAGGTTTAAAATTCTTGTACAAGAAGAAGCAAGTGGCCTAGCAAATAGTATATCCGGCAGTGGGCACATGTATGCAATGTTGTGTGCAGCTGCTGGTATAAATCCAATCGACGCTCAACGTGAATCAAACGGAGGGCTTCAATATGTTAGCTTAATGAAAGAAATATCACAAATGAAAGATTTGTCACCAATATTAAACAAATTGAAAGAAATTGGTAAACATTTATTAAACAAAAATACAATGAAATGCTCATTAACTATTGTAGATGACAATATTGAAGCAGTGGTCAGCTTAAAAAACTTTATTGGCACAACCAATGGCAAATGGAATTTACAAAATGAGTATCGTAAAGTTGAACAAAACAAAACCAATATTAAATGTTTCCATCATGTGTTACCATTTTCGGTTAACTATTGTGCAAAAGCTCTTCCGGGTGTCCCATACAGTCATAAAGATTATGCTACTCTTAAAGTACTTTGCAAATATTTAAGTTCTAAATATTTATTACCCACAGTTAGAGAAAAAAATGGTGCTTATGGAGCTGGCGCTTCTATATCAACTTCTGGCACTATTCAAATGTATTCATATAGAGATCCAAAACCAACAAAAACATTTGAAGCCTTTGACACAGTATGTGATTGGATGAGCAAGAGGAAAGTAACAATAGAGGAGTTAAATGAGGCTAAACTAGCTGTTTTTCAAGGAATCGATCATCCTATAGCTCCTATGGCTAAAGGCAATGCTTTCTTTTTATACGACATGGATGAAGATATAAGACAAAAACATAGAATGCAAGTACTAGGTGTAAAAGTTGAAGACATAATAAATTTGGCAAACTCATACTTTTCTAACGAATGCTTTGCAAAAGTTATGATTGGACCAAAATGCAAAGAATTTAATTCAGACTCTCAATGGAATATTACAAACCATGAAGATTTATAAACAATGTTAAAAATGTTTAAATATTTTTTTAAATTTATTTTGTTATTTTGGAAGTTAATAAATTACTGTTTTACTGTTGTACTTGCACTGTTTATGTATATAATTGAATTGAAATATTTTTTATATATATATATATATATATATATATAAATTAAAACTCAAATAATAATTAAAATGTTATTTTTATTTATTATTTGAATATACACTTTTATCTAACTATTCAAAAAAATATAATTTTCATAGAATATTACTTTTTTAAAATAATACAGTATTGTGTTGTAATAAAAAGGTCAACATTACATTTTGTATACTTAATTCCTTTTTCCTTTTATTTTTTCAAACTAATATAAGTATATATTTTTTTTCCTCAATAGACATTATAGTTTAACTACCATTCAATTATCAAAGTATTTACAAACAATTTAATTAGTGTCCAGTAACAAATAAATTTGTTTATTTAAATTCAATTTGTTATACTGACACAGTATATTTAATTAGTTTTGTAAACAACTTGTTGTAGTAAAATAATAAATCTAAAAATTATGTTATTATAATAATATAACCGTCGCAGTAAGAATAAATTTGTACAAGAAATCTCAAATAAAAGTTATTAACACGCAGGAAGGCTATAAAAGTTAAATGTTAATATAAGGGTACTTCAAGTTCTGACGTAGAAAATTATAAAAACTTTTTAACTATTAATTTATTATTCTATAAAATTGTTTAGTTTTACATAAAAGTATTTTAATTAATCTCATTTCTAATTATACTTCAAAAATATTTTATGATGCTATGTATATGAGATAATCACGTTTTTACTATTAAAATTATAAATAAATGTTAATAAAAAAGATTGTTTTTATATAATTATGCCAAGAATTAAGATTAATATACCCATTAATATAAATTGGTACTTTTTTTTTTTACATTAACCCAATTCATAATATGAGCAATTTTATGTGGGAACTAGTATGTCAATAGTGCAAATCATTTTATGATTTAGCAAAAATATCATATTTTCATAAAATTGGCAATTTCATGTTTAAGGTTTAGTAACATCTTTATTATATGAACAGCTTGATTGAAGTTTGAGGAGCTCTAACAACACTTTCTCCCTCTGAGGTCGTACATGTCTCCATACGTCTATTGCCTTCCAATAGTTGTATATACATCATAATATAATAAGTAACTTATACTCGATTGATTTACATAAATTACTAACCTAGTAATTTAGGTTGACCTAATGTAAATTTATATTTTATTTAAAGTTTGGAAGTTATAATTGGGCTTCCACCCCTCTTTATATTCTTTGTTTGTACTGTGAGTTATGACTATTTGAAACGCTCAGAATTATCTTGATATAAATAACACTAAAATAATCTGATACTTCAAACTACACAATTTAATACTTGCTTATTTGCTTGTGTATGCTCTTCTATCTTAAACACGTTTTCTCATCCAATATGTCTAAATAAGTCATTGTATAGTCAAGATTAATAAATAAGAGACCAAGATATAAGAACATGTAGTTATATTATAGTATGTTCAAATTCAATACACAAAGGTTATAACTATATGTTTTTAACAATAAAAAGTACAATAGAAGTCCAATTATTAAAATGTATAAAACGATATAAAACTTACTTTTTCTTATTAAACTTATTAGGTTTCTTTTTTTGTACTTTACCCCCTTTGAATTTCGAACCATTCTTTCCCTTATTGTTACTGTTACCATTTTGACCTTTGACATTTTTCGATTTCAAAGGTGCCTTAGGTTTTTCCTCTTCGCTCTCTTCATCGAGGTCATTGCCACTATCATCACTGCCATCAAAGGTTATACCTTCTAAATCATCATCATCATCATCCTCATCGTCAATATCTTCATCGTCTTCTTCATCATCATCTTCTTCTACAACTACTTTAGATTCTTTCTTAGATTTGGGTTTTGATACTTTGCTATCCGATTTCTTGACATCAACTTTAGTAGACTTAGCACTTTTCTTAATTTCTCCACCTAATGCTTCAAATTCAGCTTGGAATTTTCTGTAAACACTACTTAATACTTCGCTGCTTGTGTCCTTGAATTTTGAAAATCCTTTTGTAATAAAATTCTAAAAAAAAAAATTTTGCAATTAATAATTTAACAGCTAGTTTTAATTTTTTTTTTACAAACCTTAAGTTTTGTTTCATATTGTGGAATAGATTCTTTTTTCTTGTAATCTGCCAATAGTTTAGCAACGCTACTTTCTTCAGCAGGAAGGTCTGCAGCTGATACATTAATAATAGCTTTAACCCATAATTCTTGTTTCAATGCTTTTAGAGGGTTGGGCGATGTTTGTGCAAGTGAAGCTTTCTGAGCTGCTTCACCTTCTTTTTTTAAAACTGCTAGTTTAACAACTTTCACTTTCTCTTTTACAACGCCTTTAGCTTGTTTTTTTGGCGATTTATTTCTGCAATTTAATTAAAAATAATTTGTTATAATATTAAGTCAAATATTGTAATTTTTAAAATAAATGTTAGTCCAACAACTTTACTAAGATAAACAAATTATTGTTTGAAGTACCAGTACAAAAAAAATATACAAAATCAATACATAGGTGGCTATTTTTTACTCTACGCCTGTTCAAAAAAAAAATTAACATTGCGTCTAGGAGTCAAACTAGTGACCATATATAACAACACTTCTATATAAGTGCTGGTTGCTTTATATAATACTATATAAATCAAGTATTTACTATTTTAATAAACTAAGAATCTTTAGAATACAATCTCTTTTTTTTAACTTATTAAAGATACACATTTAGCCTACGTTCAAATGGATGTTTTTAAGTTTGCCCCGCTTATTTAGTTAAAAAAAAAAAAAAAAGTATAATATTGCACAAAAAAAAGTATCCAGTAAAGTGAATTTATACCTTCAAAAAATGGTGTATAAATATTAAAAAAAAAAAAAAAATCAGATTAAAAATTTGAAAAAACAAATAAATTGGTTGTGTTTATATAATATTCTAGGTAATTCTTACTTTATGTTTGGGCTAGCTGTTTTATTGTCAGTAGAATTCTTAGTTTTCAACTTCATCTTTGTTAATTGATTTATGTATATATATATATTTATATATTACCTGTAACAAAAAGTATTTAGCTCAGTATAAAATAATAAAATAAATTCAAATGTATGTATTAAGCAAATTGTATTAATGGGAACTTAAAGAGCCATTTCATATAAATTAACTAAATTGCTTGACAGTCTCAAAAGCCAAGATTCCACAACACACGTTTTACTAGATTGGTAGAGGACCAATACATGATTATGGATCTTATGATTGACATTAATACTTTACTGTTATTTGTAAAGTGTTCAATACATAAAAACAGTTTTAATAATAAAATTGTCTCATAGTCTAACCTGAGTACTTTAATTAACATTAATAACCAAAACTAAATTATCCTTTAATGTAATACTTTATACGTTAATACAGTCGGTAGTTTAAATTATTTTCTGAAAATTTCTGTTCACACAATCACATGCCTCTAATTTTTAATTATTTATAGTGTAATATGTACAATAAAATGTTTAAAAATGAAACGTCCAAACACGAAAATTAGATACCTATAATAATATATTACATAAACGTTACATTACCTTAATATAATTCAATTAGAATAATTGAAAACGGTATGATTAAGTTACAATAGTAACTATAGTTAACACTTCAGTGAAATTACACAGTTTTCTAAATATCCAACAAAATGTTTAGCATGCGGGATTAAAACTACACGAGACTACGGCAGGGGAGACGCGCGTTTCATGAGTTAATGAATAGTGAACACATTGGATCAACATGTTATTGAAATTAAAAATATTTTAGGTTATGTTTACGTACTACGTCATGGAATAAAAGATTAAATATAAATGTATCAACTATCATCTAAAAGAAAAAAAATACGGCATATTTTAAACCATGAAGACCAAACTCCGTTTATCAATATCTTCCCAAAAAGAGTCGCACGATTAATTGCCACCCACTAACCAGAAATCAGAATGCGCAGTAGATCTGCCTACTGCGTTTTCTACAGATTCTTATGGTAATTTATTACTTTATATTGAAATATATTGAATACCTATATCACACAGAACGCAATAAAAGTATGAATTTTTTGTTCTTCAAATATTTTATGTAATACTATAGTTGTTATTTTACAATTTATGTTTATTTGTAGAAATACGAATATTTAATTCAATAATTACTTATTGAAATTTTAACATTTTTCTGCTATTTTCAGTGATTATTTTTTATGGTCATCTAAAGAACATCCAACAAATGGCTATGAATAACTATAATTATTATCTATATTACACATGCACATTTTTGTTTTTTAAATGAAAATGAACTATCCAAACAGAAAAATTAGATACCTATATATTTTATATATTATACAAATGTTACATTTAATTTAATATGTATAATCGAAAATGGTATGATAAATTTCCATAAAATTGCTTTACTGGTATTTCATTTTGGTAATTTTCCTAAATATCTGTATTATTTTAGTGTACAGAAAATACCACTAAACTTAGGATCATACATACATTTTTTGAAAATATTTAAACTTTGTTAACGCCCCTTCCCATCTACAAAGATAAACTTAACAAAGATTGTAAGTTATATACTTATATTTTTTATTAAATATAACAATGTGTCATTCATGAACCATGTTTTGATTCAAAATTAATCACATTATGTACAATAATTATTGTATCATCTATAAAAAATATGAAAAACAGTAACAAGTAATTTTTGTACATAAAAGTTGATCATAAAAAACATTTTTTTTTTTCAGTATCTTTTAATTGTTCCAAAATCCTATCTGCTTCTCGCCATCCTGTTTCAATAGCTCCATGAACTGTTGAGAAATAATCATTGTGTGTAGCTTCTCCGCCAAAACATAGAATCTAAACAGACAAAATCTTCGTTTCATAATTTAAGAGCTAGAAACAAATAAATAGTTCAAATAATGTAAGCACTTTTAGATTAATATTTGTTTTTACATTTAAACCGAGTCATGCCAATCAAAGCAACATTAAAATTAAAAAAATAAATTGAGGGTTCACAATTTGCGTAATCAATGTTCGGGTCATGCTTAGTCAAGCAATTTTTTTTTGTTTGCACCAAAATCTATATCCTACAAAATTGTAAATAATTTGTTGCTAAAGTAATTTTGATCAATGTATTGCCCAGCTCTTCAGCTCAATAAATAATAATTGGTATAAAATCCCGAGGAAATTTACATTAAAATTAATTTAAAATATCAATTTTACATTTTTTCCGTCCGAATTGACCAATGGTTCTGCAAGTAGACTATTAGCTTTGCCTTCTTTGTCTGTATTCATTGAATGGAACGAATATGAGCCATAAAAATGAGTATTTGTTCCCCACTGTGATCTAAAAATAAACATTTTAATACAGGATACTTTGAAAAAAATACGAGTAAATAGTAAGACACATTGATATAATAAAACTATATTATATTTAATGTTAAATAATAAAAGGCGTACCTGGTAACTAAATCAGGAATAGGAATAGTAAACTTATCCGCCAAAAACTTGTTTAACAAGTACACTAATCCAATTTTTATTTCGTCTATTGATTTACGTTCCATATTTCTGGCTGCTGGACCAACTATCCAACCCAATAACGTATTCGGACAGTTATCACAAGTGTAAAAACCAAATACATCGCATAAATAATCCCACCCACGTCTCTAAATCGAACATATTTTTTTAAATAATCATTAATAAATTAGTTAAATTAATACAATTGTTTATTAAGTAGTAGTTTAAATAGGTAAACAAATAACATTACATAGTGATAAGCATTCTGCGAGGTGAGTGAACGAAAAGGGCTATTTATTAAGGATAGGCAATATTCGACTATATTTTTATAGTAACGATTTAAAATATGCCGACTAATTATTATTTTTAATTATAGAAATAAATAGTTTATGCTGATATTTCAATAAAAAAAAAATTATTATTATTATTTTTTTTTTGGGGGGGGGGGGGGGTTTGGGTTCGGCTAATTATTATAAAGTGGATAAATAATAATTTTTCCTAGTTTTAAAACTCAGTTTTCTCGGAGTTATGGCAAAAGTATGATAAAAAAATTACTTTCGTAAAAGTAATTTTATGGGACCATCCTATTGGATGACGAATTTTAATTTTTTTTATGTTAAGCTTTTTATTTTTTCTATGGGGAATAAAAACCAATTTAGCTACTAGAAATTATTTGGGTTTATTAGAAAAACTACAAAAAAGTAAAAGTACAAACGCTTATAATACAATTAAAAAAAAAAGTCGGTCTTTTAGTTCCCATAGAGAAGAAAGTAGCTACAAAACAACATTTTCAGATCGGTTCGGTATACAGCGTTTTAGTCTTAATTTGTACAAAACTTGTCACATAACATTCGCCTTAAGCTTAATCCCTATTGATAAAGACACACGAAATAATAAAAAAAGTTCCGGCTATGATTAAAAGTTAATTGATAAGTTAGTTTGTCCAGACAGGGAGAAAATGTTCTTTTCCAGTTTTATTACTTACCTAACGTTATAAGTGACACAATGTATTAATCAAATAATAATACAACTATAGCGGAATATTACTCTGTACTCACAAATCACAATAATTGTATAATTAAACATACATACCTTATTTTCTTTTATGAAACGTTCACGGTCTTCATCAGACCACAAAAAACTAAAGCCAGGGATATCATCAGGCCACCATTTATGCGGAAATTTTAAAAATAATTTATCTACAGTTCCAATTCCCAAATCCTTAATCAATCATTAATAATAATATCAAAAATCAAAATCGAAAATAAATTAATTTTTATAATTAAAAATATATTACTTTTATTGCTTTCAATTTATATTGTGGAAGTTCAGGTTCAAATAATTCGTTACACACATTTTTCAACACACCAAGACTAACTGTCAATAGAGCAAAGTCAGCTTGATAACGGCTATTGTCAGCACAAATAATATCTACTCGATTACCAGACCAATATATTTTTACTACTTCTTTTCCAAATATAACCTTATCCTTAATACATAAGTGTTCTGACTCATTGTTGTATTTATCCTGAAACAAAAAGATACATTACAAAAATCTTATTTTTTATTTTAATGTAGTCGAACATTTATTTGGGGGGGGGAGTGAAGAGGGGTAGTAGTTATTAAAACCTAGGGGTAGTATATATTTTACAATACTTTGCGTGCCCATCCACAAATTATATTATTAAACAGAAAAATATGTCGAGAGTCCTCAGTCTGAAAGTAAAGTAATAAGCTTACATCGATGGTAAAATAATATATTATAATAATATGATTAATTTTCCCTTAAGGCGAATATTTTTTAAGGAATTTTTTATTTCAAGCTATTGTTTGGTAAGTTTGTTTTTTAAAAGCAAAAAATTAAGCAAACATGTGATGGAGGTCTCAAGTATTTTAGGAAAGATGGATTTTCAACTTTTGTCTCCTCGACGTACTTTCCGGATAAGGCGGATATGATATAAATTTCATTAGAATGGAAATGTGAGTCAATGAAATTGGTCTGGCGTAGCAATTCCAAATTATATCGTGTCCACAAAAAAAAAAAAATTAACACACCATTGAAAACCCAATGTTTTGTTAGCACTAATCGAAACTTAAATTGTGAATTTTTATTTAAAAAATTATTTTACAAATATGAAATACGTATCCATAAAGCACATAGTGTTTTAACTAGATATGAGTTTAGAATGATAAATTTGTAGACTACGAACATTTAAACCATAAGAAACTAGCTAAAAACGTATTATATAGGTAGAGGCGAAAAACAAATATTTGTACTGTATAATGTATAAAAAAGTTATTTAATAATGCTTATTAAACAAGTTAAATAGATGTTCGAGTACATTCAGTGGAGGCTATCCCATAACAAGGGTAGTATCTTTAAATAAGAGGTGGTGGAACCTTACCATAGTATTTTGTTAAAAAAACATGATACAGTAAGTAGTGATCAGAAGGGGTTGTCCCATTTAATATTAGTGATGGAATAAAGTTAGGTATATGATATTGCTTAACTAATACATAGATAAAACACCATATATATTGTCAATATCTAATATTTTTAGGATAGCCGCCGCTGAATAAGATTTACATGGGTACGACGATGCGTCGTAAATAATAAAGAAATAAAAACCAATATTTTACCAATAAAAGATCAATAATAGTAGAGAATCCTTTTGATTTCCAACTAATTGCTGGATACCCAGCACAACTTTTGTAAGTATCTATATTAATGGCTGAAGCTTCATACAAACTATCACTTCCATTATATGAATTTTGATAATGATGACACCAATTGACTAGCTGCTTAAGTGGCAATTCTTCGGTGTTTATTGGAACATTTTCCATTCTGTATTTATTAAGAAAAAAATATTTGTACATAGGCATATATTGTTCTGGCGATTGCCTAATTATTGAATTATTTAAATAATTACATGAAAGTTGAATTAGATAATTCTGAAATCGATAATAATTAGAAGCGATAGTAGAAAAAGAATAACTGTATCAATTAACACAAAATTGACATTATTTTGAATACAAATTCTTGAGCTCGACACTTCTTTAAAACCAATATAATTCTGGAATCGATTTTTTTCAGATACGTTATTAGAATAAACAGTAAACAGAAAGCCACAAGGGTAGGTTGTCGCAAGTTACAGTTTCCGGATTACCACGACGGGGCGGGGTTCAAAATTAATCCAATACTTGGAATATAATTAAAAAAAAAAAATTAAGGTTCCTTTTGGAGTGTCTAGGGAGGAAAGAATAAGAAATGAATACATAAGGATTAAGGGGGAGTCTAGGAGTTGCATTAATTGTGGGAAAATGAGAGAGAATAGGTTGCGATGGTTCGGTCATGTTAATTGTCTAAAATTCCGAAGTATACTAACCTTTTTTGAAAGAGCTCTCCTAACGACATAAATCGTTCTAAATCATCTTTGGGACTATCATCAAGTATTGTGTATGCTATCTTTAAATATTCCCTCGATAGATTAAGAGGTATAACATGACTCGAAGAAGATACGAACATAGAATTCTGAAACTGTTTAATGGTTTCCCTGCGATCCGATACCAAATTTTTAGCTGCTGCCATTTGAAAAACTATATTTCCTTCTTCTCCGTGGATCCACTGCGCTCCAATATCAATATGCCCATCTAAAATATAAATAAGTCCAGTCAGTGTACTGACTGGACACGACAACAATAGCTCTAAATTTAATAACTAGCAAATAACATAACAACAGTACCGCAAAAAGGAAAAAACCCAAGGACGTTCAAGCCTATAGATTTGTGTCCATAGAAAATCATGATTCATTATCATTATTTATAGCATGTCTCAAAAATTGACCATTAAGCGTGTCATTATAATGTTTCAATCACATTAATATACTTCAATAATAAAAGGTAAATAAAAATAGTTAATCACCATTTCCTCACAACCCTACCTTGTTCCAAGGCAGACCCTTTCAAAGCCGCTTCTGGACAAAATGTTATAGGTCACTTGAAAAACTTACATTGGAAAAATATGACAGCACTGTCAGCGAAAGGATAATTTTAAGAGAAATACCATTGAATCAACTGTAAATTATAGAGATAACATTTGAATTTAGACGGTAGGGATGATTTGAGAAATAATTTTTTTAAGTAGTTGGCAACCTTGATACATTCCCTCTACAATTATAATTCATTGTAGTTTTAAATTGTACCAAATTTCCATTCTCAAGTTATTCTTAGTTAACTGGCTTAAAAATATTAATCAATTAAATAAAAAACAATGTATTACATATTATTAAACTATACACAATTAATTTGTGTTATTACTCGGTTTTTTTAGTAGATACATTTAAAATATTCCAATGTCAACTTATTTTACTCGTACTCATAAAAAAATTTACTTAAGCGTTTCGGTTCCGTGGACTCAAACATAGCCTGTACTGTTCACAGAACATGTACATAATAGCGAACAATAATTTAATTATAAAAAACGCTGAAATATCAGAAAACACTAATCTAAATTGGGTTAGTAAAAATTGTTCTTCTTATAGAAGTTATGAAAACTAAAACGGTAGACTACACCTTTTTTTCCCCCAAGTAATCGCTAACCTGGGAGAGAACTGTTTACACACCCTACACCCTGAATCTGTGACTGAATCAACCTAGTATTTACTTTTAGACTCAAAAATTAACGACCACTAGATATTAACTTAGTTGGCCTATAAAATAAATAAATTACCACCAAAAGGCACTGTGTGAAGGCGACCGCCTAATCGGTTTTCGGCTTCCAAAATGACGATGTTTTTAATGCCATTTTTTAGAAGTTTACTAGCAGCTGCAATCCCTGCTGCACCTGCTCCAACAATAACTACTGTACTACTGACTACTCGATCCATACCTAAAATTAATAAGTATAGATTTAGTTGACACAATTTTATCAGAAAGTATAAAAATCGTTTATAGAAAAACTTTAGAACGAATGAATAACGCAACTCAGTAAATTCGAATTATTACATAGTTAACAGCGACGACCAATTAATATACCTACTTTTAAATGCCACGCCCAAAGCAGAGATATATGTAATACGACATATGATAACTAACTGCATGACATTTATGTAGGGTCTAATTTAAGGTATACAAAGCAGAATTCGTAGAGTAAAACCACTTAATCTAATCTTATATATTATTTATTTAATATATATATATATATATATATATATATATATTAAATAAATATTTTACAATTATATATATAAATAATATTTTAGGCACCTTGATTAAATAATAACATGCATAAAAAAGTACTGTTGTCAATATAACGTTTAAAATAGAGAAATGATTTCACAAAAATTATTTTTTTTACTGTTTTAGTATAAAAAATAAAAATTTAAGCTCACAAGGAAATATTACTCTACTTTTCTATACCAAAATGTAAATCAAATACATTTAGAATCTTTATAATGATGTATATCTATATTTTCCCGGTTCAGGTCTGGCCAGGGCCCAGGGCCACAAACATTTGGTAGCCTTGGAGGTTACATGTAATTGTCAACAAATGACAAATTGTAAGCTTGTGAGATACCTATAGTGAAATTTTCAATTTAATTTTTGTATTGATTAATGTAAAAGTATTTTAGGGTATTAAAGTTAAACATTTTGACGGTTAGACTTCGCGAAAATATTACATGGTACATTTTTTTACAGATGCCTGGTGCCCTAACTATCGTTGGCCTAAAATCCAAAATTTCTCAGTATAAGATATAAATAGTAAGATTGAAGTTTTCATCATGAAATGCTTTGGGCGTAAAAATCCTAAATACATCCAAAATTACAAACAAAAATATAAATACATTAAAAGATTATGTATTAAGATTTAAGTGTACGTGTATGTAAGACTAATTAATCAGATTAGGGCACTTAATTTCAACCAAATGATTTTAAAGCACGTAATTTATTTTACATCTAAAATAAGAAATTAAGTATACTGCGTTTGTATATTATTATTTATCAGTAATTATTATAAATCAGTAGTAACTTTGTTACCATTTAATAAAGCATTAAAAATCTCTTCTCGAAATAATTAAATCACGCTCGTAATATAGTACTTAATAAGAGTAGGTACTTAGAAATTTCAAAACATTATTTCTCGTTTATTAATTCTTTTATACCTACTACTTTAATAAAAATAATAAATGAACAACAAATATTTGCGTTTTCTTTTTTATTAAATTGAAAATACAAAATATAAAATGTATCAACAATTATAAAATTAGTTTTAATGTAGGTAACCATGATGATCACGTCATGTCATACACAACTAAATTATCTTCTGGGCGCGAATACTTAAAAACAGAAATTGTGAGTGTACACGCAGAAAAGTGTATGCGGAACTGTATTGCTTTAGTTCAATCGCATTGAAGTCTTCGAGGATAAAATTATAAGGCGAAAATAATTGACAATTGTACTATTTTACAATTGTGTTTTTTATATATTTGTAACTGATTTATTAAGTTGTACTGTAGTGTTCAAATAAATTTAGAGATACGTAGGTTATCGAAATGTTAATATTTCGGAAATAATCGAATTCTCGACGTAATTCAACCGCGAATAATTACCGAATTGGCTTAACCGCCGCGCCGTGAACCCTTAAATAAAATACAAATAAATTTTAAAAAACATGTCTTTAAAATATAATTACCGTTTTATATTGCAATATATTCATTAATGATAATCTATACGCTAACTGTAAACTAGTGAGACATATATAAATACGTTGTTTTACATAGAATACTGAATAATCGACAATTTTTTATTTTAATTGAACACTTTTGGTTACCTACAAGATGCTAATGTGCTACTCAACTAAATAAAACAGAAAAATTGTATTATAATTTGCTCCAATCAGTTACATTTATCGCACGACTATAAATACTGTAGTCGTGCAAAATCTATATAAAATTGGATAAGAAGGTCTATATTATTTAGAATTATTTTTCGGTGATCGGTATTTTATTAGTCGATTACAATAATATTTCATCAGTATAAGATAATTTTACATTGAAAGAAGAGCAAAGGTCATCTATTTTTGTTTATCGTTACTTAGATCATAGACGAAGACATTAAAAATGTAAATATGTTAACTGCTAGGTCACAACTGACAAAATATATACAACAGATATACTGTACCACGAGGAGCAAACAATATATTGTATAATTATAGTAATTTTATTTATTTACGTAACGAATAACCATAATACATACAATAATATATTTTTTACAATAAGTTATAACATTTCAATTAGGCTATATACATTTTATCTGAGTGTTTATTTTAATATTGTTTAATGTGTGGGACACGTCCAAAAACTTGTATAGGTATTGCATGTAATACGAGTATGTCCTAGGCAGATCTAGAAGTTATATACCTATTATGAAGTTTTAATCTGGCATTCATTTAACTCGAGTTTCAAGAACATTTTTGGAAAACAGTAGTTCTAAAGCACTTGTACTCCTAGGATTCTACGGAACTTCGATTGACAAACTATAAAACTAATTTTTTCAATCTAAATTCATGCTCCTAGAACTTTTAAAATCTGGATCAATTAACCACAAACACAATAGTTCGAGAGAATACGTTGTAAACTGTGACTTAAAGTATTAATAGGACATTAATCAAATTAAAGATGAAGAGACTATATTATACATGTAGACAGGCGATTTAACAAAAAATGTTTTTCAACGAAGATAGAAGCTTATAAAAATGTTGAATTCAATATCTTATACTATAGGGGTTTAGTAAGTAATAAGATTATCGACTATCACCTATATGAATATGGGATATTCGGTATATCATTATATTATAATAATATAGAAATTCACCAAAAGTAATCGTACATCATTTGTTTTTTTGCATTTAGGATTTTGCTTTCTGATTAGCTTTTCTTTACAAATAAGTATCCATAAAAAACCCTTCTCCGATAAAAAATATATACCAAATAGTTAAGCAGATATAAATGATACTTCGTAAACTATAAAAATATATGTATTATTTTTTCTATTAGGTTACAAATTAAAATATATTTTAACTAGATATTTTTATTTAATATTTATGTCGGGTTTTTACGACGTGTGTAATAACTAATTTTTTTACCCAATACAATTTTCAGGAAGTTAAACATTATCGAGGGAAAATGTTGGCAATATTTTTAAAAACTTTATTTTGTATACGGTTTGAGATAAAAACAAGACTATTTTTTTGGCACACTTCCGGTAAAATTTTGTTTAGAAAAATCAAGTCAATGGTGTACGAACGACTTGGCACGGAATACCTCATATTATGTAGATTACACTTCGTCTATAACTTTGTTCTTGTGTAAAAATACGCTCAGACGGTTGTTTTCCGGAAAACTTAAAATTACCGTTTCATGTTTTAGTACAAAAATAGGTTGTCAACTACGTTGTCAAAGTAGAAAAAAATGTTAGGTACCAAAACAGATTAATTCTCTTTGCTATGTTAATATTGTGTTAATGTTAATGTTATTATGTTTATGAGAAAGTAATTTATGCCTAGTATTACAAATATTAAAACCAAGGCAAGCTAAAGCCCCTCAAATCTTCTTCATACCCGCTTGGTGCGTTATCTTTTATATTGTGGTATTGACTGTTAGGCGGATATTGGGAGATGGGGCTTAGCCCCCTAAACTTTTTGGATTTATTTGAAACAAGGAATTAAAATGGATGTTTTTTGTCCGCGAAAAGAAAAGAAAATTAAAATATTTTGTTTTATGCTTCATAAATATTTTACAAGAGATATCGTTTTATTTAGTGTAATTTATAACACTAAGCAGAATTCAAGAAAAACCCACAATTAAAAAAAATATATTTAATCGTAATAGCTTTGTCAAGGAATTATTGTTAGTGACTCAGTTCCACCTACACTATTACTGTTTACTTCCATTTGTTTTTTACAGAAGGGTAGGGGGGCTATTAGGAAAAAAGTGCACTACTAAATTAATTTTTTAAGTGTCAAAAAATAAGAATCCAACCAGGTGGGTGAGTAGATTATTTATTAAGAGGACGTTATATGCCCTATTTATTAAGGAGTTAGGTAAGGCAATTTTTTGCAAAACCTTAATTTAAAGGTTAAACTTTGATGTGTAATTAGGACTCTTTTTTAGTAGTTAATTTATTTTTCAGGCTACCACAGCAATCTGCATCTTTGATTTAAAAACAATAATATTAGTCTAACCTTAGCTACGTAGTATGCGTTTCACATGGTCCATAGTGATTTTAGAGCAAAAACACCTATTATGAAATCAAAAGATAATAATATTTCGAAGACGATTTCATATTAAATTTTGAAAATAATAACGTTAAAAATTATAGCTATTTTAAACAAGTAAAAAATATAATTTTTAATGTTAAATTGCCTTTAAAATCTTGATATTCGTTTCCCTTGTAAAGATTTTATGCTCTAAAACCATTACAGAGCAAGTAAAATGCATTCTGCGTTGGTATGTTTTAACGCTAAAAGATAATTGGGTTTATAACGTCCTCTTCAAGAAAAGTAGTTTTTTTCCAAGCCTCCTTCAAATCCACTTTATTATTTCGATTTTTTAAATGTATTTGCATGCAAACAATTTAAATAAAAATAAAAAATATCAGATACACAATTATGTGAAATTTATCTATAAACTGATATTTCATACAAATTAGGAACACATTTTTCAAGTTTTCATGCCAGTCTTCATAAAATTTTCTTGTAGATACTTAGTTTTGTTGAAAATAATATGATATTATTGCCTTTTGTCAGTATTATAGCTAAGACTTTTGGGAAAGAAAATGTGGAGGTCACTGACAGCAAGAACTTTTTGGTGTCTCGTAGACATTAAGTTTATGTTATAGTATTGGACGCATAGTTTTTACCTAGGCACAAAAACAATGACTTCCTACATTGAAGGATTTTTTCAATATTATGGCCTTATGGGTTAATTTTCCAAGTTGATATTTTATGCAACTGGGCGCATTCAATTTTAGGGCGCTTTTGTACGGTTTACTATACTCGTTAACATGTAATATAGGGCGCAAAAAAATGTCTTGCTCCTGGGCAATTTAGCCTCTGGTTACATCACTGCTTATATTATGGCTATTAGCATTATAATTTATAATATGGTCTGCATCTATTGTATTCTGTAAATTGATTACCTAGTTTTATTATTTTTATTAATTCACAACTAATGATAACATAGCCCAGTAGTATTTACAAAAATATTTAAAAAATGGGTTATGAAAAAAAAATGTTTAATTCTAAAATAATAATAAAATTATTTACACTATATGCTAACAAGATGTTATAGAATAATAAAATATAAATTTTTTTATTATTACCTAATTAATACTTTTAGATTAGCACTTTTCTATTGCCAAAAATGCTCGGGAACAAAGCAAAAAATCTGTTCGTTCTTCATGTAAATTTATTTAGAAAACTAATGAATAACTAATAAACTAAACCCAAATTAGACACTAGCTTTAACACAAAACAAAAGCTTACAATTATAAAAATCATAATACAAAATTCTAGTATAAATCAATTTCTGTTCTACTAAATTAAATAGTTAAAAGTTGAAACTATTCTTACCAATTTATTCTAATTTACATTCTTTTACTTATCATTTGTTATTATACAAAATACAGTAGGTATTAACTACTATACAAAAAAAACCTACGTCTATCTTAACTTTTTGTTATATTTATTCATTTTCAATTTGTAAGTTTAATAAAAAGCATAGAATTCAAAAAAGTATATTGTTATAAATGTATATTACTTTCTGATAAATAATAAAACCTACCTTATTAGTTATTAATTTTAGAAATTATTATTGTTGCTAAAAAATTAATAATTGTACATGTGGCAGTCCAAAAACTAAAACAACCAACCTTTAATTATATTAATTGGTATTATAATGCTATCGATAATTCAAAAGCATATTTCTTGCGTTACCTAAACACACTGCATTGTGCACAAGCCCCAGCAGCTGACAGTTGAAAGTCAACTCGATTGTTATTTGTTGTTGACAACTGAATACTGATAACAATCTATATACTTCGAATAACTACTATGAAAAAAACAATAATTTATGTATTGTTTCTATTTTTTTTTATAGTTGATTGCTGGTGATAAAATAATATGATAACAGCTGTACAGACTACAGGCGCCTGACTCTAGTGTCACTTGTGATTTGACTATTTATGATGAAATTAATTTACTGACTTAAAGGTTTTAACTTGTTAGTTTTAAAATAATTAATATACCATTATTTAAGTAGCTAATTTTATTGTTTATTTAATTTTTATTAAACATCAAATACCTCCTTGCTGTTATTTATCTGTAAGTAATTATAATTAATCAGTTTTAGACTTGTTTGATTTCTAAACTAAGAGTATAATCAGAAAAATTGGATAATTAATGATGAGTTTAGAATTTGAGTAATAGAAGAAATAGTATATAATATGTTTGTATTTAAAATGGATACTTAATTCTGCTAATTACTCAAATATTATATTTATATTGTGCCTTTTTTTTTTTTTATTAGGTTAACAAAAGTTTAAACTGAACATTTCAATTATGTTATCGAGAAAAAACAAGGAAACAAGAACGATAAAAGAAGGAGTAGTGGGGAAGTATGTCAAAAAAGATAAACCTCCTGAAATTCCAAGTTAGTATAAATCCAATTTTTAATTGGAATCTATTACATGATTGTCTTAAAATTATATTTTAGAATGTAAGTGTAAATAAGATATATTTATATTTTTTTAATATGTTTTTTCTTGTTTATAAATAATAATAGTTATATTAACTATATTAACATCTTCTGTTATTTTTCAAAGTCGAATTTCAAAAGTTAGTACTATACATTTAAAAATTACATCTCATCAAAATGATATGAAGTTATTATTATGTTTTATAAATTGTATTCGTATTCTCAATTAGTACACTCAAATAAATTTATAAAAAAAAAAAAAAAATTATCTTGCTACCTAAATGAGAAATGAATATAATTATTGAAAACTGATTTTTCTCTATGTTTTAGTTATTAATGTATGGACTACAGAACCATTTAGAAAAACAAACAGCAATCGAGTTAATTTGCCTGAAACACAAAGTATAAATGTAAGATAAATATAATTTTTGTGTTTTTAGGCGATTTTTATTTTTATAATAATCATTCTAGACGACACACCAACCTGGGGGTTCAGCCCAAAAGTTTGGCAATATAAAAAATACACCATCACCATCTATGCTAATAGGTCACGAAGGCAAATATACTCCTAGCAGTTCAGTTCCTGATTTGGCTCAAAAGTAAAAATAATTTTCAATACAAACCATACTATTATTATTATGGTTTTTTTTTTTTAGGTTTGCTAATGCGAACCTTTGGGGTAGTACTCCAGGAATAACTGCCGATCAATCTATTAATACTAGAAACTATCCTGATCGATATATTTCTGGTAACTGTCACATAAATCATCAAGTAAGCTTTAATTATAACAATATTATCTAATTCTGTTTTTTGTCAATAAGTTTGCCATGCTGATTTTTAGTTGGGAGCTCATTCAAATACTAATTGCTTGCCTTATCATTCTCATTCTGAATTAGCAGACTCGTCAGTAATTATGCACAGATTTGGAGATAGCGCGGTTTATACACCAGCTTTATCTAGATATCTTCCCAATGTATGTATTAATAATAATGTATTGAAGAGAATCAAAATAATTAGAATTAAATTTATATTTATCTATGCTTAACTATATTTATACGTCTGTACTTCGACAACTTTGAAATGATCAATTTCTGTTTAAGTACAACTGATTTGCATTAATTAATAATTAAAATGTTAAAAAAAACTTCTTCTTAACAAACTTTAAAGAAAAAAATATACATATATATATATACTATATATCGATTGTTTATTTTATCACAAAAGAACATTATTCATAAAATTATTATTATTATTTTTAAGATTCAATTGCAGCATAAAAATCAACTAATTAGTACTCATCATTCCAGTCCAGTTTTACATAATGTTGGTCATTCGGTTCCATTACCACCACCTTCGGGTAAATATAACTTGACTCACATTAATTTTATTAGTAAAATTTCATATTTTTATCGTCCAAATGACATTGTATCAAATACTTGAAATTGCTAAATAAAATTATCAATATTATCATAATAGCCAATTTGTTGATACATTGTTTTAAATAAGTGTTTAGTTTTTTTTAAACTCTTTATCTTTATTTACTATTTATTCCATATGTATTGTAATTTGTGTGGAATAATTTAGATGGAGGAGAAGAACTACCTTTACCTCCTGGTTGGTCAATTGACTTGACACTGAGAGGTCGGAAGTATTATATAGATCATAATACCAAAACTACACATTGGTCACATCCACTGGAAAAAGAAGGTCTTCCGACTGGATGGGAACGCATTGAAAGCAGTGATTATGGTGTATATTTTGTTAAGTATGTTAATATAAAATAATATTAGTAATTAGTTAATACCTTTTTATTAATATCATGATGTATATTAGGAATTTTTTTTTTTTAATACATTTTTTTTACATCACATGAAAATTGTAAATTAATTTGTTTAGCCATATTACTCGTCAAGCTCAGTATGAACACCCATGTGCGCCACATTACATATATCAACCTGAAATTAGGATTCCATTACCACTTCCACCCCCACCTCCTCCGAGGCCAACCAACTTTCACCCTCACAGCATGCTAGTACCTGCTAATCCTTATTTGAATCAGGGTAATGACTAAGGCTTATTTATTATTCTATGATTTACTAATAATTTTATTTATTTATAGAAATTCCTGTTTGGTTAAGTGTATATTCTCAAGCAGCTCAGACATTAGATCATAAGTTAAGATGGGAGATGTTCCGGTTGCCAGAGCTCGATTGTTTTAATGCTATGTTGACACGATTATATAAACAAGAATTAGAAGAAATAGTTATGAGATATGAAGTTTATAGGTGAGTTTTTGTTTATAGCTTCAATGCGGAGCTCGGAAAGTATATATTTTTTTTTTTTAATACAATAACACCCACAAAGTCATATTTGGGGATAAATTTTTAACTACTTCTCATGACATAATTAGAATTGGTTGTAATCTATTTATATACTACATATTTAAAATTTAAGCAATTTATAATTAAAATGTACAAATTACATTTTTTAGATCAGCATTGCTGTTTGAAATTGATAGAAGACATATGCAAGCTCGATGTATAGATGCTAATGAATACAACAACAGATATGGGCCCGGGCCACGAATTGTTGACATCACCAATGACAACCTTCGTGAAGTTGCTCTTTCACAGCATGCAGAAACTAAGGTTTGATTGTTATTTATGTTTGATCTATTTTATAGTTATAAATTATACATATATTTACACTGAACAAATATTCATTATTAAGTATTTTATAATAGCGTTTTTACTATAATAAAACTGTGATAATTTAATTACATTATACTATCATTTTTTAAAAATATAAATAAAGTATATAAGTTTTACAAAAATGTGTAATTTTTCAAATACTGATGGAACAAAAATTGTTTCAACAATCTTTTCGCACACAAAACATGAAGATACAAAACCAGCATTTACACCAAAATAGTTGGTTTGGTAGTAGAATCCTTTGGTGTATTTTTTCAGTAGCTATTAAAATCTGAATTGGTAGATCTCCAAAAAAAAATTGTTTATTAAAAAATAATTCAGTTTATTTACATTGTTAAAAACTGCAAATATATATTAAAAATTTGTAATAATCATGCAACAAAATTGAAATACGACCAATATCATTTTCAGTAATAGCCTATGACTAGGAGGTAGGCCCTAATTTATAAATTTAATTGATTCCATATAACTTTTTTGTTATTTACAAGGATTGAAAAAACATTAAGAGTAAACATAATAAATAAAATTAAAAAATCAATAGGCATTACTTATAAATCAATTAACACTGGTATTTAAAACAATACATTTAATTTACTTCAAATTATTTATTTGTAAGCATATTAATTATTATACTAAGTTGTTATCATTACTTCATTATTAACAGGATTCATTGATATTGTTGTACCTTTTTCAGTTAATTCTTTTTTGAACGATGATAAATTTTGAGTAAACCTTAAAACAAATAATCATATACTTAGGAATATACTTGATTTGTTTTTAAAAAAAATGATTTACCTTTCACGATTTCTACTAGCCAAGTTTCTTTCAACTCCTTCCATTAGCATTTCAAACCATTGTGCCATAGCGGGTTGTTTATCAACTGGCTGACTTTGTAATATAACATCCCTTAGTTGATTAAAATACTATAAATATAATATGTTGTTATTCAATTATCAAGAAATATTAATTTACTAAATTAGAGTAAGTACCTCTTCATTTAGGAGTATAAGCCCTAAAAGTGGTCTGGACATAGACCACTGGTTTCTACATTCTTCAAATATGATTATATTAAGAACAGTTTGTAATATCTGCCTAAATACACCTAAATGTGTTTCTAAAGTACGTAAAAATACTTCATTCACTTGTTGCATTCTTCTTCTTTGAACTTTTTTACCTGAAAGAGTGCATTTGTTAATAACAATTTTGCGTAAGCTCTAATTTTTACAAGTCAGCTAAATATTCTTATAGTTTTTAAAGAAATATACTTTTATGGTGTAGTGTTTACCAACAATGTTTAGTTGCATATTTACCTTCCAGTAACAATTGTTTAAATACATATGTAACAATGTGATCAAGAGTAGTACAGCAACCTGTACAAATAGACATATCTAGAAAACCCAACACACAAGAATTAGTAAAACAGTTCAAACGATTCAAGGTTAAAATGTACTTAATATACTCACCTAATGCATTGAGGCCTTCTGATATAGAAGACAATATGTATAAGAATACTTGAGGTTCTAACGTCGATAAAAACTCCATATGATCTTGAGCTAAACACTCAAGTAGACCATAATATGTTTGGGATAGTTTAGGGTAATGCTGGAATTAAATAATGTGAGTTAATAATAAAAATAAAACGATATTTCGTTGCGTATCCTATGTATCCTCAAAACTCTGTACATTTTAATTATAATTGTTAATTTGATCATATAACAAAAATCTGATTAAAAACCTTAAACTATAAATACAAAATTTAGTCTATTTGAACAGCACTAACTTTGAATTCGGCTAAGATTACAGCTGGTTTCTATCACAGTTCATGACTAATGATAATGGGCAATGCATATACGTCGAATATGAGAGCAGCAAAGAATTTAATTAGTGATCAAATTTAAAAAACTATTATCTATTATCTTACTACACCGCGCCCTTATTTTTTATAAATGTAATTTATTGGAAACCACTTTAGAAGCCCAGGGGCTTGGAAGCCCAGTGATTTCAGGGCTTCTAAAGTGGTTTCCTCTTTTAGTAGGTTTCCTAACAGCTCCTTTTCACTAAATGTTTCCCACTGATCTGAACAAACGTTTGACCAGTGACAGTAAGCGCTAACACACTGCCACCTAATCTACTCATCCACATTATATAGTGTTTAATTTATACTTCTTAAAAATTGCATTTTACTTCATTTAAAAATAAATTATTGATACAGTTAACGACTCACCATAAGATCAGTTAGAGGAATAGACAACAATAATTTAACAAATATGTTGAGTGCATTTTCTAATGTGTCGTCTCCATACAGTTTAAATACGCCAAAATTGACATAATTACCACATAATGCCGCTTTTAGCATAGAGAAACATATTGATATTCCCTTTAATTTTTTTTTATACAGCATATCTTGTTGAACGTCCAGATTTAATATATTATTCCCTGTAAAATTATAAAAATTTAACTATTTCTGTAAAACTGTGAATCTAAATTTTATTACATGAAAATACAAACCATAAGTACAAACAATTTTACTAGCTTCACGGAAAAGTAAAATTCCATTGGGAGAAGAAACATCTACCTGAAGTCTTTGCGAGCGGTTTAAAGCAAGTTCTGCGTAAAGCTTAAGCAAAGGTGTTGTTATTTCAGGATCTGCATACCACAACTCCATTGCACGCAACAAAATTGGGGTGTACGATGGATAACTATTTTTAAAAATATTAAGGATAAATGTTTATAGATATTTTTTTGTTTTCAAGTTTCAAAATTAAAATAATATTGCTAAACAAAAAAAAAATATATTAAGTAGGTTATCATTACAACTTTACTCTGCCTCTACTTTTACACATATTATTTATGATATGTAATTAAAAAAAAGATCCTAATTTTCTTATAAAATAAATTTTAAAGTAAGATTATAACAATATAAATTATAATTATGAGGTACTATTCAGTTATAATGGATAGAGAAGATGTAAAATATAAACATTTCTTAGACACAAGAATGAAAATTTCAAACCTTTAAAAGATTTTATAAACTGTGAGAAAAATAAAATACTCCTAACCTTTAGTGGTGATTAAATTAACACCAAATTTTAATCAATTCACATCAAGTAGTTATATATTTTAATCTGTATAGTAGCAACAGACGGACACAGGAATTGCACAGCCAACCAAATAGACGGTCACGCACATACTCGGACATAAAGCCAAATTGTTTAACAATAATACATAATATCATCTTACTCCCATCCAGAAATTAGAACAACAATTTTTTCAGTAAACCAGAGGTTCCTCTTTTGAAGAATCAAAAAGTATGTCACATATATCATTATTTTATAATAACATAAAATTATATTATAATTTTTTTAAGAAAAAAATTTCCTTAAATATTATCATATTACTAATTAGTTAATAAAAGGATACAGCCATTCAAATAAAAGCATAAACGATGTCTTGGTATTGAATGAGAAAGCTAAGCCCCTGAGATCTCTAATTAGGCCAATCAGAGCTTTTTTTGCTTCAATGTTCGAATACACTGAATTCTCATTCACACCATTTACAGTTGCTAGTAGTGCTCCTATTGACTCAACTGATGCTGAAACCAACAAAATGAAGATTAGTAAAAAATTATCTAAGCAATTTAATTAATAGTAAATAATTTTCCGAAATAAATTGTTATCTATATAATTTTTTTAATAAATTACAAACCTGTTAGAGGAATCATGAAATTATCAAATTTATCTTCATCTTCCAATAAGTCAATCATTAAGAGTCGACCCAATGAAGTATAAAATGATGATCTATGTCTCATGTCTTTGACACTGAATGTATTGCCCAATAAAGGAAAATGTTCACTCTGTGATAATGGTATTTAATTAGTTTTCATTAAAAAATATAAATAAGTAAAAATATTGAATATTACCGTATGATTGTTTAATAGGAACTGAATTTCATCTAGTTTTACTAGTTTCCTAACACTGGAAAAGCCTACCGATAGATCATTTAACAAAGCTAATGTTTTTTGAATTACTGTATTACTGGAGCACCAAAATTTCAAATTGGTTATTCTGTAAACAAAAAAAAATGAAAAAACAAAAGTAAATCATCCTAGTAGTTTTAACCATTATTTTTTACATTTTCCTCATAAAAATACTGAGAACCATGTGCTCTTCACTAATACCCAAAACATCATGTAATCGTCGGTAAACTTTTGAATTTTTTGGGACCTAAAACAATACACATACATTTATAACACATTATTAAAATATTGTTTACTTTATATTTACTTGATCGCCTATGTATATTTTACGAAACTGTTCAAAGAAAAATAAAAACGAGTGCTCCAATTTCTCATAGCCTCCCTGGGGAAGTCTTGAATCACTGAATGTCATTAATTGTAAAACTTTACAAGCCATTTCCCCGTCCATGGCATCACCATCGTCGTTGCTATTAAAAGTAACTCGCCCACCAATTGCAGCTCCAATTAAATACACAAGCCATGTCAACCGACCTAGTGGACCCAGTGATGATTAGTAATGAAGTTTAATTATAATTAATTAGTAATTTAAAAAAAAAATGTATACAAATATTAAAACAATAATATACCTTCTTGAATTTTCAGGTCATATATAGAAGCAGAAGGTGATGCAATTATTTCTTGATAGCTAGTAGCTGACTGATCAAATAACTGAGCAATCAATGAACATGTCTTTTGATAATGACACCTTCCAATCACAGACAGCTGTTCAAGCTGCTGCTGAACGTTTGTAAAATCGTCTAATGGATCATCAAGTCCATCTCTTACAATAGGTGTTACACTCTCAATCCTTGAAGATATGTAGGCCTTGGTAACTTCTGGAGTGTAAGTTTCCAATAAATGAGGTTCTGCAGCTTTTACATATGGAACAGAAGCAACCATACGTTGCCAAAAACTTAGTAAATAGTGGAAACTGTTTGGAGCACACTGATACACCTGGCAAAAAAATTACATTCTGTATTAATTTATAACATATAAGTTATAATTCAGTTTACTATAATATAAGTAATATAGCTTTAAAGAAAAGAAAAAATACACAATGGAGAATATTTTTATATGATGATCTTGACTGGATTAGCCAAACGATCAACTTTGTTTTTTTTTTTTCAATAAAATGTAACAAAATATAGCTTAAATAAATTTTGTTTTAAATTAAAAACAAAAATTGACTTAGAAATCTTGGCCCCACTAAACAACAGTTTTTTTCCTATTAATACTTTCAACGCTGTTTCATTTTTCACTACGACCAAATACCACTATAAAGAAGTGTATATAATTAGGACACATAAACGTGGCAGTGGCTTGTTGAAATAAAGTCTAACACATGTCATAAGTGTTAAAAGTGTTAAGTGATTTTACAATAATAGGTAATAATTTCAATAAAAACATTTAGATAGAGATATCTATCTTAAGCTTCAATGAGAAACAGATAAAATATTAATTTTACAATCATATGTCTTTTTCTCTATCATACAGCATACCCCTAATGTCGTGAAGAAGTTACTGGTGATGGTGGTCAGCCTATAAAAAACAGCCCAAAGAGCATTCAGCTCAGTATCACTTCCTAACCAAAGCTCTACATCATTCTGAGTGTGCCACACAAGTTGACTACATCATCATACATAATTTTCTTAATGTATTTTGATTTTTGAACATACCTGTAAACTTTCTACAGTAAATTTTGCAATAAGGCCTACGGTTTCTTGATAACTGTCAACCATAACAAGTTCACCAAGCTGATAATTTGATTTTAATCTTGCTAGTAAACGGCAAAATTCATGATAGTTATTTGAATCGGCTAAACCCTAATGACAGACATATAATGTATATGTAAATAAAATGTTTTTATTTATGGTATGATATTATAAAATAATTCAATTTGATAATTAACCTGAGGATTAAGTAGAATATCTTTGACACCATTTACTAAATGTGATAAAAATTTAGCTCTTTCAGTTGTACTAAATAAGGAACGTCGAACAGAAGCTAGTTGTACTAAACAAGATAAAGCCTATATTTTCAAAAAAAAATTAATATTATTGATACACAATAAATTTAAATAATACAAAAAACATATATTCTTACTAGGCTTGAAAGACTATGAGGCAGAGAATGGTAGAGATCGAAAAACAATGTTAGAGTAGATTGCTCGAGAAATGCTGGTCGCCAGCCAGTAGGTATTTGTACAGTACAAATATCATCAGATGATTCATCACAAGTTGTTCCAATAAAATCATAAGTCAAACAGTTTTGTGCTAACTGCAGACACCGAGACATAAAGCCATGCTAGAAAAATAAAATCAATACAAATTTGTAATAATTATCGTGAATAAATATCAAAAATTTATACTCAAACAAAAAGTATTAAGTGCAATTAATTAAAATGTTCATTAATTATTATTTATGTAAAAATAAAACCTGTGTTTCATCTGTAAAATTTAAGTTTTTTCTGTTGTCATTGGCACTTCTTAGCATTTGACAAGACATACGAAAAATTTCAAATAATTGTGTATCTCTAAAAGATGATGCTACTTTACGATGTTTCAACACAGCTCTGTGAGACTCAACATCAGTAACTGTATTCATTTCATTTGTCAATTGAGATAACAGTTGGACTCCAATCATACAATGTTCTACATTCATTCCCTAAACAGTTTTTTTTTTTAATTTTAAATAAAAACACAAAAACTACGAATATATATACCTATTTATGTTTTATTTAATAAGAATAATTACTAAAATATGTATATAAAATATATATTTAGGGGAGGATGGATTTTCTCATTTTTTTACCTACTAGTGTTGTAATTGCATACAAATTCTGATAAATAAGGATGCTACTCGTTAATAAATACAGCAAAAAAAAAAATTACTGTTTAATAATAACTATTGTTGTAAAATTAATATGTAATGAAGCAAAATGGTGCTACTAAAAGTATAAAAAATGAATACATTATTGTTTATAAAAATTCCAACTTGAAGCATTTTTTTATAACTTAAATTAAATTATTTTTAATAAATTTCATGTATTTGTTAACTCAAAGAATTTGATTAAGTCAACTTTATGAGACAACATAAAATACAATTTAAAATCACTATACATTGTAGTTATATATTATATTGTATTAATACTGTATAATATTATTGAATACATTTTTGACTAGATATTTAAAAAAAAATTATTTTAATGCATAAACAAAAAATAAATTACCTGCAAAAATACTGAAATATCTGATACGACATTTCTAAATGCATATGAATCCTTTTCTCCGTCAAACCATCCTTGCTTTGTAATTTTAGCAAACAGTAGTACTAACGCTTGTACAACAAATGATGGTAATTTAGGACGAGTCGCCAAATAATTCAAAATGTAATTTCCTAAAGGATACATTGATCATTATTTACTTAAATATAAGTGATTTAACCAAAATACTACTGTAAATTATATGTTGTTAAAATGTATTACTTATTTGAATTCTTTGATCAAGGTTTAATGTCAAAGGGGTACGGGATAGAAGTTTAGTTATGGTTGTAGTAGCCAATAATTGGGAGTAATGAGAATCAGCTCGCTCCAAAAGCATTTGACATTTAGATAATGTGTCAGGAGTATTACTATTTTGAAATGATACCAATGCTTTTTCGGCTTCTACACACAAATTCGGATCCCTTGACTCGTACATTTGTTTGCATAACATTTCTAATCGCGGAATACTCTATAAATATAAAACAGTAAATGAATAATATATTATAAAATACATACTTAACAAAGTTCAAATAAATTTTAACTTTTCCTTATATTTAACTGTAAAGATCCCTGTGTATTTTTTAAGAACAAAAATATTTTAACAGCTCTATTTTAATAATTTCTTCAATTAGAACAAATATTTGTTTACAATCACAATTCAATTTTTCTTTGAAGCAACCTATAAAGAATAGGTATTTAAAACATACCATTATCAAATAAAATTTGGCCTCATGAATTCCCATGAAAATCTTAGTAAGCTGTCTAAAATATTTGGTGTATTATTTTTTAATTAGTAGGATATCTTTTTTGTTTTTTGGTTCAAAATTATAATAAATAGACTCATGGTATCACAAAATATTGAATTTATCCTTATTTGACAATTAAACAAAAAAATTTTATTATACTAAAAGTAATTATGTTTTATATTATATTTAAAGTAATAGATAAAATAGTTTAGTAGTAATATTATTAAGTATGTTGTACTGCCTGCAAAAAGACAATATAAACGACTGTATTTATTATTTATTTTTAGAGGTTATAACTTTCGGGATTGAAAAATTTATAAATTTGATGGCTTGAAAGTTTAGCTACCGGCACCGAGTATTACAAGTAAGACAACAAGAAGTAATCTATATTACTAATAGTGCCAGAAAAAAGTTTAACCACGCAAAAATGAAATTACTTGTAAATCGTCCGCCATCTCCATCAAAAGCCATTAAACGCTTAACAAAATTTCAAGTTAATCAATCCTTTTGATAAGTGTGAACAACTTTTTAATATGTAACAAAACTTGAAAATTTTAATGAGATTCTCTTCAAATTTCATCAAGAGAGCAAAATAAATCCTAATGCGAAAAAAAAACAAACAGTAATTTCGTGATCAACTACAAACAACGTTCGTCTATCTACTTACACGTTCACCAACTATACATGAGAAGTTTACTTGAATTGTATGTACGTATTTATTTAAATTTCTGCAAATGATTCCTCTTGCTACATTTTTTACGTACTTAATAATAAAAATTTAATTGAAGAATCAATTAAAGGGGTTAAAAATGATTGAATAACAAATCTACATTTTTTTCAGTTGGACGTTCTGTAAAAATTGATAAAAAATACCTGGTGTTAACAGTTAATATTTAAATTGTTTTAAGTTTTTGATTAAGATTGTCGATTGTTTTGTACATTAAAATATGTTGATGTTAATGGACGCATATTTTGTAATTCTTCATTTATATTAAATAATAATATGTTAGTCGTACATACATAAAAATTGTTTTTACAAGTTAAAGGTATACCAGTGATAGTCCTTAATCGTCTTCGACAGATTGAAACCAAGTGCATTATACAATTGACTTTGTCATCAAAAAGTATTGTACACAATATGTATTTTATTTAATCAAATTGTTTTCAATTTATTTAATATACCGTAATAATGAGCGATCATGAAACTTTAGTAATTTCGTTAACTACGGCTTGTCAGAATGCATGTAGCTTTATTAAAAATATAACCGAGGATAATGAACTAAAGTACACAGAACTGTCAATTTTAAAAACAGAAAACAGTAATTTACAAAGTGTTTGTTCAGAGTTAAAATTAGAACATCTAAAAATTGAGGAAAACATAAGAACATTAGCAAAACTATTAAATTTTACTGTAAATGAAAACGATTCTGTAGTAAATATACTAGTTCATTGGATTTCAACACTCACAAAAAGAAATGAAGAAAATAAAAAAAAACGAAAATTAAATCCATTTTACTCGCCTTTGAAATTAACACTCAAAGAAGACAATGAAACATCTCCAAAAAAAAATAATGATAATACAACTTTTGCAAGCACATCTAAAACATCTTGGAGACTAGATGTTAAACGTAATGGAAATCCTTCTGATTTATTAAAAAAATCTAAACAGACCGTTTTGTCAGTTCAACCTGTAAAATCTAAAGCTAAATTAGATATTACCATATTCAATTCATCAATAATCGATAGCTCAATTCCAAATATTAATGATAATAGTCATGTTCCTAAAAAAAATAACCAAAACATACTAAGTAAAATGTCTTGTGAAATTTTGGAAAAGAAGCAAAATGTAACTAAAACACCCATTGTAGATATTCACAATAAAAATAATGCTTTGGATGAAACAATGTTTGACCCTAATGATTGCTCTGTAAGTCACTTTAACAAGATACACAAACCAATTCATAGTACACCTGCAAAACAAAATTTTTCTCCAATTATCGTTGATGTCTTTGAACAACCTATGGAATCCAATAACCATGATAACCAAGATAAGCAAAATGATTTATGTGAAGAAATTATATATAGTCCACTTAATATATCAATTAATAAGTTTGATGAAGATATAGTTTCTACTTCTCGTCAACAGAAATCACCAAAATGTAATATGCTAGATAGTTTTGATATTATACCAGGTTTTAATAACAAAAATAAAGGTATGCCAAATTACAAGTTTAAAGAGAGTCCAGTTAGAAAACACAATGAACGAAAGTTGTTAAATGGTTGGGACTGTGAAGAATGTCGTAAATTTTATGAAGCAATTAATGATAATCCAACAGACGCAAAAAATGCAATGAATCAGTTTTCAAGACATCGATCAGTAAAACATCAACATATAGCTAATACTCCACCTGGACTTTGGGACCCATTGTAAGAACTGTGATATTGCTCAATAAGTTTGTAAATGCTAATAAAAAACTAACACTACTATTTTTTTTTTGTTACATTTGTCTTTTTAATATTATATTTTTTTTGTAAATTTAAGTTCATGCTGTTTAATTCTGAATGATAATTTAAATTATTATTATCAATGTTTTTTGTGTTACAATTTATATAAATTAAATGCATAAAGTAATTTAAGTATGTGTGTTTAAACTTTAGTATTGTGTTTGATGATAATATCTTCATTTAAATATATGTTTTTAGTTTTTGTAATGGATACAAGTTTATTTGATATTTTATGTCTAATACATTCTCAACATTGTAATTAGCATTTTAAGAACGTGGAATTCTGTAGATATACTATTTTCTTATTTGATGTTAGTTAAGACCACCGATGTCATTAGTACATTTTTTTCGGAAAATTGAGTTTAGTATAACATATATAGTGTATATATATATATTGTGTACAAATATTACTCCTTAAATCTTAACAGTTAAGTTTTGATTTGTTATTGTTGTAGTTAAATACATACTTCATGAAGGTGGTTCATCGTTCTGCATCCAATATCTGATGCACATTTTGATAATTAAATTATGATAACAAGCTAATCCTGGTAGTCTGTTTAATTCAACCCTACTAATTTTTGGTCAAATTTAAATAAAGTAGGACTGACATAGTTACATTTCACACAACAGTTATGAAAATCCGTAGAGTTTAGACCCTCTCCCCTCAAAAACATGCCTGTCAAGCCCCCCAAACATTATTATAATTTTTCATAATTAGTCATTAATCCATGACACCTTTAACAACAATGATTTAAGAGACTATAATTTAGGACTTATTCAATTTAGAACTAAGGTAACTAAAATGTAATAAGAATATTTATTAATTTTCAACCTATTGTTAGGCCTATTCAATTTTTTTTTACTAACTATCATAGTAATTCAAACAAAACAAATTGTTCAAACATTTTTTAAAAGTAGTTATTCAAAAAACTTTTTCACAATTTATTCACATAAAAAAACATTAGGTATCTATTTTAGCATACCTAATTTAATAGTAATACATTTATAACAATTTATGTTTAAAAAAAAAATTGTTGAAACAGCACTTTAAAAGTATTTGAATAATATGTTTGGATGTTATTATTATAATATTTTTTCTTGAATAATTTGTTATATAGATGATTTTTTATTTAATTCCATATTTATTCGAATAATCCATAGGTCTGCTTGCTCTTTAGTATTTAATGTGAATAATAGAGTAGCCCCCCCTAACATGTTCAATGGATTTCTGCTTATGGAGATTGGGGAATGGGAATAGTATATATGTTACAGCAAATGGCGTGCCCAGGGCCCAAACACCTATAGTATTAAAAAATAAAATCGGGGGGCGCGTACGGAGTAGTGGATACCTTCGCTGACATGGCACTGTCGTAAGCTAAAACCAGGCAATTTAACGGTAAATGAACTCTTGATATGATTTTTTTTAGAAAAGTAAGGCATTCGGGCATTGGGAAGTATTATCAACAAATGCACTCAACCAAATAAGCGCAGTGGCTTAAATAATGTTACCGGCTATGACCTCACATTCATCATTGATTTGAAAACTGACTTAGTTCAAGTCAACTAGTAGCCGAGTGAAAACTTCCGTCATGGGGCAGTAGTTAGGCTTAAATAGCAATGCCATCCTCATTTGGCGTGGCGGTGCCTCTCAGGAAGTAACTCCTCTGATGGATAATAAAGTGGCCTTCCTCATTTCTGGTTTAAGAGAGTTGTACCCCATGTCCGCGTAGAAACTTCTACCTACTGTCAGTGAGACCATAGCCGCAGTTAGGGAGAGGGATTTAAGTGTGCTTAGTGCCCTTTGCTTTCAAAATATCAAAAGGCTTAACAATTGTATCGGCGTAAAAAGAATTAAGGGTAGGTACTTTTGTAGGACTAATTCTATCTAATACTCAAGCTACCAAAGTAATACCAAAATATCTAATAAACTAAAAAGTTAAACTTTTCCAATAAATCATCTATTATCTAATATCTATTAAATTTGATAATTCAGAATAAACTCAATTTTCAGTTCATTGACGATTACCCTTTACACCTCAATTAATCTTTGAACGATTTAGAAAATTCTTATTACGCCATTCCTACCCATAGCCCATAGAGCATCTACCAATTAAATAATTAAACTCGATCTATAGTGTAACATTTAGATTTAGCAAAAAAATTTAAATGCCTAGAATTATGCTACGTCGATAATTTGCTGTCGAGTCTAAACATTTTATGTATGTTTTTGCTGTCAAATAGAAATTCTGTGCTTTTGCAAACTTGATTGATAATACCTATTGTTTTCTTAGAAATATCTTAATTCTAATTAGTAAATGTTTAATTGAAATTATAGTAAAAAGTATATGATTTACAAAGGGTATAGGTACTCTTTTTAGATAGGTATTAGATCAATAAATACGAGTACACTGTACAAATTCCGGGAATCCGAAGATCAGGTAAGGCCCAAGGGGCCTACAATAATTTATTTAACTTCATGCTATCAATGATCAGCTGTTGTTTATCAGATGTTTAAGTTTCTACAATCAAACAACAGCTATATAGGTATTTATGAACGAGTGGACTGTGGATTTTAATCCTTTAAAGCGGGAATACTCAGCGGTAATAACAAAATAGCAAATAAATTATAACGCGCAGTTGCTACTTGCGCATTAGTCGTGAGTTGACGTTAGTGCAGTTGTTTATTCTTTTTCATCGCAGTTTAGTCATTATTAAATTCTATAAGAATTAGTAATCCGACAGAAAATACAAACTAATCAACAAAATGAAGTTGCTATTCATAGGCTTATGCCTATGTATTACATTTCCTCCACGAAATGTTATGGCTAAGGTAAATAAACAGTAAACATTTTTTTATTTATTACTAATTTTTAATTATTCTTAGGTTTAGTTGCTATTTGAATTGTTTGTTTTGGGTATTGAATTTATTTATTTAGCGTATGGCAATTAAATTGAATAGACAATTCATTGGTATGCTATAAATACTTGACAATACAATATAAGTGTTATTAAACATGCATTTATATTATTTTTGAATTAATTGATCTCTTTAGTTTTGTATGTTTCTTTTTATTTTTTAATTACGTAATTTAAATACTGCCCACCTTTGAACTTACCTTAATTACATTTGATATTTGTGTGCGATTATAATTTTAACTAGGTACGTAATTTTATAAACCACAACATTATATATTTTTATTTTGCTATGAGTGATATATTGCTGAAATATAATTTATGATGATTTGGTTGAATATTTTTTATATAGTTTTTTATTTTATGTTAGCTTGTAAATAAAAGATAACTTGTACTACCTATATAATAATTAACTATGTTGTGTTTAAATTTATTATCTTGGATTTTAACTCTTAATTATAAACAGATAAGTATGACTGTAATAACTATTACAAAGATAATAAATGCAATAAATAAGGTGCAAAGTAAATACATGACGTATGTGTAAGCGAAATGTATAGTAATAAAATCCCCATGACAAAAATGTTCCTGTTAAAAAAATATGAATGTTATTCAAACAATGGTGTTGTTGTTTACCTGACACTTAACATTTTTTTTGTTTAACAGCCATCAATAACATGATTAACAGTTATTTTTTTTTACTTAAATCTTAATTAATATAAAGTATTAAGGTAATACTTGTTACTTTATATTAATTAAGACAAATAAAATATTTAAGTAGATTAAATAATTATGGAAAATAAAGTATTTAAAACAACCATTATAAAACCATTTATTATGGGTTTGTAGCATATATCACTGTATTATTTGTAATAATTTTAATTTGAAAATCGAAATAACAGTATATTATAACAACACGGACAAGATGAGAAAAAACATACTAAAGTATAAAAACACAGTTAAATTATACTACATTGTAAAGCCAGTCTATAGATCATCAACAAGCTTAAGCTTGTTGGACAAAATCAAGTGCCAACTTAATCTAATTTGTACTTGCGTGTCGAGCATCATTAAAGTCGTCAAGTATATAGTTAATAAAAGCAATCAAGCACGAAGTAGGGGATTGCTGTGCTTCAAAATCTATTTTGTTGTTCTATAATTTTGCATTGGAAATACATGTTTAGATAACCAGTTCTACCCTGCCAAAAACCCAAATCTTTCAGCATATAATTAACATGTATGTTATTCTTTGATTTTTTTATTACGATTAATGATACTTAATCATTTTTCAGTGGTCGATATAACTAGTTGAATCCAATTTTAGCAAAAGTGATATTTTAACTGTTTAGCGTTCATAAAAAAAGTCTGACTTAATTAAACAGTTAACCCATCGTTGGTAAACGTGTAAGCGCTCACATAGATAGCGTTTTGAACGCCAGTCGTATAATTGTTTGTTAATTAGCTTGATTCTATTATTACCTCCAAATAATAAGTTTACGAATAATTATAAAAAAAAAGTAGCCGCTAACTTTATTTTCTCGAGAGTTATCAGTGAACAAAGTTGACTGTAGGTACCGATAAAGTGAGCGCTTACAGTTTATCAACTGCATTTTACATTATATTATTGTGTATCCTGTAGGAACATGACGACCTCCTCTGAAAGTGACTCAGCACAATTTTTTAAAATAATTTATAATCATTAAATTTACGTTTTAGGAATTTTTTACATTTTTTAAATTTATTTCATTAATTTTTATTATTTTGTACTATACAATTAAAAAAAAAAAAAAAATTGTAGTTTTTTTATTTTTATTTATTTTTTAATAATAGTAATTACAAAAAATGTATTACCAATTGGTAGTGAGTAAAAATATACATATTTCTTTGTATGATTCAGTGTTCTTAGTTTATCGAGCAATTAATAATAATGGAAAAAGTAGCATGGTGCTCACAGTTTAGCAATTGTGTTCTACAATATAGGTTTACCAACGACGGGTTAAAATTCAATTATGACTTAAATTATACTTATCTGGTTATGACCTACTACCAAAGAGTCAATGCTTTAAATACTATTTCTAATTAATTTTTTAGAAAATTGATTTTATTTTGTATGTTGTTTACTGTTTCGAAATATTTTAATTAGTTTGTTTATTTTATTTTTACAGCCATCATTACCTGGAGGTTATAACATATTGGATGTTAATAGCACAAATATTGATAGGCTGGCAAATATGGCGTTAGATTCTATTACGCAACAGACTATGTCAAAACGATCTTTGGGTCTGGTAAAAGTGGTTTCTGCAGAATCTCAAGTAATTTTATTTTAATTTTTTGAAAATTGTTAATCATTTACTTATTAATTTTTTTTGTTAATATTTCACAGGTTGTTGCAGGAGTTAATTATAAACTTGGTCTACAAGTTTGTGAAAAAGATTCGGCTAATGGTAATCAATTAGATCGTCAGGTATGAATCAACAAAGTACCTAAATAATACAAACTACATTGGCATACTATGAATTTGTTTAGTTTAACATAGCCCAAACATTGTTTAAATCAATTGAATTATTTAAAAGCATACTTAAGTTATAGTTGATTAGTTCATTTATATAATTACGATGTTTATATTTCTAGAATTGTCGTTTGTGTCGTGTAACTATTTGGGAACAGCCATGGTTGAATAAAACAAATGTGACTAAAGTAGCTTGTTCTAAACCTGATGCGCTTGACCTATTATCATCAAGTTCCATTAAAAAAAGAGTATGCATTTTAGTTATTATGTGATATTTTTTTTGGAAGTTTTTTAATTTAAATGTTTGTTAGGATATACATGATAGCGAAAATACACCAGTTGGCGAGAGAACAAGTGTAGATCCGTATGACATGAAAGTTCAAGAAATGGCGTCGTATGCATTATCTTCAGTTGATGAACAAGTAGAATCTGGAAATTCACATTTACTATCGAAAATTTTGTCTGCAACAAAGCAAGTTAGTATTATGCGACTTTTTTTTTATTTACTTGTAAAAAAAAAAAAAAATAATTACAATTATGATCGTTATATGGATATTTAACAGATAGTTTCTGGAATCATGTATAATATAAAAATGGAAGTATGTGAAAATAGCTCTAGTTTACAGGTAATTTTATTCTTCTATGATAATAATAATATACATTATACATAGTATAATTAAATATTTCTATGTATTACTATATAAATTTATTTCTATTATAGAAATGTAGAATTTGCAGTGTTAACGTATGGGAACAACCGTGGCTAGAGAGGAAAACCACTACAAGGGTGATTTGCAACAAACCTTATGAAACTTATGTAAGTGATTCTCTTTGAAAAAATACACGTGTCTAATTTTGAATGAAGGTTTTAAAAACGAGTAACATCAATTACATGAGTGTTACTGATTTTTTTTACATTCAAATTTAAAATTTAGTTATAAATATTAAATGATGCAAAAATGTTTTTTATTTATTTTATAATGCTGAGCCAAGTTATTATTAATTCCAGTTAAATTTATAACTTTTGTGGTTTTGACTTTTAAGACCTACTGTTCAACAATCTGTTACCTGATTTATATACTTTGTTGTTACTATTTGAGAACCGATGTAAGCTATGCATGCTTATAGTTGGCCTAAACTCTCATAGTCAATTTTTAGTGTTGAAATCTCCCAGTAATATTATAACCTATCCAGTATTTCATATAGAATGGTTTATAAAAGCAAATAAAACTCTTCCTTTTCCTTATTTATTTCTCTTCCATTGAGATAGAATTAATACTGTCAATCTAGTTAATCAAACTCTTCGTTCCAAGGCAATATATTAGATTACTGAACTTAGTTTTATTAAAAGGGGGTTGTCAAACCACTGCTCAACGACTGCCACCTGTTTAAGGTAAGCTCAGAGCTTGGGGGGGGGGGGCTCTAGGGTTTGCCAAACCCGTAATGCTACTTGACAGTTTATCTCCCCCTGAGAGGCCCAAACTAAAATTATAACTATTATATTTAAATGAATGTGATAAATTAGCTTTTAACTATGCCATATGAGTTATTAAAATTAAAAATTACAAATAAATAATTATATACCACCCTAAAAGTTAGATATAGTTAATTTCTTTTAATGTACAACAATTTTTTTAAATAATATTTAGTAATTTGTTTTTAATACTATATTTTAGAACAAAACTTCCTCCAAGAAAAACCATGTTGATGACAGATTGGAACTGAAGGCTAGTTTTGAAAATTTTGTGAAAACTCACAATAAGGCATATTTGTCAGCTGAAGAGAAAGATAAGCGGTACCGAATATTTGCAGCTAATATGAAGATTGTAAAATTATTACAAGATAACGAACAAGGAACAGCCACCTATGGAGCAACACAATTCGCAGACTTAACAAGCAAGTTTTAAATTATTTTTACTATCTTTTTTTTTGAAAAAACAAAAAGTAAATTTTAATATATAACACCGTTGCATGTTTGTTCATCAATGTATATCATAGTCTCCGCTACCTCCTTTTAGGATAAGGTAACTTAACATATTGACTATTTTGAGATGTGCTTTGTAGTCTCACCAAAGAGGGTGATGACAGGTTCTTTTCATTCTATGATTTTCTCACCTGAGTGTTAGCCAGTAGCAGTGAACGTTACAAGTATTGGCTGCTGTTTTATTCACTCAGCTGCTATCACTCTCTTTGCTAATGACTATAAATCATTCAAATTTCATATATTTATTTTGTTTATTATTGTATAATTAAGAAGTAAACGTTCTTATATTTTAACTAAAAAAATTATTATGCAGGTTGAAATTAAAACTTCAAAAGTTATAATAAAAACTGGATTAAAAAAAGGTTATATTTTCGTTATATACAAATAAATAAAATAATTTTCTAAAATAACTTGTTTAATGTTTTGAGAGAAAATATTAGGCAATCATTTTTACAAGTTCTGTTTAGTTAGTAATGTTTGTTTGAAGATTAATTTGATAATGTGTTTTGAATTTCAGAAAATGAATTTAGGAAGAAATACTTAGGATTTAATTCTTCTCAAACAACAAAAAAAGTTCTTCCAATAGCCGAAATTCCAGTTTTAGATAATCTCCCTGCTGAATTTGATTGGAGAGATCATAATGCTGTAACCCCAGTAAAAAATCAGGTATTTAAAAAGCATGATTTAAAAATAAATGTTTTATATACGATCAGTAATTATTAATTATTATAATATTATGATTATAGTTATTTACTTATTTTAGTTTTATGATCATTATATCTTTGTTGTTTGCCTTTTTTTTTAAAAGTTATTTTACATAGAAAAATTTTTTTTTCTTATCTTCTATTTCTTTATTTTAATTTTAGGGAACTTGTGGATCTTGTTGGGCATTTTCAGCAGTTGCAAATATTGAAGGGCAATATGCATTAAAATCTGGAAAACTTCTGTCGCTTTCTGAACAAGGTAATTTTATAATTAATTAATGTATTAGTTAATCATACTTAATTATCTATTTATTATGATCATAAATAAATTTAAAAAAATTGTCTATTCCTGTTTTACAGAATTAGTAGATTGTGATAAAATGGATGATGGATGTGGGGGAGGTTTGATGACTCAAGCTTTTGAAGCTGTTGAAGAACTAGGAGGGCTAGAAACAGAATCTGATTATCCGTACGAAGGGCATGGTGATCGTAATGGTTGCAAGTTGGTAAAAAGTGAACTAAAAGTCACAATTGACAAAGTTGTAAATGTAACTACTGACGAAACGGCAATGGCAAAATTCTTAGTTAAACATGGACCACTTTCTATTGCTGTAAACGCAAACGCTATGCAGGTAATTTATTTAGCCTAAGTATTTTTATAATTATGTGCTGTAAAAAAAAAAAAAAATGTATACATAAATTATTTATCAGTACTATAAGAAATAATATAATAAAATTTTTTTTTTTAAATTTAATCATCTTTGCTTACAGTTTTATATGGGAGGAGTTTCACATCCGATACATGCCTTATGTAGTGCAGGCGGGTTAGATCATGGAGTGGCTATTGTTGGTTATGGAATACATAGTAAGATTTAATAGTATTTCAAATTCTATTTATGTATAATAAATATGCTATTGATTTTTAAATTATTTGTATGACATATTTCTAAAGCCGGGTTCACACTGCCGCGCACAACGTTAGCGAACATGTTTGCTACTTTATGGAAAACATCAAACACCAATAAAATGTTTGTTGAGAAACCCGTGTAAATGACAAAAGTTTGCAAATGTTTTGCGCGGCAGTGTGGACCCGGCTAACTAGATAAAAACAGATCTATTGTTCTACATTGTAATTTTATTTATACTTTTGCATTTCAATTTTAGGAACGAAATATACACATAAAAATCTTCCATATTGGTTGATAAAAAATAGTTGGGGCCCTGGATGGGGCGAAAAGGTGAGCTAAAACATATTTATTAAAATTTATGCTTTATATTTTTCAGAATACCCTTATTTAAATGCAACATTACCGTATTGGACCATTAAAAACAGTTGGGGCAATGAATGGGGCGTTCAGGTAAAGGTTTTATCCCCAAATGTGATTGTCCTGATTTGAACTCTATACATATACAAATTAGTGAAAACAAAAAGATGTTCAATGTTTTATTTTCACAATGACAATATGTGTCAATACTTGAGTCATATTTTTATGTTTATGACCAATATCAGATTAGTTTTTGCATTTTATTTAAAATTCAAATAATAAATAATTAATTTCCATGATTATATCATAGTAATTGAAGTAAAACTATTTGAAATGATAATTTTTAATTAATTATATTATTAATTAATTGTGCATCTTAATAATAATCTGTTAGACAAAGAAACTGAAAATACATGGTTGCATTTAAGTGAACATTTTTGTGGATAGGGATTTTATTTAATATTAAATTTTCCATAAACGACTCTTTACTTGAATTTTATTAATAGGCGTAACAAACATCCGCAATATATAGGGCACAACATAAATATTGTTATAATAAATGTAATAACATAAATAATTATTATTCATTTTTGTTTTAGGGCTACTATTTGCTTTATAGAGGCGACGGATCATGCGGTGTTAACAAAATGGTTTCTTCTGCTATTATTGAATGATGTAATGTGTTAGATGAAAAAAACAATAGGATCAAAAAAATACATTCTTGTTAATTTTAAATTCTCATTTTTACTTCAAACATGAATATATGTTTAGCTCGTTTCGTCAAAGAAACATTGAATCTCTATTATTGTATTATTATGTGAGTGAGTTTTATCTATAATATGACACTACTTAATCAAATTTACTTAAATCTAAAATTGCCTAAGTATATCTTTTTTTGTGTATTAGTAATTTTACTTTGATCTAAGTGAACATTCAAACAAATAATTTGTACTACTTGTTATTAGACATTGTACTATTTGATTATATTATACAACATTATATTAGAACAAATATCGAGTTGATTTGTATGTATGTTTTACTAAATAAATCACCTAATACAAGAAACAGATACATAATGAAAAATGTAAGTCATATTTATTATCTATACTGATTAGTGATTCCATGGTTGAGTAATAACTATCAGTTTGTACATTTAAAGTTTGGTTAGAAATTTTAAATTAGTATTAGTGAGAAATTACTAATATTAACTCTTCACATCAATTTTTTTCTCTTCAAATAATTATGAGTGATAATTTTTACTGTAAAGAAGTTTTATTGTAAGTATTGTACTTAGTTAGCTTATGTGTAAATAATTAGAAATAAAAACTATTTGTTTATTCATTGTCTTAACTATCTTATTGATAGCATGAAAAATATAATTAATTTCAGTCATTTTAATAATTGGAAAAGAAGCAACAAAATATAATTCCTGGAATCATTTTATATACGATTTGTACATACAAAATGTCTTGTCTAAAATTAATTTTCTTAAAATTCAACAATTTATGGTTCGGCCTTACAATAGTTACATTTAATGAATCAAGACAATAAAAATGGAAAACTGACGAAATGTTATTTTGTAATAGTTGGGTATAATTTAAGCCTTAACTACGGACATTTTACATTTTGGTGGAATGATTTATTTCATTTATAAATACAATTTGAATATTATGACATGTGTATATATTTTTATACATACAATGTCAACAATATAAATCTAATAATAATAGTAATAAGTATAGTTTTTTTTTTACAATCAACAGATCACAGCATATAAGACAGCCTCGAAGACATTAACCCTGATTCATTCTCTTAGGTTTTATGCTTTATACAGACATATTTAACGTAAGAATAAAATTGTCAAGAATTGAGAAGTTCATTTAAAGCATCTGTATCATCTTCTATTTCAATATCTTCGAGCGATACATCATCGCGTCCACCGTTACCTATAGTCACAATAGTTTTAATAATACATTGATCAACACATAATAAACTAAAATAACTCACTTTTCATAACTGGAATTATACCAGATATTATATATTGTCGCATGTCTTGTTGGAATACTTGATTGAAAATTTCTTGTCTTTCTTTAAGTTTTATGTTGATCTTTTGTTCCAAATCGTCCACCTTTAACTTGTGCTCCGATTCCAACTCATCTGAAATGTACCATTTCGTTATTTTTATCAAACTTTAAAATTATTTGTTGCAAAAAATGGTGTTTACAGCTTGTTAGTTCTAGTTCTTTTAGCTTCTTTCCTCTGTATACAGCCAATCGAAATCGTTCGTTTAACATCTGCTCTTGTAACTCCTGTTCTTCAACAACATCCTCAAGCTTTAATAATTGATGTTCCACATTATCTATTAGTGTTTTAATGCAATCTATACGTTTCAACAAATTGTAAACAACAATTTTTTATAAACCCAACTTTTTTTTATTCTAGTATTTATTTTCCAACACCACTCTAGAAAAGCAGTGCTTGTGCGAGGTTAGGGCAGATAACGTCAGCTTTGCAATGCTGCAGGAATCAAACCAGGTACCTCTAACGCACCAAGTTTGACGACTTATAACACTGCACCACAAACGTCAATATAAATATGAAATAGATTGTAAAACAATTGTTCAAATTACCCATATCTTTAATGGCATTTTCAATATTGTTAACTAATGAAGGTATAGAGTTCATGCAAGTAGTTAATACGTCCATTTGTTTCCATTGTTTATTGATTTGGTGATGAAGTACGTTTATCATTTCATTAACTTCCTATAAGTAATTATTATAAGTATTTTTTAAAGAGTTATGTCATCAGTAAATTAATGGAATCAAACCTCGGCTTTATGGGCATTATCTTCAGCTAACAAATGCAATTGATTCCATTCCGTTTGATATTTGTGTAATAAATCTGCACCTGCGTCGAAATTAACTGGATATTGATCATTTTGCGAAGACACAACATTTGTTTCATTGACTGACAAGCCCCTAAGGCTACAATGAAAAAAAAACAACCAATACTTATTAATAAATCTAATGTAAGTTATATTTTTGTCATACAATTTTATACTAGAAAATATAATTTTTTTTTCTTTTAATGTTAAAATACATCAAATGAAAAAGTGATGACTTGTATATTGTATAAACATATCTATAGAGTAAACAAAGAACTGCAAAAAAAAGTTTTTGTCAAAGTATATGTCAGTTAATACTAGAGTACTGAGTTCGACCCTTTAAATTATTGTGCCCCACAGTTTAGAACAGAATCTACCAAATAAGTATGTTCTGTAAAAAACTATTGAAACAATGATTGTAGAAATAACTAATTACGAAGAGAAGGGATTGCAATTAAAGCAATATTGGGATTGCAAAGCTATTGGCTACAGTATATGCTTGGTATAAAGGAAACAACAGCTCTTGTTATTTATAAATAGCTTCAACCATTTAGTAGTGAGTATTTTTTAAAAATTAATATATTTAAAATTAAATTTATTATAAATTTGATTGCTAGCATACATACATTTCCTATACTAATTTTATTCTATGAGGCATAAGTAAGTGGTATGATAAGTGTAAAATTGATTTACAATTTTTAAGTAACTAATGGGGAAATTATTAAATACAAACTACAAGATCAATAAAATAAAATATATTATGCAATAAGTTGGGTCTCTTTGACTTTTGTTCTATGAAATTGTCCCATGTTGCCACACTTATAACATTATAAATAGGATAAATTGATAATTAGAAATAAGTTATAATAATAAATAAAATCAATATTTTTAATGTATTTTAATAAAAATGTTTTTATAAGATAGGTAGGTTTTTTTTTTTTATCTACCTACATTCTTTAAAAAAATATTATATCATTTCTAAATCCACCCATAATATGAATTTATACCTATGAACATTAATTATGGTCTGTATAGGTTATCTAAATGTAAGAACTACATAAGCATCTATTATTATATAGATTAAAGGAATGACCTTGAGTAGAGTATTATCGAAGGTGACTAATAAAAAAATCTAAACGTTTCTGATTAAGTAATAGAAACCGTTTCAGTTTCGTTTTATAACTGTTACCTATTTGTAGTAGTAATAAGAAGATTTACCTTGCAGACAGTCCTTCCTGAACTACACTTTGAAGTTTATCTCTGAGAGTACCAAACATTGTAAACTTTCAATTAAAATGTAGGTACTTACTAAATATTAAAAAAAAATAAACATATTAATTACAATCAATGAAATAAATTATTATGAGCAATTAGATGATTAAAACACAATTCAATTTAAAGTAAAAAATCGTGTGCTTTTCAATAATAATTATTTATTGTACGCAGTACTGCAGTTAACTAATCAAAATATGAAAATATTTAGACGATAAGCTATCGTCACTTATCAAGGTTGATAACCGCATACCATTTTTCAGGCATGAACAATCCTGATAAATGATTATTGTGATAAGACCGTACATTTTTTAAACGTACAAAAAACCGTATGGTAAACGTCGATCTTTTTGTTTATATTGTTAATTTTTATACATTGTTAAAACAATAGACAATAGAATAGTAAATAGTTTTTCACTGAAAATTCTAGAAGCAAAAAGCACCAGGGTTTGTTTGATAACTTTAATGTAAATAATACTTCACGTATAATGACTCATAATCGTTGTATTAGATCATCGGCTATCTATTTATTGTTAATGTTTTATTTTAATTTTTTATGTGTGTTATTTGAGTTATTGTTTGTTTCAGTACCTAATTTAATATATTAATGCGGTATGGAATCAAATGGTGTACATATTGAGAATCCAGTTGTGGTTGGAAGTACTAACTCAAATGGGATTGACGAATCTTCCTATTCGGAGAGTAGTATTAATCTTGCTCACGAACCCTTGCAACCAAAAAATATTAGATGGTTTTACAAGAATGATTCTAATTCCAAAAGATGGACTAAGTTTGATGGGTCTGACTCGTTGGGCATAGAAAATAGATACCGAGCCAACTTTTGTAACGATGAACCTAAAGTGCAATTTTTCATTAATAAATTCACAGTCGTGGTTAGGGGTGGTCTTTATGAAGCAGATTTACGTACGATGAAATGTACTTCAATTTTTTGGCCAGGTATGTAAGTTAATGTTCTATATTATTTCTTTAGAAAAATATATGCCGGGGAAATAACAACAAAATTGTTAAATTATTACAAAAGCATTGGTTTAGCTTTTACGATAAGTTATTAATTATCAATTTAAGTATTGTTTTATGTACTTGTTTATAAAAAAAGAGCTGAAAAAATTATTTTGAATTTCAAAAGTTCTGGCATCGGTATTTTTTTTTCCGTATTGCTTTGTGATAATTTTAAATTTCAAAGTCTTTCTCATGATTTTAATTGGTTTATTTGTATACAATATGTAATTTCAAACAGGAGAAGAGACGGAAATTTTGAGAGGTACATGGTTTTATGATGACTATCAGCCTCATGAACATGGTAATGAAATAGAACATATGCATTTAAGATTATTCAACGATAAAGTTATAAATTTAAATTCCGATGATACAAAAATATCAGGTAACTTTTTTTCAAATTGTATTTTTTTGTTAGTACATTAAACAAATTAAGAATATAACGATGTCTATACTCTATTCAGAATAAGAACAGGCTTCGGCGGCCGACTTGTGCGCGTGGCTTCACTATGAGCAACGGACCTCGAACATTGCCGCCGGTGAGGCTACAGATGAAATGTAAAATGGGCGGTGTCTGACCGCCGTCTGATGAAAACTGGTCGGCCGCCGAAGCCTGTTCTTATTCTGAATAGAGTATACTCCGGTCTAAATGTTGAACATATTTTAACATGAAACATGCTTTAGCTTTGCCTCCCCCCACCCCGAAAACAACACTGCATTGCAATACAAAGTAGCCCAATAATTAAGTAACAAGATTATTGTTTATTTGGCCAGAACATATAATTTAGATTATATTATCATCATAAATTGCAAAGAGATCATAGATAAGAAATAATCACTATTCAAGGGCCAGCACATGTTCCATGTTAGACTTTAAGTAGACTGTAATATTTTTCGTTTGATTCTCTATTTATAACTCCAATTTGTGGTACCTAGTGTTTATATCCCTTAGATCCCTCCATTCAATTCTCTACTTTCGAATTTTAATTGTTAGATTATTTTTAAGTAATTCCATGTGAAATTTGTTAATTTGTAAATACTAAATCTAAATTTATAGTTGTACTTTCATAGTTACAAGGGCACTTATATATCAAAATAAATAATTTTTTATAAATATTAATTTTTGTAGTTATCCATACTGAAGAGTTTAGTGATTCAAATGTAGTGTGGTATTCATCAGACGAAGTGTATTCATTTAGCAAGAAAACTCGGACGAAAATCATGAGAAGCGTTACTCAAAAATTAGGATCATATTTCCAAAGATGTAAGTAATTTTTTTTCTAAATTAAATGCTACGAAAACAATATTTGTATTGGTCTTCTAAATATTAAATAGTAACTTGTGATTTCATTTAAATGGATTATTAAGTGAATTTAATTTTTGTGTAGTTCTTTCAAATTTTTTTAAGATTTTCCGCCTTTTTTCAATACTAGCCTTAAAACTAAGAAACTATTTTATTTGATGAGATGCAGAAGAAGTTCAAATTCACTTTTAGATTTTTGAACGCTTCACAAGATTGATCAATACGTTTGTAATCCTTTTAAATTATTCGAATATAAAAATGCAAATCTAGTTTCTATTTCTAATTTTTAAATTGTCATCATTTAAATTTCATCTGTAAGTTACGTGTTTAATCTGACTTTCTCTTATACTAACCTACTAAAATCTTATGTTGAACTCCACTTATGTTCTTACCTAGTTTTCTTATTTTTAGTTGTTTCTACCAAATTTCTACTCTTAATATGAAGTCCAACCATTGTACTATAGTAAATGGTTTGCCATTTCCTGTATTTCCTGTACTTATGGTTATTTAAAATGTTTTATGATTTGAAAATAAAATTGGTGGTTCATATTTTAGTTTTATTGTTCTTAGCTTAATTTTAATTTTTTTGTTATTTTAGCTGCGGGTGCCAAATTACACAGATCGTACAAGACAGAAGCTACTGACGATGATAAACTAAATGACATAACTCATCTTATATTTATGGTACACGGCATTGGTCATAAAATGGATAATATGAAAATTATAAAAAACACATCACAGTAAATATACAATACATTTGTAGCGCTAAGTATAAGAACAGTTGTCCTACTACGTTAAGTGCAGCAATCATTTTGGCCTGTTTACCAATTAATCCGTGATATTATTTTATATTTTTAACCTACTTCAATATTATTTCTAGGACATCAAACAAACTTACATAACTTTGTATGTAGAAGTAGAGAGGTTAAAATATCACTCTAATGCAAAGATTATATAATGACCCTTGTGGCAGTAAACGTGTTGTTAAGATTAATGTATTATATAAGTATTCTTTATTTTTAGCAATTTTGCTGGGAACTTGAGAAAAAAAAATTTAATTTTAAAATGAATACTATTTTTTTAATGTAATATGTGTAGCTTAATCCACCGTAACACCATGTCTATTGAAAAATTTACTCGCAAGTGGCAAGGGTTATCGATTTTCCGTGAATCAATTTTATATTATTATATTATGTTAAGTTACAGTTGTAATAAATGTGTAAACAATTAGTCCTATTGCTCCAGTTTGTTTAGGCCATATGACAGGAACATATTGAAGTGTTTGGCGCATTTATACAGTTCTTCTTAGAATTTTATCAAAAGTTGTGCAATAGATTAAACGATCAACTGCGATACTGTTCATAGGATAAATAATACCTATTTAATTTTTGAAATTCCATTTTTCCTTACGCAAATTTTTAATGTCTTTTTTTTTTGTGATATAGATTTAGAGAATGTGTCAAATGGATAAAGCAAAAATATTTTCAAGGTTCCCAACAAAGAGCAGAATTTTTTCCTGTCGACTGGAGATCGACATGTAATTTTGATGGAGGTAACAAAAAAATAAATATTTTAAATAGGGAAGTTGCAAGAAAAAAATACATCTTTATCGACAGACAATAAACAATAAAAAAATATCTATACAAACCGCATTAAAATCTACGAATTTTTAAACGAATTGGTATTTTTTTAATATAATAAAAAGTTATGTCACTTCAAAAAAAGTTTTGTAAAGCTACTCGCTATTTACTTCTAACCGAATAGCTGTTTTAGAAAGAAGGCTAAAAATATATAGCAAAATGATCAAGGCGATACAATAGTTCAGAAAGAAACCAATATTTTGTAACGCTTTTTTTTTTTACCCAAGAACTGTTTTTAACAAATACATATTACATTTTATGTCTCTTTTATACAATTATTTTGATTTCTGTAGGTCTAGTTGAAAAGATAACCCCTTTAAATCTAAAGAACATCCGTCAGTTACTTAACTCTTCAGCAATGGATATTATGTATTACACGTCGCCAGTATATGGACAGGAAATACAAAACAGTTTGGCTCAAGAATTGAATAGATTACATTCAAAATTCATGGAACGACATCCACAACACGATATCAAAGTTTCAATTATGGCGCATTCTTTAGGCAGTGTCATTACGTACGATATCATAACTGGATGGGAACCATTTGTATGTGTTTTTTTTCCTTTAATACTTGACAGTTTGTACTAAATTTTGATTTATTATCTTATTAGACTCTAAAAAGGAATTACCATAGTCCGAAAATCCATTTAAACTTTGAAGTGAGTTATCTTCATAGTGTTTGTGGAACACTAATCTGTATTTTTTTAACAAAAAATAACTTAACTTTATTATTTTTGTTTTAGCTCGAGAACTTTTTCTGTCTGGGATCGCCACTGTCTGTATTTTTAGCATTACGGAAAACTAAAGATTTTCATGATAATGAAAACATCTTTCCTCAATGGTTAGCCAAGCATGTATACAATATTTATCATCCAACGGATCCAGTTGCATACAGGTAAAAAGTATATTACTTAACAAATATTAATACAACAAATTCATATGTTGTTCCGTATTTAGGTTTGAACCATTGGTGGTAAAAGATTATTGTCGTATAAAACCAGTTGTCATTCAAGCCTACGGTGCTAAAACGGATTACACTAAATCGACTATAGAAGCAATAAGTGATAGCAACGATCCAGTTATCGATGATACTAATGGTACCGAGACAAAAACACCAGATGGAAGGATAGGCGGTGAAGCGTTTAAGAAATTTGGTATGTGGTTCAAGTCAGGAAGTAATGAGAGTAAACCAAATTTCAACGAGTCAGACAACGGAACTCCGATGTCTTCAAAAGGCTCCTCTCCCATAGAACGTATGTATTTTTTTCCATATTAAAATTTCACATATCAATAAATATGGTCACTAATAATAAAAACACAAAATATAGCGCTGAATCCTAGATTGGATTACGTTTTGAGGGACAGCATTGGAGGCTCGGCGAGTAATTACCTCTCGATGTTATATACACATACATCGTACTGGTCAAACTATGATGTAGCCTATTTTGTATATACACGGTTGTTTCCAGAATCTGAAAAGATAGTTGATGCTCAATCAGAATCACTCAGCATGTCCATAAATTTTGACAATCTACCAGAACCCGAACCAGGTAACACAATGCTATTAACTAAAATCTCTAACAACTCTTTGTCTTACTGAATAAAGCTCAGAAGTAAATATCCATGGGTTACAATGTACAATTTTATTATTAACATTGTATTTTTTATTTCTCAATGGTTTGTCTTGTCCTTCAAAATTGTGTCTAAAGATTTTTGAAAAAGTTAAATGTGTATAGAGCTACACCATCTGTATTAGATTTTCATCAATTTTGTGACCTTAAGTCAGAAATTTTGTTTAAAAAAGTAAAACTAGAAAAATATTCCACTCCTTCTCGGGTAAAGGGTTAATAACATTTTCTTTTGGGTTTTCACTGTATACCTGTAGTGCTATATCTAAAAAATATCTCACACAAGATTGGAATTAAATGTACTATTTTTCAAACCGTTTTATCGCATCAGACTTCTAAGTAGAAAAACTTTTAATGGGAGCATATACACTTTTAAAAACATTTTTAGCCCAATAAAGTTCTTTTTGAGTACATTTCTTGATCAATAAACATACGAATAAATCGGTCGAGCAGTTAAGAGATACCGCGATCCAGAAACAAGTTAAAAATATAACATTTTAAAAGCAACATATCCTCTAGCATGTGTCAAAGCTCAAAAAATTTTTTTATTCATATAATATAATATTCTATATTATAGAAACTAGTATTTTATTTATAATGAAAATGTATTTAAATTAAATATTTGAAACTAATTATATATTTTTTTTATAAATATTAAATAAACAGCCCATTTAATTTTTGTTGAGTTAGAAATAATGTTATTTGGAGTAAAATAATAATATTTTGTCTTGAATTTAAAGTTTGCCTAGTACTTATTATACCTATACATCTACAGGTGCAAAGAAATAGTTTATTTAACAATTATTTAAATTTGTTGAAGGCGAAGATGCACTAAACATCACACACTTGAGTTGATAACATTATGTCAAGTACAAACAAGGCTAAAATAGTATCATTAATTTTATAAAAATTGTTATGTAAAAATGTATAAATATTTTTATCTTTTTATATGTTTACCAAAATAATTTAATAGCACCAAATAAACAATAATTTCAGTTAGTTGTATAATAATTATTGTTAAAATAAATCTTTAACAGGGTAAATATTTTAAAAGCATGTCCTTACAGTTACTAGCGATTTTAAGTGTTATTGTTTTTTTTTTTTTTAATGTTAAATTGTTTGAAGTTTATAATAAAGTTTCTACTATTTTTTTCATATTGATTAATTTTAAAATTTGTTCGTTCAGAACGACAACTCAATCTGTTGTGATAATAAATATTAGAAGAAAAAAAAATTATATTTAACTTAGGTCAACAATAGTTGTGTGAATTTATAGGTTGTCTTTAATAATTTTAAGTATGCTATTATAATATTATGTTTGTATAATTTTATATTAATATATACCAATAATAATATATTGTTATTAAACTAGTAGTTTGTATATTTTCTACTGTTTAATTTGTTTGCGATAAAGTAGTTGTTGCCTATTTTATAATAATGTATTCGACTAATACGGGACCATTATTTGTGTTATTAATTTGTAATTGTACGAGTCATTTACAACAAAATAGATTACAGTGTTCATATTATGTGCATTACCTATATTCATATTTTCACTAACAGCTGTGAACTAGAACTAGACAGTTAATAGTGAGTGTAAATGACTAATGTGTAACTCATCTATTATAAGTTAATTTTATTATTGTTCTCTAGATTTTTCGACTGGATTTTTTTTATAACCACATTATGTTATGTTTGACTTATGTATAAGTTCTGTGATGTAAGTACTCTATAAAGTTTATTTATAATACTATAAGTACTCTATAACACTTAATATTTTAAAGTGTTTATTTTAATATTTTTATAAGAAATGTATACAATTATAAACATTAATAACATGTACATGAAAATTTACTAATTTGGTGTTTTTTTGTGCATGGTGATTGAAATGAGCTGAATTTTAAAATCTTTAAATGAAATGGGTTGAATGTATAAAAATTATATAGCTGCATTACACTTGCTATAATAAAACATTCAATAATATTATTTAAAATTGAAAACAAACCCGTAATTGAGAATAACTACAAATTAAAGCTAAAATCCATAAAAACATAATTATACATCTGAATTATAATAAAAAAGTAGTTGATTTATAAAAATCATAATATGTTAATATATTAATACATGATATAAAAAAAATGTATTAAGTCTACTTGATTATAAATTTATAAATGACGTAAGAGCATAATATTGGAATGTGTTAGTAAATAACAACGTATATTGTACATACCTAAACTATCTTTAAGCAATACAGTTAACAGTTAGTATTATAATATTATTCAATAATGGCAGACAAATATTTAATCAATTTTACAATTGCTAGTCTAATATTTCATACAAACTGGCATACGACATAATTGTTTATAAATATTTTAGCGAATGGGGTATCAAAAAAAAAATAAAAATAATTTAATAAATTGGTAGCAAAAAAAAAAAAAGCACCAATATTTAGTTTTACAGTAGTCCAAAATATAAACATCAAAAACAAAAATTAATTACAATTTGATGGCTCCACCATTAGCTATTTTTCAAGAATTGAAAAATATTGTTTTACTTCAACAGTGAAACAATTATTTATAAAAATTATACATTAACAGCTACGATTGTGTAAAAATAAAATTAATTTAAAAATCAACATATTTAGGTGTTTAAGTTCCTGTAGCATCCTTTCTTTTTACGAATCAAATCGCCCCAAAGTAGGTGACTGTTACACGTCGGACATTCGCCATCTATAGGTATCACGTGTTCCGAGTCACATAGAAACCGTTTGGCAAGACACACAGTGTGTGTAATCATTTGACAATTTGGATTTATACAGCATAATAGGTTTTCGATTGAACAGTTTTTTGCGCATAACACGCATGTGAGATCTTCATTGTCATCGAGTTCGGTGATGTCATTCTGAGTAGTTACTTTTTTACACACTACGGGACCGTAACACATGGACATGTGCATAGGTGGAAGTTTGCTAATCTGTAGTTAAAGAAAAACACAAAATCAGGTGAGTCAATATTTTTACGATGTTTTGACTAAAATTGTATTACACTAAATTCCCGTTTATATGCCACGTTCAGCCATCGCACGTTCAACGCTAATCGATTCCACGGACCGACGTGCAACATTTCAGACAGCACGCGAATACAATAATCATAATCTTTTTCGGGTTTTTTCTTCGGCCCGACGTGCCTTAACCTTCTGGACGTTTTAGGATTTTGCCAAGCCCATTCAAACTGAAACATTTTAGCTAATATTAGGAGAAATAAACATATCAAATTTAAAATACTAGTCATCATACTCTCAAAGCCGTTATGTCGTTTGGAAAACCGTGGACTATCAATACCATTTCCCTGTAAGCATTAACCGGTAATGAATAGAAGGATAAGTACACCATTATGCAGCAAAATACGATAAATGATTGAAATCATTATATGTGTCTATATTATTCGGAAAAGACATTACCATGGTCCACGAAGACTCGTTTTTCGGGCACCTCCACTTTTCACACCTTTGTTGTGTTGTTTGATGCGTCGGTTGGGATCAACGGTGAAGCCAATGTAAGTTTTACCTTTGTGTTTTTCGTTAAGACAATACAGTAAGTACACCCCATAAAAATCTTCTATTTCTTCGGCCATTACATTCAAAAAGTAGGATTACCGATCCATATTAAACCGAAAGTAATCTAATGTTTTTTTTTGTAGAAATCCATTTATTTTATTAAAAAACGTGTGAAAATAAAAAATATAATGATTTTAATTTTCAAAAATATTTACTATCAATTCCGTTATGCAAGACTCATTTCATATTTTGATAACATATCTACACCACCAGCTGTTGCCATGGCACACCAGCTGATCATGTATTATCACAGATTAGATAAAGTTGTATCTAATTTGTGATAAGTGATAACATGTTCCATTATAAACGGATCGTTTCCGCCTAAAGCTGAATGATTCAGCTTTTAATTAATTTTTAATAATTGTATTCTCCATCTATACTCCTTGCTAAATTTGATTTAAAAAAAGATTTAGAAATATCGCTTTTTACTATATTACCTATTTAGATGCCTGATGCGCATAGAGGAAATCTTAAAAATCATAATAAATTATTCAAAATCTAAGCGTCTAAAACTCCCATATTATAATCTTACCTAATTAATATTACTATAAATATATTATTATATACTATAGCGAATAATATTGATACATATTTATATTTTTCTGTGTGTATAAAATAACCTATCCGAAATAATACTATCCATATCGGTAATAGTTGATTGCATAACGTGTTCTGTCTGCCGTATTGTGTAGGTTAGGCGACAATTTTAAATTGTTTTTTTAAATACGCTTAATTAATTATCTCTAAGTTGTCACGTTTGTCCGGTAAAATTATCACTTGAACGGCAGAGGCAATATTCTATTTTTATGTACCTACCTATAATCAATATTGTATAATACCTACCATTAACGTTCGCCCACAGCCACTGTCCAATCAGCTAATACAGCACCACATAACCGTTTTGTTTCTTATACTGATTTTTCGAAAGCATTGTGCAAGAATAATAAATACGTATGAATAATAAATATTTGTACTTCCTCTGTTTGGTACAAACTACAAACACTGAATATTTTGAACCCGGCTTACAAACGATGACCGAATTCGAAATCGTTTTCATAATACCTCATAAAAGGCGCGTGCAAATTGAAAATAAAAACAAAAAATATTTCCTACGCCTCGAGTCAAAAAAAAAAACCATTGCTAGGTACACCCGAACTTTGACACTCGACTGTCGGTTATATATTTTTTTAAATTTGCCATTCGGTTGTCTTCGGATGACGCGGAAACGGATTACAAACGAAAATCCATATGGAAACGGATATAAAAATAAAACACGTTTAATAATGTATTATAATATTGGTATACAGACTATCTGGAGGCGCCGCGTTCGTGTTGCCCCCGGCGGCTACTTTCTCCGGGTGTCGTTTTTTTTTTTATCATCATCATCATCCGATCGTGTAGCGCATCTATTTTGTCTGTTTTTTTTATAATTCCTATGCACCGTGAAAGCACCGTGACCCCGACCGTCGCATACACCGGGATCGCCATCCTTGGGATTATGTAAATACACCTACAATATAATATATCCATCCGAAATACTCATCTAGCGCGTTACACATAGTTCTGTGGTTTTTTGTTGTTGTTGGAATAAACGTTTACATAAAGAAGGAAAACTGCTGCGCTCAAACACACATTCCAACGTACTTCTTGTAGGTCTAGCCAAAAGCTATACAAAGTATATATCACTGTAGACGTGGGCAATAATTGTCGACGCAAAGAGTTGATCGCCTTTTATCACACCATTGACTGCAGCCACTCTATATATTATGCATCGATACAATGCATTGGCTCTGTAAAATGCACCGCAAAACCTTTGTAGTGTTCGATTACTGTCGATCGCCCTTTGTGAAAAACCCGCCTTTTGTAGTACATAGCTGTTACCAGTTACATAGTATAAAATATATAAACGCAATTGTTCGCAGTTTCACATGGTGAAGAAACACCGTTAACGGTAAATTGCTCGTTTTGATTAAACCTGCTCCAAAAGGATTTGGCCACGTTTGAACTTTACAAAACTCGGACGGTCATATACTTGGTACCTACTAAGTGATCGTGCACTTAAAAAAAAAAAATTGGAAACTGGAAAAAGAAGTGATATATTCTTAAACAATATAATTCAAACGACTGCATTGGCGTGACTAGAAGGGAATGTTAGGGAAGTTCAAAATCCTTCTAAACTTGTTCAGGATCTAAAAAATCTGTATGTTTTTTTTAGTATAAAGTTATAAGGATTCATAGATATTAAGACATGACAAAAATGTTGTCCGCTCTGATTTGTCTCTCCGATGGAAATGTGCAATAACCAGATTGGATGTCCGGAAAAGAAGACAACAAATTAGGTGTGCGAATTAAATTTGGTTTTTAATGGCAAGAAGAAGAAGATTATTATGATGTGACTCATGTGGCGAGTAATGTACGTTATTATTATGTTATTGCGTCGAGGGAAAATATTCGGTTTTGTCTGGGTTTTAACGTGGAATTCATCACGAAGAGAAAAGTATACGCGATCCATACAAACGGTTTAATCAGTCCATCACTCGTCGTGTTTGGGTCGTGACCACGTTTTCACTTTTCGCAAAAAAAAAAAAAAACAAAAAAAATACATAATAATAAAAAAGTACAGCGCACGCAAGTCCGTCGTCGTCGATTTGACCTCCACGGCCGTAGGTTAGACTCGAGCTATTAGCATTTCTCGCGAGAAAACGTACTTATACTTAGCGACATCACAGTGTGTGCGAAGGCGCCTAACGTAATAATCGAGTGATAGACATTCGACAACGGTAATACCAGACAACGGACAAGAGTGTTTTCTACAACTTTCATCGACCAAAAGGGTTGTTGGGCCTCGCCATTGTCAAAGTTAAATTGTGTTTTATTTGCGTTATCCCATAAGTGGTTGACATGTTTTTTTTAATGGTTCAACTGGTTTAATCTGTTTTTTTAGCGTACCGACCACAACGAGTTTCCGACCTACGACAACACACGGTGACACTTTTGCATAAAAAAAAAAATATATATATGTTTATGTATAGCAAACTGGAAACCGGATTACCGGCTTATATATTCAAGGTTACGGTGCAATCTTATGCAACGAACGTGTGTCATGCAAACCACTATACGCAGTTTCCGTTAAAGTATTTTTTAATGACGGTCAAATACCGTAACGGTCGCATGTCGTCACAGAAACCGGTATGACAATATTATTATGATTTAAGCGTGTGTCAAAAATACACCGTGGTGTTAAAAAAAAATTATAATTCATATACCGCGAGTCGTATTTGAATGATTATTTAAACACTAATCCGATTAACTTGGGTACGATTGATTACCGTAAAGGGATTAGGCATGTCTTCTTAAGTGCGTTTACTTACCGCGGAATCGCCCACGACAAGACGTGATATTGGTAAGAAGATTATACCTTATTATGTAGTACATTACGATTTATAATATAGAGTTGTCAAAATATTAGCCTCGCGGTGTAATGATATTGTATAGTTTTCAACGAGTATAAAATAATATGTCAGAATAATAAAACCAGAAGGATTAATGAAAAAAAACCGGCGCTAATGACAGAATATCTGACACTAGTATTCGATTTCATACTACTAAAATGTATTAAAAAAAAAAACCAGGCAAGTTATTATTTCTCTTTCTAATTAAGGTATATCAATAGCATAGTGCACAGATGTTTTTAGTGCATTTTTTTTTGGACATGAAAGTTTATTTAACACTTGAAAATTGAAATTATACTATTTTCTAGGTACATCCTTTCTAAAAAAAAAATGTTTATATCTGTAAATAGAGAGGATAGCAAAAAAACCACCGAGGTACAAAGGATGGGACTTCCGGTACAACCAGGTACAAACAATTGGCATAGGTTTTGACAAAAAATTCCCCAGTGTAAGACAGGGATAACTTAAGACTTTTCAGGTACAGAAAGTATTAAAGGTACAATCAGGTAAAAACATAGTCAACACTTATTAATGTGAAAAATATATTTTAAACTTTTTGTAATGTTTGATTGTGCATGATAATTTTAGACTAGCTGGTAAATAAGCCATTTCGTCCATTTCGCTGGTGTCAATAACACCATTAAAATAAAAATGAATAAAATCTGAACCCGCGCTGGAGCGTGCAAGATGTAAGGCTGATTGTTCGACACAAATTCTCTTTTACATTATAATATAATATACATATATTATATACAAACACCCTTATAAATATTTTTGTATGTACTACGATGTGTGTAATGTGATATATTACTTCATGCGATATATATATATATATATATAATATATGAATACATATTTCTCGGTAAAGGCAACGAGTTTCATGAACCGGAACGCCGTTACTTTGGTGACGTTCTCTCTCGATTCGCCTACGGTGTCTGCGATGCGTTAAGTGCTGTAAGTTTTTTCTAGTTTTTTCCCCCCTTTGAGATTTGACGAGGTTCTTGCATATAATTTACTCGACTTGGCCGGCGTTTACTATATACAAACAAACGGTAATAAATTAAGTTCGCGGCAGGTTTAGTCAGGGCGGCGGCCGTTAATCAACCGCCGGCCGTGCATTTTCGTGGCAAAGGACAACATTCCCCGATCGTTGACAGTATATTATACAAAAATAAATATATATATATATAAATATTCTCCACGTTTTTTGCCACCACCGTGCGCCGGCCAAGGTTCGGTCGACATAGGCTTCCGGCCATAAGAATAACGCGTTAAAAATCATAAATCCACACCCCAGTTTTTCCATTAAAAAAAAAAAAAATAGTCGCCACGGTAATTCCGAATTTATCGCCGCGAGACCGTGTGCCCGAGCCCTTTCGGTTCACGCTTTCCGGGCAATTTCATTTTAATTTTCTGCCTCGCGCTGGCTATATAATATAATACAAGAAGCGCGGTGCTCTTATCTTAATCTACAACAGGCCCGGACATTTTTTTTCGCCGCTTTTATTATTGTTTTATTACACGTCTACTAAATGTAGTGGATGATTTTCGGCGCGAGGGAAAAAGCTGGCGAAAGAGAGGACCAATAAAAATGAACAAAAAATGTATAATTCTTGAAAACTTTTCAGGTACCCACCGACGACCCGTCTACCCGTTAAGGCGAGTAGGCGTTTATACATAATAATAATGCGACATAATTTGATTTTCTACGAAAATCAATACATTGTCTT